GAAGACAAGAGTCCTCTGCAACCCGCGGCTCAGCTCCAACTCCAGCACCCCCAGAACCAGAGACCTGTACAGGGACAGTCGCCGGACCAACCTCTCGAGAGGGAGCACCTGCAGGAGGCGGCGAGGAAGACTGTGGGGAGGGAGGCTGTACAGGGGGGGCTACCGAAGGGGGAGGGCTAGCCTGAGACACACCAGACGGGGCTGGACCAGGGGGGGGAGGCTGTACCGGGGGAGCAGGCGGCTGTCAGGAAGAGGGGGGGAGGAGGAACCGGGAGACCTCGACTGGGGTACCTGACGTAGTAGGGGGTGGACTCCTCGAAACGGACGTCACGGGAGTCAAAGAACCGGTGAGAGGGAGGGTGGTAAAAGGTGAAGTCAGAGGAGTCCTCAGGGAAACCAAGGAAGACACAAGGAACGGCGCGAGGCGAGAGCTTGTCCGCGGAGGTGTCGCGGACAAGAGCCAAGCACCCCCAGACACGAAACCTCGACGCGACACCAGGGGACCCTGTCCAAAGACTGGTCGGTGAAGCCTCCGGCCGAGAGACGCGTGGCCAGAGGTTCAGCTGGTGCGCGGCGTACCTGACTGCGTATGGCCACAGGAAATGGGGGGCACGGGCGTGAGTCAAGGAGGTGCGGGCAATCTCCATGACCAGGCCTATGCGACGCTCAGCAACCCCATTCTGCTGTGGGGACTCCGGAAGCGTCCAGGACTGACGAATGCCCTGTTCGCGACAGAATCCAGCGAGAATGCCGGAGCGAAACTCGCCCCCGCGGTCGGAGTGGAGACAGCTGACACGACGACCACGAGTGTCCTGGGTGGTAAGCAACCACCTGATCAGCGTAGAAGTCACCTCAGACTTCCTCGCCAGGGGGAACACTGTGGTGTAGCGGGAGTAGTCGTCAACGACCACCAAAAAGAAACGCTCACGCTCAGGGCCAGGGCGAGGAGAGGGGCCCCAGACGTCCAAGTGCAGCGTCTCAAAAGGCTCGGTGGCCGGACGAAGGGAGGAGGAGTGAGGGGTGGCACGCAGCCTACCCTCGACGCAAGGACCGCACGGTGGTGCAAGAGACGGCGGCAGCGACGGCAAGACACGCGGGAGACCTAAGACCAGACGCTGACTAGACATAGCGCGCAGACGTGGAAGAGAAGGGTGTCCCATCCGGTGGTGCCACAGAACGGTGGGGTGGGCAAGCGACCGACAGGAGCAAGACGCAGCGACTGGACTGGACGCGACAACCTGAGGGGACGGAACCACCTGGTGAGACGCAGGGAGGAGACTAGGGGGAGGGACAGGAACTGGGAGGAGTGGCTGCTGCGACGGCGGCCGCTGTGGCTGCGGCTGCGGCTGCTGCCGCTGCTGCTGCTGCGGCTGCTGCTGCTGCTGCAGTCGCTGCTGAGCGCGCGGGCCAGTGTGAAGAGTGTAGAGACCGGAGCCCGGCTCAGCAGCAAAAGTGGCGAGGGGCTGGTAAGAGTCCCCGTCAACACACACCGCAGTCTCTCCAGAAGGCTCAAACCACACACCCACGTGCTGACTCACGAGGGGTCGCACGCCCACCAAGTTCCGGGAGAACGAGGGGACGTGAAACCCAGTGAGAGACCCAGAAGGAGCAGCCGGACACGGCAAGGTTGAGTGTGACGCGCAGTGACTGGTCCCGAAGTGGGATCAGCCAGCGCCACAGAAACAGGCGCAGGAAGAGGCGTAAGTGTCGTGCTGTCACGAAAGAAGCAGTGAGAGGCTCCAGAGTCCAGCGTGAACGACAGCGAACCGTCCTCTGAGGTAGCCGCTGGACTAGAGTCTACACAAGAACCTACACTAGCAACAGGCAACTGAGCAAGGCTAGCACCTAAGCTAACAACACCAGAGTAAGCAGAGTCAGAAACACTAGAGTCAACAACAGCATACATAGCATGGGGAGTACCAATCAGATCAACTAACTGCTCAGCAGACATGCCCCAGAGAGCGGAGCCGTAGCGCTGAACAAGAGGCAGCCAGTCAGGGGCAGGAGCACCAACCCCGTAGACCAAACGAACCGTGTCAGTGAGCTGAGCAAAGCACTGACCAGGGGGGTGAAACCGGCCACAAGGGTGGCCACGACGAGTGCCTGTCAGAACCTGGTAGGTGCAGGGAGTGTAAGCAGCACCGCGCTGGGTCTGACGCAGCCCCGACCCTGGAGCCAGCTGCTGCCGCTGAGGCTGCTGGGAGGAGAGGGGCTGCTGGTGCTGCAGAAGCTGCTGCTGACGCTGAGCCTGGTACCACGCCGCTGCTCCACCAACCGGGGCAGGAAGTACAGGAGGCGACTGACGAACTCGGGCGTCGCCACCACTAGCAGGCGCAGTGGAGTCACCAGTCACTGCACGAGGCGCCTCTCCAGGCCCTGAACCTCCACCGCCGCCAGGCGCAACGCCACCTCCACTACCTCCGCCTCCACCTCCACTACCACCACCAGAACCGCCTTTCTTGCCACTCCTACCGCGGGACCGCGACGCAGTCGTAACAGCAGCTGCAGTCGCGTCAGTAGCGGCAGTGGCAAGTGAGGCAGTAAAGGTGGGTAACTGCGGGACTGTGCACCCGTGGAAGAGTGGGGGGGGCACAGCACCAGAGGCAGCGGCTACCGAGCGAAGGTTGCTCTCGACGTCCTTGAGTGCAGACTCAAGGACATCGACGGTGAGCTCACTAGGGTGCTTCAGCAGAAGCGCGTCGCGAACGGAGGCAAGGCGGTCAGGGAGGCTAGTGGCGATGAAATAGATAGTAATCGCCATAGGGGGAGGAAGCAGTGCAAGCTGTGCCTCAGTGCAAGCAGCGCGGTAACTAGCGTCGAGCGAGCGGAGGTGAGCGATCAAGTCAGCAGAGCGCTCAAACGAGGCGAGATCAGGAAACAGGAACGGGAGGAAAAGACGGCCAAGAGAGACAGTAGCGGGAGTAGAGTAGCGGGCCTTAATCGCAGTGAGGTACGCAGCAGCGGTGCGAACCTGAGTGAAGTGGACCTCCTCTGACTCAGGGAGGAGGCTGCTGAGTGCGATGCAGGCCGCAGCGTCACGCGACGTCCAAGCCGTCCTGTCAGCGCGCTGACGGGCAAAGCGAGCCGTAGCAGCATCGTCAGGGGCAGGACCTAAAGCGGCAGGCTCGGGGGGCTCGGGGAGGTCACCAGTAGCGTGCGACCAGAGGGTCTCGCCCCCCTGGACTTGACTCTCTAACAGACGGCGAGCGCGAAGAAGCCAGACGGAGAAGTCAAGAGGTCTACCGTCAGCGTCGAAACGAAGAACTCGCGGAGTCGCCATAGCGAGAACGAACGCGAACGAGCAGGCGAGTAACAGCAGGAGGTAAGAGGCAAATTAGGGTTCAGGTGGGGGGACTTAGTCGCAGCGGAAGAACGGGCTAGGGCGACGGGCCAGGGCGTAGGGTCGACGGGACGGGGGAAAGGGCGGGCGCGATGCGACGGGGCAGGGCGACGCGACGGGGCAGGGCGACGCGACGGAGCAGAGGCGACGGGACGGGGAAGGGCGACGCGACGGGGCAGGGCGACGCGACGGGGCAGGGCGACGGGACGGGGAAGGGCGACGGGACGGGGCAGGGCGACGGGACGGGGCAGGGCGACGCGACGGGGCAGGGCGACGGGACGGGGAAGGGCGACGGGACGGGGCAGGGCGACGGGACGGGGCAGGGCGACGCGACGGGGCAGGGCGACGGGACGGGGAAGGGCGACGGGACGGGGCAGGGCGACGGGACGGGGCAGGGCGACGTGACGGAGCAGAGGCGACGGGACGGGGAAGGGCGACGGGACGGGGGGAAAGGGCGCGACGCGACGGGGGGAAAGGGCGCGACGCGACGGGGGGAAAGAGCGCGACGCGACGGGGGGAAAAGGGCGCGACTCGACTGGGGGGAAAGGGCGCGACGCGACGGGGGGAAAGGGACGCGACGAGGGGGAAAGGGCGGGCAGGACGCGACGCTAGGAGTGGCGCTAGGCGCGGCACTACGCGCGGTAACAACGAAACCGGGACGAATGAGAGCTAGGATCAGGCTCGGGAGGCTCGAACGGAGAACGGAGGAACGGGATCCTAACCTAACTGATACCATGTCAGAATGAAGAATGGATGGTGCATTGATGTTGGTTGGGGTACATATAGCTAACCCTAAGTTTTGTACCCCCTAAGACAAACCTCACTATAGGCTACAACATTTGACAGGGAGGGGGTATGATGAAATAATAAAATCGACTTAAGGTCCAATTCGAGAGTAGATTGACGCATTCATATATTGATATGGTTGCAACCTATTTTTCAATTGCCGTGTATAATCTATTAAATCTAGGCTTCTTTGAGGCTTTGGGTGAAGATAGGCTAGAAATATTTTGCTTTCAGATTATGGTGCACATGTTATGGTTATAATCATAGAAGGAAAATATGTTCTATTGCAGTTTGTTTGGTGTAAGTATCAGGTGACATCACCAATGACGTTCATATTTCGATAGCCACGTTGCAAGACTATCGCTCTGTACTCGTTCCGCCAATCATGTAACGACGGAAATTTCGACGAACATGAGGCCACGTTGGCACTGCCCGTAGCGGACACGAGCCACCACCACCATCCGCGATCCACGCTACCAATCAGCTAGTTCCATATCAGACTCGTTTCACAGGGAATTTCACCACTAAAGATGCAATACTTGTACACGCGACTCGACGGCACCCTCCCTTACCCCCCTGCCCTACAAATTATGCCTCCTTTCCATCCTACGCAATGCACAGAACCACACACGCATCCACCCGCTCAGGCTCGGCTGTTTGTGCCTCACACACAACGGACAAGTCTGCGTTCGGTGAAATATTCCCCCTCCCGTTTCAGCGAGTTAGTAGCGAGAAGCTCAATCCACACTACCCCTCGGTTTGGCGCACAGCCCGTTCGTAGACGAAGTGCGAAATCCCGACGGCCGTGCTCGATCTCATTTGACCGCACTGTGTCTCCTTCACCGAATACCTATCAAAGCGGGAGCTTTAAATCATGGCGCACAGACATCACGGCTGCAGGGTTTCTCCCCCAAAGACGTGTTGCCTACTCCTTTTAGTAGCGGCATTGTTAACAGTTCTATGTAACCGATCTGCCTCCGCGAACGGCGGAATCGCGACTTCTCCTCCCGACTCGCTCTCCTCCTACTCCAATGTAGCGTTGCTGGATCCGCGGTTCGAGCTCTACTGGACCGTTAACAGTAGCGACGCCACCATCCACATGGCAGTGAATGCCAAAACGAAGGGATGGTTCGGTATAGGCATCTCCGAGATTGGCTCCATGGTGGGCTCAGGTACGCATCCATGGTGGGCTCAGGTGCGAATCCATAGTGCTGTCGGATGGGGCGGAGGTGTGATTTGTGCTCTTTCCTGTCCACAGAATGATTTTGTCATTCTCCGATCAGGCCGCCGCATTTGGTGGTGTGGGCGGGCTTTAGGAACGCAATCACCGTGAGTCCGCTTTGCTGAGTCGCGTCTATGCCACCTCACACTCGTGAGTCGACTAAAATATCGCATTTCGTCGTGAGCATGCCTACAAAGGAACTGCATTGGACAACTCCCCTTTCCCACCTCACATCCTTGCACACTCTCGCTCACTCTGCACGCCGCATTCATATGTGACCATCTGGCAGATGCCCTCGTCGCATGGGTCGCACAGTCCGAAGCCCGCGCATATGCGACGGATCGCTTCATCTTCAACAAGACCACCGACGGAATCGCACTCGACGACAAGCAGGACTGGCATGTGCTGGGCGGCAGCCAGACCACCAACCAATCCACGGGCGACACGTGGACCACCGTGCACGTGTGGCGCCAGCTGGACACGGGTGACTGCAACGACCGTCCCATAGTTCCGGGGAAGCTTCACAACGTCATCTGGGCCATGGGCGCCACGACTGACGTCAGCTATCACAGCTCCGACCGCGGCTCTTCCGCCCTCGTGCTCGCGCCTGCTCCTGGCCCCTCCATTGTCGCGCCTGCGCCTCCCCCCTCCGCCTCCTCCTCCGCGTCCGCTGCGTCTCTCTCTGCGCCGCAGCCGGCGCAGCAGCCGGCGCAGCAGCAGCAGGAGAGCATGCTAAATTTCACGTTCACGAATTACCGCCTGCCAACGGACTTCACGACCTATCGCTGCAAGGTGCGGTGCGCGGTGCTGCTGCAATGCTCCGCGTGTGCGCCTGCTCCCTGCACCTATTGCACATATGTTCCCCAATGCTCCTCAAAAATTTTTGAGGCGCCTCAAAAGTCACCTGCTCCCTGCACGTATTGCACATATGTTCCCCAATGCGCCTAAAAAATGTCCTCGAATTCCCCATAAGTCCCCATTTGCCTTTTTGAGACGTCTCAAAAACTCACTTTTTACACGTGGCTTCCCCAAAAGTCCCCATTTGCCTCGTTACTTTTCCGGACTTTCGGTTTCTTCTCATTCCGTGAGACACCGTTTCTGGGTCACATTCCGTTCAGCATACCTTTCATGCTCGCGCCCCTGCAGCCATCTGCACCGTTATCACTCATTTGCACCGTTTTGCACCAATCTGCACCCATCTGCGCCCATCTATGACGCCCATAGGTGGTGGACGTTGCTCTCAAGGCCAAGACTCATGCGGTTGAGTGGGGTGTCATACACAACTCCACCGACAACTCATCCGTCCATCATGCCATCATCTACGGCTGCAAACCGTAAGCCACAAATACCCTGCCCTTCCCCTCCCCTCCCTGGGCTAATAGCACGCCAATCTGCCGCCCTTCCGCCCATCCGCCGCCCGTCTGCCAATCTGCCGCCCGTCCGCCACTCCGCCGCCCATCTACCAATCTGCCACCCGCCCAGCGCTCCTTTTACAGCCAGCACGACACTTCTGTGTACTCCGAATTGAGAGTTTCCTTTCCTTCCTCCTGCCCCCCTCACATCACAGCAAGGAGTACGGCAATCTCAAGGGTGCAGGGGCTGACTTTGACTGTCTACACGACACGCCATGTGCCACCACTGTCGCCGTGTGGGCTGTGGGCGGCAGACCCTTCACCTTCCCGCCCAATGTCGGCTACCCCATCGGCCCCGGCTACTTCACCAAGTTCGTGCTGCAGGTAGGTGCAATGTGATGCAGTGCGGTGCTGAACTCTCTCCATTCCTGGAGCCTTCCTTCCCACCACCATTTCTAGTGCTAATCCTTCCAAGCCTCTCTTCTGAAGCTCCTTAGAGGTCTTTTCCTTCCAATCTTCCTCCCCTCACACTCCTGCCCCGCACACAAAAGCCTCGTGGCCTTCTCTCTCCCTCCCTCTACCCCCACCCTACCCCTTCAGGTGCATTTCACAAACCCCAAGGGCGGCGCGGACCTGGTTGACAACTCTGGGCTCTACCTGAAACTCTCGCCATCTCTCCGCCCCATGGACGCGTCCATCATGCTCACGGGCCCTGTCCCCTACGAGTTCCTCATCCGCATCCCTCCCATCACCCATGCCCTTCTCCCCGCGCCTTGCCCTCCCTCCCTCCTCAGGTGCATTTCACCAATCCCAAGGGCCGCGCAGACCTCATCGACAACTCTGGCCTCTACCTGAAGCTGGCGCCATCTCTCCGCCCCATGGACGCGTCCATCATGCTCACGGGCCCTGTGTCCTACGAGTACCTCATCAAGATCCCCCCCGCCATGCCCTCGTGGACGCAAGTCAGCACGTGCCCGGGCGAGTGCACCTCTGCTGTCTTCCAGAACGAGAGTGTGAAGATCATTGGGTCGTTCCTGCATCTGCACACGCTGGGGCGACAGGTGAGGGATGGGCGGATGAGGCATGGCCGTGTGAACAGCATGGGACGTGTGGGGAGATCATTGGGTCGTTCCTGCACCTGCACACGCTGGGGCGACAGGTGAGAGATGAGGTGCCTTGCAGATCATTGCAGATCATTGCAGATCATTGCGTAATGTGAAGTTGCCTCAATCGTTGCTGCCTCATACAATAAATCCCTGTCACCCATGCCCTCATGATGCCCATTCCCCCATGTCCCCATGTCCCCATGTCTCCAAGCCCCCATTCCCCCATGTCCCCATGTCTCCATGCCCTTCCCATGTAACCATGCCCCATGCCCCCATGCCCCCATGCGGCCATGAGCAGTTATACACGGATGTGTTCAGAAAGGGCAGCAAAGTCGCCACCATCAGCCGTCAGGACTACTAGTGAGTTCCCTTTATCACCCTACCACCACTCTTGTTCACTAAGTTACCGCCCCCGTTTGAACCCCTTTACCCTTTTTTAACCCCCTTGTTCCTTCTTTCACTATTCCCCTTCACCCCATTCCCCTCACACCCAAACCATCGCAGCGACTTTGCATCGCAGCAGGTCTTTCCCTCCATGCCTGAGTTCGTTCTTTTCTCCATGACGAGCTTACCAGAGCCTTCCCTCCCATCCCCTCCTTGCTCCCTCCCTCCGTTCCTCCCTCCCTCCCTCCCTCCCGCCCTCCCCCTCACCCCTCACACCGCAACAGCGACTTTGCATCGCAGCAGACCATACCCTTCACGCCAGAGTTTGAGCTGCTGCCAGGGGACGAGCTGCGTACCTCCTGTGTGTGGGACTCCACTGACCGCACCAACGTACGTGTCCCCCCCCTCCCCCCCTTCCTCCCACAACATGCACGTTAGACCAACCAACCAGCATCTGTGCCTCTGGGCGTTAGATTACCATCTGCTGTTCCAGTCCCAGACAAAGGAGCTGCGCACCTCCTGTGTCTGGGACTCCACTGACCGCACCAACGTGATATCAATACCTCTGGTGTTTGGGATTCCTCCCCATCGACGGATAAGGGGATCGACGGATAAGGAGATTCCTCCCCATCGACGGATGAGGGGATTCCTCCCCTTCTCCGACGTACTTACCTCGCGCCTCACAGTGTCACTTCCACTCTATTGTTGACCGCCCCTCGTTTATTGTCACTTCCCCCTCGTTTATAAAAGACGCCTCTGTTGAGGCGCCTCAAAAACAGTTCCCCCTCGTTTACAAGAGACTCACTCCTCTGCTTGCTGTCCCTCTCTATCCGTTGCTGTGTGCAGGTGACGGTGGGGGGCCCATCCACGGAGGAGGAGATGTGCATAGACTATCTCATCTACTACCCCGCACGCCAGGGCCAAGGTAACGTTGCTTCCCAATGAAAAATGCATGTCAGTAGGGTGAGCATGTTGTCCTCTCCTCTCTCAATGGGAGGGCCATCCACGGAGGAGGAGATGTGCGTTGACTATCTCATCTACTACCCCGCACGCCAGGGCCAAGGTAACTGCATGGCAGGGCCAAGGTACTGCATGGCAGGGCCACTGCTTCTTTTTCCCATGCACTTTAGTATAGGACCCACCGGACCCACTGCTCCTTCTCTCCCTAGAGGCATCCACGGGCAGGGTGAAGGTAACTGCTTCTTCTCCCCTTTCTTCCCTCCCAATCAATGTACCAGAGATGGATTCATGCTACGGCTTGTGTGCGTTGTACGAGAACGACACTCTCAGCATGGACCCCAACAGCCCCACGCTGCGCTTACAACCAACCCACCCCGGTTCCTCTCCCCAATCCACTCCCACTTCCCGCCCCAACCACCCTCTTTCTCCCCTTCAAGGCCATTGATGGATTCGTGCTACAACTTCCGTGCGTCGCATGACAATGAAAAACTCTGGGCATGGACCCTACCAGCCCCACATTACACTTACACCCACCCCCTTCCCCCCTCCCCCACCACCCCCCTTATAACCAGAGATGGACGCGTGCTACGAATCCTGTGCGTCGTACAAGCTTTGAGTCGACTCAAAACTCGACTTATCACACATCTCTTCCCACCCCTTCCCCCCTTCCCCCCTTCCCCCCTTCCCCCCTTCCCCCCTTCCCCACCACCGCCCTTAAACCAGAGATGGACGCGTGCTACGACTTCTGTGCGTCGTACGACAACGAAACTCTCGCCATGAACCCCAACAGCCCCACGCTCTCCAAGTTCTACGTGTGTGGGCCCAACTTCATCCCCACGTACCAGCCCTGCAAGATCACATTTGGCGCCAACACACCCAAGAAAGTCGTCAACGGCTGCCCTGCTGAGTGAGTCGAGCCTAGTCCGCACTGCACCACTCCACACCATAGCCCAGCCCTGCCACACCATCTCAACATACGCTCACGAATCATTCCCACCTACCAGCCCTGCAGCATCACCTTCGCTTCCAACACACTCCTCGCACTCCTGAATGACTGCCCAGCTGTGTTATTGTGCACCGAACCGTTCCACACCGCTCTGCAAACCCCACCCGCACCTGCCAACGCACCACCTCCACCTGCTGCCCACTTTTGAGACGTCTCAAAGCTTGTCCCCTCCCCCACCCCTCCTCCTGTGCATACCATGGCAGGCAGGAACCATGCATCACTGGCAAACATTCCCGACACGTCTAGTTTTGAGGCGCCTCAAAACTAGGAACCATGCATCACTGACAGACATTCCCTCTGACACGTTCCATTTCTGAGGCGCCTTGAATCAAACTTCTCACACCCCTTTCCCTCAACCCTCAACAGGAACCACGCATCACTGGCACACATTCCCTCTGATACTATCTCTGCACCGCTCTCCACCACTGCACCACCTGCTCCACCTGCACCCGCTGCTGCCGTGTCTCCTCCTACTGCTGCTGCTTCATCACCCCCCAGCAACAGCACTGGCAAGGCAGCACAAGCATCAATCCGCAGTGGCAGTGCCGGTGCAGCGGTGGCTGTAGCTCTGCTGTACTCTGTGCTTGCCCTTGTGCTCTAAGATACACCGTCGCTGCTGGTGGTGCTGCGGCTGCTGCATTCCCGTGCAACACCAGGGGTGGCAAGGCAGCACAGACATCAACCCAACGGTTCACGAGGCAGTATGGTATGGTACCAGTTCAATGGTGGCTCAATCATTCAAAGGCTCATGAAAGATGTGTTTTATTATTTTATCCACGCTGTGAAAGCCCTTTATTTCGGTTTATGAAAAAAATCGAAACGTGGTTGGTAGCACAACAGATTAATGAGTTTGAATGCAACACATCTACTGATCAACCTCTTTGGAAGTTGGCATAGAACGCAGCTTCTAGAGGTGATACACTCTTCTTCACTGTACCAAGTGCTTTGTCGAAATGCCGCATCCCAACACAGGTTGCGCATATGTCCTCCTGAAAGGAGGGAAAGACACCGGGTTGAGTACGCCGTGCATATAAGCACGTAACACATCCATGAAAACAATGAGCATTTTAAGAGTAAAACACATACGCCGCATGAAATATACATGTAAGCACTGCCAGCTCATCCCCATCAACCACCAGCTCACCTCCAGCGCTGCTAGCTTGGCCTCTCGACAGATCGCGGTGATGTCAGCGCCCGTGTACCCCTCGCTCCTCACCGCCAGCTGGCAGCTGAGCTGGAGGGCATCCACGTCAGCATGCAGCGGCGTGCCACGCAGGCAGAGCGCAAATATCTTCTCCCGGGCGCCAAGGTCGGGCGGCGGGACGAACAGAAGGCGGTCGAAACGGCCGGGCCTCAGGAGGGCTCGATCTAACAGGTCTGGGCGGTTGGTAGCTGCAATCACTGTGACCTGAGTGGAAGGGGTGAGGGCTGGCAGGGAGCGCATGGGTTGCGGAGAGGCAGGGAGAGTGAGGGCCGAAGAGAGGGGGTGAATCAAAGTGCTTCAAAAGGGCCTGATCCAACAGGACTGGTCAGTTGGTTGCTGCAATCACTGTTACCTGCGTTGAGGGGGTGGGGGCTGGGAATAGGGAAAGCGAGGGCTGTAGAGTAGAGTGAGTGAAAGTGTCTCAAAAGGGCTAGATCTAATAGGTTAGATCAGCTGGTTGCTGCAATCACTGTGACTTTAGCGGAAGGGGCGAGGGCTGGGAGGGAGGCAGGGCATGGGGTGTGGTGGAATTGCAACAGATAATTATTCATGGCATGTCCAACAAAATGAAAACAAGATACCCACCATCCATCTCGAGCAGTAGCTGCGTCATCACACGGTCCCCCACGCCTCCCGACGCTCCTCCACCTGCTTTACTGCGTGCCACTGCCAGCCCATCTATCTCATCGAAGAACACGATCGCCGGAGCTGCCGCCTTGGCTCGGGAGAACAAGGTTCGGACGGCTCGTTCGGACTCGCCCACCCACTTGGAGAGCAGCTCGGGACCCTGCGGGAAATAAGAGGGGGGGGGGACTTGTATGATCGCATGTATTTTTTATGAGCCTCACACACGTGCCTTCCAGCCGTGCGATGAAGGAGGGATGGGGGTTGCACTGGGTAAGGAGAAGAAAGGAGAAAGGGTTGCACCGGGTAAGGAGAAAGGGTTGCACCGGGTAAGGAGAAAGGGTTGCACCGGGTAAGGAGAAAGGAGGAGGTGAGAGAGGGCAGGGAATGATGTGGCTTTTGAGGCGCCTCAAAGGGAGGTGAGAGAGGGCAGGGAATGACGTGGCGGCTGGGGCTAAGGGCAACAAACACTTCAGTTTCAACTGTAGACCCATGTTGACTCCGATTGACTTACGTTGACTTTCGTTGACTCACCTTGACTGCGAGAAAGTTGAGCCTAGCTTCTGTTGCCACTGCCCTGCAGGCATGGCAGCCACAGAATGCAAAGAGAGAGTGAGCGCCAGTGGAAAATGAAGGCTCCAGCCAGAGCAGAGACTTTTGAGACGTCTCAAAACCGCGTGTAAGTAGACGACTTCTGAGACGTCTCAAAACCGCGTGTAAGTAGACGACTTTTGAGACGTCTCAAAAGTCACCGCGTGTAAGTAGACGACTTCTGAGACGTCTCAAAACCGCGTGTAAGTAGACGACTTTTGAGACGTCTCAAAAGCCGCATGGCAGCCACAGCATGCAAAGAGAGAGAATGAGCGCCAGTGGAAAAGAAAGGCCGCAGCCAGAGCAGAGAGAACGAAAGACTAGAAACTCCACCATATTTCACAAGAACCTGCAAGCTGCATGCGAGTTAAGCAACATACTTAGCTAAGAGAGTCTTGCTGCACCCCGGGGGTCCGTAGAGCAGAAGTCCACGCGGGGGTGTGGCGCCAATGGCTCTCATCTCGTGTGCGCGCGTGTACGGCCACTCCACTGCTTCTTTCAGTCTTTGCTTGATGCCTTCCAGCCCTCCAATGTCACTCCACCGCACTGTTGGCACCTCCACTGCCACCTGTTGGGTGGGTAGGCGGCACGCACAGGCACAAAACAACCATGTCAGAAAGAGCGGCGCCAATGGCTCTCATCGCACGTGCGCCGTGTGTACGGTACGGCCACTCCACTGCCTCCTTCAGCGGCTGCTTTCTTCCCGCCTCCCCTCCAATGTCAGTCCACCGTACCAATGGCACCTCCAATGGCACCGTACCAATGGCACTGCTTCAGCTCCAGCTGGCACCTCCACTGCCACCTGGTGGGGAAACAGGGCACACATGCAAGGGAAGGGGGTTTCCATGCAACGGCTCTCATCTCATGTGCGCCGCGTGTACGGCCACTCCACTGCTTCTTTCAACCGTCCCTTCTACCCACGCCTTCTCTTCGACCCACATCCCGCCTGCCTACCACACGCACCTCTCGGAGAGCGCTGGGCCGGATGCGTCGCCGGGCCACTTCAAAGTCCTCCTCACACACTGCCAGCTGCACCGCACACGAGACTTCTGCACCGCGCGTAACCCCACTATCGGCAGAACAGCGCTGCTCTCTCTCCCTACCCTCCTCTCCACCCTCCTGTCTACCCTCCTCCTTGCCCTCCTCCTTGCCCTCCTCCTTGCCCTCCTCCTTGCCCTCCTTCCCTCGTCTCGCCCCTCCCTGCCTCTCTTTCTCCCCCACGCTTCGTCTCAGGGCTGCCACAGCAGCTTCGGAGCACAGCGCGCTGATGTCAGCGCCCACAAATCCATGCGTCGCTGAGCTGGCGATGACGTGGACGGCTTCGGGTGACAGCGCGTGCGCCATGCGGGACAGATGGGTGCTGAGGATTGCGAGGCGGTCGGAAGGAGTGGGGATGCCTGGAAGGAAGAACAGTGTGGTTCGGATGGGATTATCTTTGAAGCGCCTCAAAAATCACCTCATTGCAAATGAACACGGATTTGTTTGGTTGGGGAGACAACGGGCCATGTTGAATTCAACCTGCATTACCACTTTCGACCGCACTCTACACCTTCCTCTCACCACTCACCGATCTCCACGTCTCGGTCGAACCTCCCCGGTCGCCTGAGTGCTGGATCAATGGCATTCACCCGGTTGGTCGCCCCGATCACCACCACCCATTTACCCAACGTTACCGCCTTCCTTCCCTTCCTTCCCATCGCCTCATCCCCTCCTCCTCCTCCTCCTCCTCCTCCTCCTCCTCCTCCTCCTCCTCCTCCTCCTCCTCCTCCTCCTCCTCCTCCTCCTCCTCCTCCTCCTCCTCCTCCTCCTCCTCCTCCTCCTCTGCCTCTTCCACTTATTTCTCCTCGTCCCCCCCCTCTCTCTCCTGGACTTGAAGAGGACCCATCAAGGATGGTGAGGAGGGCGGCCACCATGCGGTGAGACAGATCCTCCGCATCCTGGGTCCTGGCAGGGGCTATGGCGTCCAACTCGTCTATAAACACCTGGGGAAGGGATGGTGCAGTGCGGTGAAGGGGGGTGAGGAGGGATGAGGAGGGGTGAGGAGGGGAGTACGGGTGAGGAGGGGAGTACGGGTGAGGAGGCGGCATCCAGGGTGGTGAAAAGGGCCGCCACCATGCAGTGAGCCAGGTACTCTGCATCCTGCTACCCCATGCCACACTGCATTTTGGCTGTCCCATACCATCACCCCATGCCACACTGCATTTTGGCTGTCCCATACCATCACCCCATACCACACTGCATTTTGGCTGTCCCATACCATCACCCCATACCACACTGCATTCTGGCTGTCCCATACCATCACCCCATACCACACTGCATTTTGGCTGTCCCATACCATCACCCCATACCACACTGCATTTTGGCTGTCCCATACCATCACCGCATACCACACTGCATTTTGGCTGTCCCATACCATCACCCCATACCACACTGCATTTTGGCTGTCCCATACCATCACCCCATACCACACTGCATTTTGGCTGTCCCATACCATCACCCCATACCACACTGCATTTTGGCTATCCCATACCATCACCCCATACCACACTGCATTTTGGCTGTCCCATACCATCACCCCATACCACACTGCATTTTGGCTGTCCCATACCATCACCCCATACCACACTGCATTTTGGCTGTCCCATACCATCACCCCATACCACACTGCATTTTGGCTGTCCCATACCATCACCGCATACCACACTGCATTTTGGCTGTCCCATACCATCACCCCATACCACACTGCATTTTGGCTGTCCCATACCATCACCCCATACCACACTGCATTTTGGCTGTCCCATACCATCACCCCATACCACACTGCATTTTGGCTGTCCCATACCATCACCGCATACCACACTGCATTTTGGCTGTCCCATACCATCACCCCATACCACACTGCATTTTGGCTGTCCCATACCATCACCCCATACCACACTGCATTTTGGCTGTCCCATACCATCACCGCATACCACACTGCATTTTGGCTGTCCCATACCATCACCCCATACCACACTGCATTTTGGCTGTCCCATACCATCACCCCATACCACACTGCACCACACCGCACCACTCACAATGGAGGGGGCAGCCTCTTGGGCGGCAGAGAACACCTCGTTAAGAGCCTCCTCGCTCTCCCCAAAGAACTCGCTCACGAGCTCCGGCCCATTGATGACAAACAACGCTGCCCCAGCCTCCGCCGCCACCGCCCGAGCCAGCGACGTCTTGCCCGTGCCGGGCGGCCCGTGCAATAATATCCCCCGCGGGGGCTTGATGCCGTACCTGGTGGTGACGATAGGCAGGGTGAAGCAGATGGAAAGAAGAGAGAACGGGGGGAGTGGGGTGTAGTTTTGAGGCGCCTCAAAACGAGAAATGGGTGAGTGGGGTGGAGTGAGAACCAGCGACGTCTTGCCCATGCCGGGCAGCCCGTGCAGCAGAATGCCACGTGGGGGCATGAGGCCATATCTGGTGGTGTAGGGTGGCCAAAGGTTAGTTTTGGAGTGGGTAATGCACAGAAGACCTAGTGCGGAAGACCAATCAAAAAGTGAATGTCTCCTTTTTCTTTGCACTGTAGACTCTCCAGACTCCAGGCACACAAAGCCCTGCGATACCCGCCGCCGACTTTTAGCATTCAGCGAGTGCTACCTGTGAAAGAGGTCCGGGCATCCCATACCTGTGGAAGAGGTCCGGGTGTCGGAGGGGCAGCAGCACGGCCTCCTTAAGCGCTCTCTTCTGATCCACCAACCCTCCCACCGACCCCAGCGTGATTCCCCTCAAGTCCCCCGCCACCCGCCTTGCCACCGCCGCTGCCCCTCCCCCCCTCCCCTCCCCTTCCTCCTCCACTTTTTCCTTCTCCTCCCCTTCCTTTGCCCCCCTCTCGCCTCCACTGCGGCTCTTACTCTCGCCTTCCTGCTCTCTCTCTCCTGCTCCGGGCATGGTTGCAGGGGCGAGGAGGAACGGGGGCAGAGGGACATGCGCAGTTGCTGTGCTTGCTGCTGCTGCTGCTGTTGCACCTGTTGCTGCACCTGCTGCTGCGCCTGCGCCCCTGTACGAAGATCGCGTGTCCTGTTGTGACACTGAAGGGGGAGGGGATATGGTGACAGTGGTCAGGGGACCCACTTGCACTGGCGTTGCTACCTCTGCTGCCACTGCTGTTGTTGTTGCTGGTGTGGTGTTATGGGAAACCTTTTGAGTTGACTCAAGAGTCACCTCTGCTGCCACTGCTGCTGCTGTTGCTGGTGCGGTGCCACGGGAAACCACAAAGCAGCAGTCCTGCCCGCACACAGGCACCACCACAATGTTTCCGGGCAGAAGCGTTCGGCCCAGCAGCCATCGGGCAGCAAAAACTTCCACGAGCCGGATGCCCTGAAGGCCTTTATTGCTCCTGCTGCTGCTGCTATTGGTCCCCTCGTTTCCTTCCGCCTGCCCAAGAATAGTTTTCACAGCTGCCCAGCGAGCCCTCTCCATCTCTTCTTCACTGATAAAGGGAGTTTTTATTGCGCTGCCCGGAGTGACAGCACTACCTGGAGTCGACACTTTTTTCACACTGCCTGGCGTTCTAGGCTCAAGTCGCCGTGCAAGATTAGAAGGGGTACTGGAAGAAGGGGAAGGGGAAGGGGAAGGGGAAGAAGAGGAGGTTGGAAAGGGGCAGGAAGAAGAAGTGGAGACGGGACGTTGGGAGGTGCGAGGGGGTGTACAGGGCACTGGAGAGGTGAGAGAAGGTGCTGCTGCTCCTCCTCCTCTGACTGGTGTTCTTTGCAATGCGTCCGCTGCTTCCCCTCCTTCTCCCTCCCCGCCTGCTGCTGCTGACCTGTCCCCATCAGCACCAGCACTGCAAGCCAATGGCTCCAGCCACGTCAGCGCCAGCTGTCCGCACGGAATTGGCTGCATGACTGCCTGTTCACCATGCACTTGTGGCAAATTAGGACCCAGATTCTGTTGCCGCCCGGCCTTGAGAGTGAAGACAAAAAGGCGGGTGCTTTCCTCCGGGCGGCCTAGGCTGTCCGCTAGCTGCCAAGAGAGGCGGCAGCAGGATTTGGGAATCTTAGGCGCCGGCCAGACAGTAGCCAACGCGTAGTACAGTCCCGGTAATTGGGCGGCAATCGCCGGCCAATCAGGATGCTGCGTCCAATCGGGCGTTGCAAGGTGTAGAGCCTCCTGTGCCAGCTGGAGGGGCGGGATTGGCTGCGCGGTTTGGGGATCACTGCACACCACCTGATTGGTGGGTTACGAAAAACGGGGGGAAGAGGAACAGAGCGAGTAGTGACAGTGAGAGTGGAGCTGAGGGAGGGGGAATGGGGTGGTGGGGGGGGGGGGAAAGAGTGGAAGGGAGGGGGAAGGGGGGGGGGGGGGGGGGGGAGGGAGGGGTGGGTGGGTGGTTGGGAAAAGAGGGGATGGAGAGAACACGGGAAACGGATCACGGTAGAAGATTCAGAGGTACATACCAAAGCCGCACATAAGCCCCAAACCCTGGACCCTGAATCCGAGGCTCAATATTCCGTTTGTTCTTGAAATCACTGGTACTTATGCGGCCAGATCCGACGAGTCTACCGATTGAGACAGGATTTTCTTAATGGGCCTTACCGCGACCATGTCTCCCGCGGCCACGTCATCAGCCGTCATCCCTGAAGGGTGGAGCCATATCTGGGCGGCCGCTGACGTGTCTCGCGCTGCCACGTCATCTATTGCGGATATTTTCACGTCCAGTCGCTTTCCGCCGAACAAGTCGTCGAAGCACGCGGGCATTTGGGCGCTCGACGAGGATTCGGCGCGGGACGCGGAAGGGGAGCTAGCAGCATCGCGGGAAGTGTGAGGGGACTGCGCTGGCGAGGGCGATTCAGTGGCCTTCTTGCCCTTCCCTTTCGACTTGCCTCCCATTTTCCCTCAAACTTCTGTTTCGCTACAGACGCGTGCGACGGGAAACGCGTGCAGGAAAGCTGCTCGGAATTAGGGACAGTGGGGTTGGTGGGGGATTTGGTCACATACGTAGTTGAGGCCCTGTTCGATAGCAGGGTGAACGAGAAGAAGAAAACTTGGAAACGGTGGGGAGAATTGGGCGGGAATCTACGTGGCACTCCTTGCGACGAGTCCGAGTTCCCGCTAGCGCGAACGATCCCACTGCGATGTCTCGGATTTCCCGCCTTCGCGGGATTACAAGGCGGGAAGTTCAACAATGGTTCCAGACGCCGAAGCGCGCCCTAACAGTGACTCTCGCCCAATGATTACATCCTCGTCACAGCTCCTCTCGGGCAAAACGCCGCTCTGTTACCACACCAATGCCATTTCTACTTTTCGGTGAAGGAGCAACGGTTTCTGTCGGTTGGGGTATTGAGGGATATCTTAGGTAAAATAACAGTCTAAACCAGTGGCATGCCCACTCCTTGGGACACAGCTCACTCGATTTGGAACCGCTCTGTAAAACACTATATATTTTTCAGAGGGAATATTTTGATTGCGATACTTTTTCTGACGCTGACCATGGTTCCGCCAGGGCCCGGGTCAGAAAAAAAACACAGAATGTTTCCACACCAATTGGCCGTTGATGTGGTGTTTCCGAACACCTCGGCCGTTAGACCTGCAGAAAGAAGCCGGCAGGCAGTCGGCTTCAATCATTACGCTGCCGGCGGTGCCGAACGAGCACCGTTTGTCTTTATGCTCCCACCGTTGTGCTTGGACAATGGTTGGGGGCTTTTTGCCGAATTGCTATCGAATCCCACACTGAAATGTACATAAACTCTCCAATCGAGTTTCTACAACCGGGTCGCAAATGGAAGGACCATACTAGACCAATTTCCGACGCTGACGTGAAAGCCAATCAAAGTTCTTGCCGAGTTTGTTGGGGCTTCCCCAAACCAGGTCGGGGAAGAAATTTGTTCCTTTCCTGACCGCACTTCAGGTTTTTTGTGAGCTTGCTTGGGTACGTTTCGGTTCGGTTAGGTGCCCGACGACCCAAAGGCCCACTGGTGGCTTTGACGCTGGTGAGATATTCCACAGGTGCTACAGCGCACAAGGCTGGGTTTCTGAAATCTACCGAGCCAGCCCATGAATTCAATTTTCCAAAGCTGGTTTGCTTCGTTCCCTTTTCCGCGGCGAGTGAAACCTTGCTTGGGCACCCCGATGTGTCATGGGAAGTCCCGAACCAGCCGATTCCGAACCATTATATACGGCTCGATGTGGGGCGTACCGCCGATTGACCACCGCCTAGCCTACGCCAAGCCCGGGCCGAACAAAGAAGAATATGGTGGCACGCCTTCTCCTGCCACCAGGCGCGAAAACCACATGCTCTTCCCCCTCTCCCCGCGCCCTCCTCCGACTGCGGAAGAATCTGCTCAGCTCCTTTTCAGTTTCCGCGATTTGCGGTCCGTAGCAGCCTCTTATTCCGTTCGCCGCACCTCAGGCAGATGCTTCGGTGGCTCCTCACGGGCATGCTTTAAGGTCTTCTTTGTGGCGAAGTTATGTAACCGGACCGGCAAGCTGACACGAAAGTAGACCTAGCATGAACTGCAGTCACCAGTTTCGGTAGTCGCGGTTCCCGTATATTGCGTAGCGCAGCCTAAGGTCTAGTGTTACTCTGGGCTTGAGCCCGCTAAGACTCTACATTCCCTCGTTTGTTTCTTCCTCTAACCAGCATTTCTTACGCCACGTCAACCGTCAATATGGCAATCGCGGCGTCGAATGTCACAAGCGCGAGTAATATCACCAGCAGCCCCGCTCCCCCTCCGCAGTTTCCGCCTCCCCCTCCTCTTCCCCCTCCCCCGCCTTCCCCCGACAATGCGACGTCGCCCGCGACCATCGCGTACGAATCCGTCATCTCTCTGCGACAGCTCAACATCGCAGTCGTCGCCGTTCTCATCCTGCTCGTCATCCTCGTTTTAATCCTCTCCTTTGTAAAGGCGCGTGCCACGTGGCAGCACCAGAGAGCCGCCACGCAGGACCCCGATCCGCAGACCCTGCAGCCAGTGGGGAACCGCGGATTGCTTATGGACGGCCGGAATCTGCGCTCCGGCGTTCCAGACCACATAATTAAGACGCTCGGAAAGTCTTTTACGTACGTCGAGCCGGGGGATGACCTTGAAGCCGGCGGGACCAGCGCCCTTGGCGGGGATGGGGGAGGGGGAGCGGGGGAACGCGGGGAGGGCGGAGGCGGAGTGGGGGAAGGCGGAGCGCTGGGGGCGAGCGGGAGAAGCAGCAGCAGAAGGTCGGCTGCGGCGGAAGCGGCGGGCGGAGAGAGTGATGGGAACGGCGCGGGGGGGAGAGCGGGGCGGGAGGAGGGGGACGATGAGCGGGAGTGCATTGTGTGCCTGGGGGAGTACAAGACTGGTGACGTCATCAGACAACTGCACGCGTGCAATCACCAGTTCCACCAGGTATGTGTATGAGATAAGGAGAGAGGAGGAGAGAGGAGGAGAGAGAAAGTGAGAGAGGCTGGGAGAGAAAGAGAGAGAGGCGGGGAAAGAAGGAGGTAGGAGAGGGAACGCAAAAGAATGAGACGAGAAGGGAGAAGGAAAAGGGGGAGAGGGAGAGAAGAAGAGGCTTGATGTGACTTTGAGGAGAGCGGAGGAGCCCTTTCAGGTGGCTCAAAAGTCAATGGGGGCTGATGTGATCTGCAGAGAAAAAGATGCGTACAAACGCAATGGGATGGGAGAGGGGGAAGATGAGAGGGAAAGGAAGTAAGGTACGGTGGAGCGTTGGGGTGGAGAGGGTAGAGGTGGAAGAAGGGAGAAGAATAAGAAAGGAGAGAGAGTGGGTGGGAGGGGGGTGGGTGGTTGTTTTGCTCCAGTTCTAGCATCTTTCAGATGACTGGACTGCAGTAAAGCATGCATGCTGAAAATTCGCCCATCACCCGCCCGCATCGCTAACCATAAGGCTGCGCCACGCCTCCAACATCACTTTGCACATGCCATACTTACCCCCTTCTATGCTTCAGTGACTTATCCCTCTCACTCGCCTCACCTTTCCTCCCCTCCTTTGTCGCCTGTCCTCAGGACTGCATTGACGCGTGGCTCAAGACCAACTCCTCCTGTCCTCTCTGCCGAACCTCCCTCATTCCAAGCCGCCTGCTGGGGAACAACCAAGGCAATCTCAGCGACATTCCAGAACAGCAGGGGTTGCATGGAAGCGTGGTAAGTAGTGGCCAGGGTGGTGTTTTGTTGGAGCCTGTAGGAATGACGCCATCCGGTTCAGCAATGCCCCTTCTGCCTCCTGAGGGTCCTAGCCGCCTGGCTTATATCACCATCCCCCCTCCGCCGTCTGCCGCTGTTCAGTTGACCCAAGTGGGTGAAGCTGCGCCGGGCGCATCGGCGTCGTACCAAGTGCGTGTTGCAGGGTCTATGTTACCTACGTCAACGTTGTGAGTGCTGATAGTAGTAGCTAGCTTCTCCTATCTAGCAAGCTAGCAACCAATGTGTTTTATATTAATGTATTGAAGTAATAACGTTTAATTCTATGAATGGTGTAATCCTCATTGTGCTAGATCCTTTGGTAACGTGTTTTGCTAGATCCTGGGCTAAAGAAATTTCCAACCACCATGTTGCATCTCGCTAGGTCAATCCAACCTCCAAAACATTCACCCGCCATCCCTGTTGACCCGCCTCATCACTCATGTGCCTCTCTTCCACACCTTCCCTCAGTGCTGCATGATTAGTATAAAGAAAAGCTATTTCTCGCACAGGGAGCGAGAACAATTTTAGCATTGTCTCTGCCTACAGGAGCTGGATAATTTTCGACTACGCGGCCACAGCGGAGGAAGCCGAAACGCACGAATGTTTTGACCCATGCCCCGTCGCCTTCTCGTAGCGCCTCTGGCAGAACTTGCTTCACTCCCTTCCTACCCGAACGCGTGCCATAGCACGTCCAGATCCGTAAGAGCTCGGACGCTGAGTGGATCTCGCGGTAATCTATTCCGGCTCTATACGCGGTATTTGTTCGCACTGTTAGCGCTCCTGCTCGTCGCGTTCTGCGCGGCCACTCTGCCACCACATGCTCGTGATCGCATTCGCGCGCGCCCAGTTTTGATCCCGCGAGCAGCGCCCACCGGCACTCTAGAGCCGCCTCAGGACGCGCGACCAACGAGTAAGCCGGTTCCGTCGCCTGCGCCAGTCGCGACGCGGGCACTGACGAAAGACCGTCAGACGGTTTCGAATAGCATCGCCTTTGCCAGCAACGGTGACAGTAGCAGCAATAGCAGCGGCGTCAACGTCAGCAGCGGAGCCGATGACGGTAGTGGCAGCCGCAGTAGTAGCGGCAGAAGCAGCAGAAGCATCAGCAGCAGCAGTGTTACCGGCAGTTACGATTACTCAAACAACAGCAGCAGTCCGCACAACGGCCAGTGCAAGCCGCGCTACGACAGGCCGTTGACCCGCCTCGTCCCCCGCTCCGCGCATCTTCCTGACGAGTGCGCGTTTGCGCTCCCCGTGCCGCTCCACCAATGCGCGCTCGGCTACAGCGAAGCCGTCCAGGGCGGCTACGGCCGGGCGGAGTACGTTGTCTCGTCCGACGACGACAGCATGACGCAGGGCACGCTGCGGTGGGGTTTAGTGCGGTACCGAGCGGTTGGAGTATATGTGCGGTTTAGCCAGAACATGGAGATCAGGTTAAGGGGGCCGCTTCGGCTCGGGTCGCACGTGACATTGGATGGGCGAGGCGCGAGAGTGCGAATCGCCGGCGGCGCGGTGGTGATTCGAGGGTCCAGGAGTGTCATCATCCATAACTTGCAATGTGAGTTGCTGCTGCTCCTATTTTCCTCAGCCATTTCTTCCCCATCAACCCCGGTCGTGAACAGGCTCAGCACTCGCAACTAAAGCGGTTTCCAGTGCTTCCCGTTTTGCAACTGCGCCCGCGCATTGCCTACTTTTCTGCTAGATAAAGCTGTCAGGTAGATCTGAACAGCGCTAAAATGCTTCCGTTTGATCACCCCCTCAGACTCTCTCATCTGCACTATCCATCCGTCAGCCAGACTCCCCAATATAAGTTTCTCCTTTCCACACACGCCCCTCACTCTTTCCTCCTCTTCTTTCCCTCTCTTCTCCCCCCCTCCACCCCTCTGTCGCCTTCCCCACCTCCCTCCTCCCCCTTACTCGTTCTTCCTTACAGTTGCAGTCGTTCCCCGGTCGCTGTCCGCACCTCAAAATCTGGTCTCCATCCGAGCGTCCCACGACATCTGGATCGACCACTGTACACTCCAATCCTCGCCACGTGCCCTCATCTCCCTCTCCCGCTTCTCCACTAACATCACCATCTCCAATAGTCACCTCCGTAACGGCGGCGACGCTATGGTTACCGTCACGCCCCTCCTCCCGCCTCCCCTTCCACCACCTACACTCCGCCGTCCTGTCCATGCCACGATTTTCCGAAACTTTTTTGACGGGCCGGGCAGCCCTGATGTTTTATGTGCAGGGGCAATGTGCCACGTGGCAAATAATCTCTTTGCTGGTTGGCTGTTTGGGTGCCTGGCTGCTAAGGACCCTGCTCCTGGATGGGTTAAAGAGGCAACTACAGGTGGTAACAGCAGCTACACAAGCACCGGTTACAACGGAAGTGACTATACCGAAGGTGATTATGAAGCTGCATATACGACTACAGGAGGAGCTACGGCTGTGGGTACAGCTGCAGAGGAGGGTACAACCGTGACTACAGCAGCTTCTGGTGGGAGAAAGGGTAGAGGTTATGGGCTGACAGTCATCCGCTCACAATCCAACATCTTCCTCCCTGGGGTGGGGCTGCAAGCTACAGTAGCAGATTGGAGCGACTCTAATTCCAAAATATTTTCGAACAGGGATCTATTGATGAATGGAGCTTATATGGGGAAGACACGGCAGATGGGACGGGACGGGGGAGAGACAGCAGCCTCGGTGGTGCGGGGGAGAAAGGAACCTTTTGTTCCTTATGCGCTACCTCTGAAACCAGTGACGTTGAGTCTCGCATGGTATATCAAAGGTAACTCTGGTGTAAAATCTTTGAATTAGACTTCATTGATAATCCAACACTGTTTGGTTATTTTCATAGGCTTGGCTGGATGTTACATGGGGATCTAGTCAATATCTCACCACAAACCAGCTTATCATTTAAAGCTTCGCCTGGAACTCAACTTATCACGTTACTTTTTTGAGTCGTTACGTTTTTGCGTATATCAGGATTAACTGTAAGGTGGTTCTGGGTGTGAGTGAAGTGTGTGTATTCCCGCGTTGCGATCCTTCCGACGAAATTTCAGGATCACCACCACCAATCTTCCCTGAAAGAATTCCTTCCATTCCCCAGTTTCCGCCAGATGAGGTACGCGGCGCTATCGTCCACCATTTGGAAGCGGGTCTGTGCGACGGATTTGATGGTTACCCTTGTTGTGTCGCAGTCTTCTTCGCATGCTTCCCGTCGCCGCCATTTTGCTCCAACCCCCCAGCTGTTTGCCACAACCGCCTTCCGCCTTCCGCCTTCCGTCTTGACTCCGCCCCACCCCTGCTCCGCGCAGCTCAGCTCAGCTGCTCGGATGCCCAGGTTGAATTGTCCAGGTATTTTAGGCCTCTAGTCATTTCTCTTCTCCATACCATCCTGGTTTTCTCTACTCAACCCGCTTCCTTGACTGCCCCTGAACTTCCCGTCTGCTCGCTCGCTCGCTCCCTCGCCATGGCTCGCGGAGCTCGTGTTCTTCTCGTCACGCTTCTGTCGCTCATTCTCGTCGCGCAGCACGTCGCTGCTCTTAGGCCGGGTGCGTCAAATATGATTTCGAATGCCGTTTCGTGAATGCTTCATTGTTGGTTTTTCCTTTTGCCAGGTGGATAAGTAAACTCATCGTGGACCCTTCAATGGACGAATGCTGCTTCCACTCAAACCCTGGCCAGAATTTCATGGCTCTTAGAATTTATCTCCCCTTTTCCGAAATGTTCTCGAGTCGACTTCCCGTCAATGATTCATCTCTCATCGTTGTGTCGCTCGCATTTTTCTCCTTCCGTTTCAGTTCCGGCTTCGAAGGACGATGACAGCGAGAAGGACGGAAGCAAGGACAGGAGCAAGGACGGCAGCAAGAGCAGCGACGGGAGCAAGGACGGCAGCAAGAGCAGCGACGGAAGCAAGGACGACGGAAGCAGCAGTGGTGACGACAGCAACTCCAAGTACAAGCGCTTGGTTGTCGTGCTCTACGAGGACATTAGCGTCAACACCAACATTACAGCCGTGAGTTGCGCGCCACCGCCGCTCTTTGAAGCGAGCACTACGAGTCCGAGTCGGACTGCCGCATCCGATGCGTTTTCTCGTCTGCTATTTTTCTGAGTCTCGTCTTTTGTCTCTCTCTTTTCTGAACCTCATCATTATGTGAGCAGGGCGGATCTGGCGGCACGGGGTCGACGCTTATGTACAGCACGCCTCTCTACAAGACCAAGGACCTTACGGGCAAGGTATCGGATGTTCCATACTAGGCTGTCTCCAGATCGTGGGAAATCGGAACGAGCGTGTCTCTGCATAATGCTATGCTTTCCGGCAATACTCTTTCAAGGAACGTGCCGCCCGCTTCGGTTCTTTCTTTTTTCTCGCCCCTGTCCTTTTTTTTTTTCTTTTTTCTTTTTTTTTCTCTTTTTTTTTTCAACTTTTTCTTGTCAGGTTGGTCAGCACTACCTCACGGCGGTAGCCTTGTGGAATGACATGGTCATGCTCTCCTGCAGCCTCAACTTCCCCAATGGACTTGTTACCGTCTCAGGTGGGCTGTCCTAAATGTTATTTGTCGCATTGTGTTGTCATCGTCGCATCCATCTTGATGTTACTAAAATTTCACTGGATCTCATATTGCTAGCGGGCGCCGAAGGCTGACAGGCCGCTGTAGTTTTTGCAACAGCTGACCGAAACTCGAGATCAATAGTTTTTTCTTGTTCCGCCGTGTTCTTTCAGGAGCTTTCAAGTGGACGGAGAACGTGGGGAGGGTTGCCGTGACTGGAGCCACGGGCGCCTACATTGGGTACTCGGGTACGGCGTTCCTTTACGGTTTGGACGGCACAGTGAAGTCCAGCAAGAAGCACCGGCTCGTGCTGAAAGCATTCAAGGCCACGTCTTAAAGCTCGCAGCCAAAATTGCGGATCGCGCAGGGCAAGCTTACTAAGCTCAAATATGTTTCAGAGTCACTCTCGTGTCGGGAGAGCAAGGAGCTGGATGGTTCATCGCTCCATGCTCACCTAGCGTTTCTTGTTTGCGCAACATAGAATGAATGGGCGCGATTACCGCAGCGTGGTTGTGTGTTGTCCTGTGGGTGTGTGCTGGGCTGTGGTGTGGGGGAGTAGTGTCTGAAGGGTTTGTCTCACCGTTGTGGGAAATAAATTCCAATACCTCAAGTGAGTGCCTAATTCCAAGGCAAATCGTGTGCTAGGTTGACAAAACTACAAGAACGCGAACCTCTCAGTAACGAATCCAGGAATGATCGAGAAGAGGTGGCGCGTGCTGTGGGAGGAAGGGGGGGGGGGGGGGGATGTTGGGTTGGGGTTGGGGAGGAAGGACCTGCGGCACCGCGCTCGTGTCCCCTCCCCTCCCCTCCCCCTCCCTTGCAGAACGCCATGCGATGCGAGCGTGTGAGTCGTGTCGTGTCGTGTGGCAAGACGGCGGCGCAACGCGTGGGGAACAGAAGTAGCACCTAAAAATGGTCAAGAACTGTTCAAAAACGGCGGACGAAATGCTACGCTGGCGGATCGCGCTTGGGAGCGCAGTTCGTCGGCTCCACCATGGGGGCTACCCATAGATTCCATTGATAGGGGCCGCGAACGAGAAGTAAACCTTCACTCGAGCGTTCGCGTTGCTAACCAATCGTATTGGTGCTGTTCGCCAGCACCAATATAACTGAAAACGACGGGATAACAACGGGATCAGGAAGGTGGGTCTCGCCTTCCTGATCCCGTCAGTTAGAGTTCGTTAACCTCCGTCAGCTTGGTCAGCCCGTGAAAAATGTGCCGAGCCTCACCAACCGTCCAAACCAATTAACAAAGTGGGCGTCTGGCGAACGCCCACTTTTGTACATCGACTTTTACGTTTCGACGGCATATGGAAGCGGGGACGAAACTTCCTCCCCAGGCAAAACACCATCCCCTTGCAATGCCATCGTCATGCTGCGTTTTTCGAAGCACAGCGGTGGCACAGCGGACGCATTGCTGTGCAGGGGAACCCTCGAACAAGCCTTCATTTTGACACAGGGGGGTTCGGAAAACCCTAAAGGTGTTTATGGAGTGTGAGTTGTGTCTGGAACTGAGCGCGGGGTGGGGGGAGTTGTGTTTGAGCGGGGTGCGTTTTATTTGCGTTTTTTACCCACGTTGAGCATTTTTTGGTCAGCGGGCAGCAGGTGGGTCAGTGATGTGCAAATTTCGCGCCATTGGGGGGAAGGTGGGGATGGACCTTCCCGACGCGGTTGTGAATTTCGCCTTTTGGGCGCGCGTAGTTTCTCGGGCGGCATTTCGCCCAAACCTCGGAGGAGGGTTCCACCCCCGTTTCCATATGCGGTCACGATGCTGATGCCGTCGTTTTCAATTTAAAAAACGATGTGCTGGCGAACAGCACCATTGTCTCGCACAATTCGTACGATAACCAAACCAATCATGCCCTCCATTCGCACGACGACGCATGTTACAAAGGCCAGCACACATGATGCTGGGAATGGTCCTCGTTTGTACCACGCGACACGAAATGATAGTGCAAAAGGGTAAGGACTGAATTGCAGGCTACGTAACACAAAATATGCATCACATTCCTACCCTTAATTAAAGCGCTTTGAAAGGTACACTACATCTTCTAGCTAATATTGATTGTCTTTCCGACAGACTCCAACGTGAAACCTTCCAGCCTGTAGAGCACCTCGTTTCTCTGCACAAGCACACCAAATCAACATTTTCTCAGAGTGGGCATCGGTGCATGTGATGCATGAGAGCAATGCGTGCAATTGGACCGGAGTGCCTACACTGTGTACCTTGAGAAACGGAATGGGGGAACCACTCGGGTAGGACACCAGCGCAGAAGCAGCAGCACCCAGCGCCACCCCACCCTCCACAACATCTGTAGCAGTGCTGCCAGAAGCGGCTTTAGCCCCATCAGAGCCAACCCCTCTTGAGGCCAACAGCAGGCCATCAGAGGTGGCATCAGCACGCAGAGTTGCTGCTGCTGACGAGAATGTTTCCACCAATGGCAGCCCTCCAAATGATGCTGCCGCCCATGTGCTACGTGGCATAGTGGCAACAGTCAGGTCAGGATCGGTCGGAGTGGGAGCATCAGCACCTAGAGGCACAGCAATTGCTAATAATTTATCCTGCCCGGCGGACTCTGGAGGGCTGATGAGCATGAGGGGGCCCTCGAGAATAGTTTTTCTCTGGCTGTTGGCTCCTTGGAAGTACCTGCAATGGAAAGAAAGGAAGGACAAAGTGAGAAAGTCTGGCTTGTAACTGCCCAGAGTTCGTATCAGCTCAAATTGTTGCAACAAGGGGAGGTGGAGGAGGAAGCAGCTGGTGAAAACTGGAATGATATGGATCATATGGATGGGATCAAAGAAGAGGCATGGTTCAGTAATCATTGCACCCCAAAGCACACAGGGTACCACGCCATGCCTCGGCCAGTGATTCCTTCTTTTTAGACTCAAGGTCACACAGGATGCTGTGTCGAGCCAAGACCTATGGGTACAAAGCTCACCGCGTACTACCTTTTTAGCTTCTCTACTTGTGGATTGGAAGGAGCGCCAGGAGCAGACGGCCAGATGTCAGACGCTGATTGGATGGGCGAGCTGAGCTGAACGACTTGGAAGGCAGGGTACTCCCGCACCTGGAGGAGAAGAGAGGGGCGGTTGGGGGTGGGAAAAATCGGCGCGCAGTGAGGTAGAGAGACCCCAAAGAGGATTGGTGAGAGAACGTGGAGCATATGGGGAAAAGAGGTGAGGGGAGAATAAGGGACGCGGAATGATGATACCAGCCATGACCCACCTCGTAGCTTGCTCGCCTGAGTAGCACATCAAGCGGCGGGGAGTTGAGCTGGGCGGGCGGCGAGTAGAGCGTCATCATCTGCTTCACCAGGTTGCGCAGGCCCAAGGAAAAGCATTCGCCGCACTCAACCGGGAGACACACAAACCCGACCATGACCCACCTCATAGCTCGCCCTTCGCAGCAGCACATCAAACGGCGGGGAGTTGAGCTGGGCGGGCGGCGAGTAAACCGTCATCATCTGCTTCACAAAATCCCGGAGGCCCTCCTGGGAGAAATAGCCGTTGTCCTGAATGGAGTCCCACACGTCCCTGTGGCTGATGAATTGCTGGGACAGCGGATCGATGCCGTAGATTGAGAGGCCTGTGAAGACCACCTCCGGGCGCCACGGCAGCAGCCAGAAGTACATCTTCATTGTCCATCGCGTCGTAATTTCTGCTGGGCCGGACTGGATGGGTGGGAGGCACGTGAGGATGCAAGGGAGAAACTTTCTTGTTTGAAACTGTAAGCAGCACTGATGAAGGCCTAGCGGGGTTCTTTGCAGCTACTCCATGATGAACCTTGATCCTCGGGAGGCACGTGAGGATGCAAGTGAGAAGACGATGAGAAAGCGAGACGGGGACGGGGAACGGGAGGAGGTGCCACGGCAGCAGCCAGAAATACATCTTCATCGTGCATCGCGTTGTGGTTTCTGCAGGGCCGGACTGGAAGGGGTGAGAGGCACGTGATAGAGGGAGAATGCGTGAGAAGGGAGAAGGCATGAATCAGGGAGGGGAGGGAGGTGGGGCGGATGGGGAAATCGGGATCACATTGGGAGCGTCCAGACAGATTAGAAAACGCTGGGAAGGGAGGGATGGTGGTCACCAATTTCGAGGTCCATACTTCGGATGACTGCCGTTTAAATGGTTACGTTGTGTGGCAATTGCTTGCTACGTGTACTTCGGTAAGCGTGATCTCACAAGGCAATTTTCATGCACCTTTAGAACCATGACCGCTGCTAATCTGCTGTCATACCCAATCGTAACTGTCCAGTATTAAATTAGACTTTTCGGGGTAAGGATATGCGGTGCGTACCTGATACGTGTCTTGGAGAATGAAGACCGGGTGGAATAGGTACCGCAGCATCTGGATATTAAAGAGGTATCCCGCCAGAGTGTCGTAGCGCGTTATGGGGTCCTCAAACTCCACCTTATCCGCAAAGCGCGCCGAGCTCATGCCCTGAAGAAACAGTGGAAGAAAGCAAACAATTGCTTTAGTAAAGCAAGTCATAGTGGCAAATGATTTGTCCCGGCCCGGGCAACAGCAACCTACGCCGGTAAAAACACTGCAATGTTCGCAATTAGTGGTCCAGTGATAGTCATGGTAGTAGTTGAGGTTATGTCAAAGTCACTTACCCCTTCCACGAACAGCTTCGGCAGCTCGTGTTGAAAAAGGCGATAAGGTCGGCGATCACATGAGAAGCACCACTGATATCGGAGTCACGTGTGAGAATTCCCAACGGTCATGTCACTCACCCCTACCACGAACAGCTTCGGCAGCTCTTATTGACGAAAGGCGATAAGATCCGCGATTACATGAGAAGTATCACTTATATCGAAGTCACATGTGAGAATTCTCAACGGTTATGTAACTCACCCCTTCCACGAACAGCTTCGGCAGCTCTTGTTGAAGAAAGGCGATAAGATCCGCGATCACAGCTGGCGGCACCGCGGCTTCCGCTACCTCTGCCACGTCAGTCTTGCTGGATGCGGTCCCTGCTGTACTCCCCGCAGCGCGAGTGATGCTTCGGCGATACTTCCTACTAGACTGGCATGTCACGGGATTGACAGCTTTAGGTTGCTGAGCGAAGAGCTCAGCACGTATGACGCCGGCGGTGGCGGTTTGTGGCTGTCTGGATTGAGGAAACACGGCATTCTGTTGGGGATTAGAGCTGAAAGTGACGAGTCTTTCTGACGATTCGAATGCTAAAGGACTCGATTGGAAATGGAGGAGAGCTCGAGTGGCCATAGCCGCAGCGCCTACGAATCCAAATGACCGACAGAAGCAACTTCTGGAGAACGCAACGAGAAGGCAAACTCGCGGCAACAGTCTGATATTACTAACGCCTGAAGCTTGCAAAAACGAAGAAATTCACGATATATTTTCCCCTCAGTCACAGAACAGACTTGACAGTCTTCTCTTCGTTATTATGGCGTTGTGAATTTGGTTTTCCAGGTGATCGAAGAAATCCGGCCTGGTCTGGTTCGTGTGTGGCGTATTCCTAGCTTCGGGTCATCCGGTGTTTGTGTCATCCGAAAATTGAGGTAGCCAAGTGAAAAGCCCGCGGTTCGTAATTCGATTTTTTCTTTTGGATACCGCAAATTTCAAATGACATGAAGCCGGGATGATCCGAAGCCAGGAATACGCCCTAAGGAGGTGAAATAGGTCTGGTGTTGTGCCACGTGGGCGATACTTGACGTCACGTCCTAGTCGATTTTCCCTGGGGCTTTGGTGGCTCCACGGGGCTCAGGTACAAGTTGTGGCTGAGAGAATGGCACGTCGGAGTACGAGTTTGATGTTGTTCCAGGCGAGAGATCAGCGTGGTTACAAACTGTATGCGAAATGCCGTTTCGTTGGACTGCTCAGGCGGGAGAAAAGTGCGCTACGCAGGTTGCTGACACCAACAAACGATTTCGCGAGCAGCACTGCGGATGCAGATCCGAACCGGCCGTATCCCAAAAATCCCTGAACGGGCGGACTACACTGCATGTGGCGGGTAACCACCAATCGCGCGTCTGCGGTACCCCATTTCTTCGACTGTTTTGTTTGCGAATCTGGGTCTACGTGGACAAGAATGATGCAGTCGACCAATACATTGGAATCCGTGGAGAGCCGTAATCTAACACGCATTACCAATTTGAATCGTACAATACCATATCACCGTCATTTGTGTTTCGCCATGACTGGCTGAAGCTACAGATTACAAAATGCACTTGAAAGGAGCTGGTTCGAATTAGGCTGGGAAACTAGACGTTTTATTCGCATATGGTGTGGTGTCTCGTAAATCCTCATAACTCAGTGTGAGCATACTCGCTTCGATTGAGAGGTGATCTCTGTAGGTCGACTTCGCACAAAACGGTCGAGATGGCACTCACTCTTCGTCGACGCGCCGCACCGGAGGGCTTCTTTGATTCCAGTCCACGTGGCGAGGAGCACGCCGCTTCTAAGATCTCCAATTCGGCTCCCTGGAGGTGCTTCGAAGCGCTTTCGGGGATCCGATCTCGTTCCCCCTCCGCGCGCCACTCTTCCGCCAATTCCGTGCGCCATCTCCGCGCGACGTTGCTCCCCGCGAACTATTCTGAGCCTCCCCACGAGTTGCTGCTCCCCGCGCACCAAGAAGATCCCGCCACGTGGCAACGCGAGCTGCTCTCGGCGATCGGCGCACCCGCATCTGCGCAGGTGTTTTCCGCGCGGATCTGCCCGCGTCTGGTGGTGTTCTGGGCGATTGCGCCCAGCAGCGCGGAGATCAACGAGCGCGCGGGACGGCTCGCGCGGATCTCCCATATTTACGGAGACGCTCTAGCAGTAGAGTGTGACTCAAACGACAGCGCCTTTAACGAATGTGACAATAGTGAGACTGCTCAATGCAAGCACATTGCCGCCGCCTCCCCCGCCGCCGCCACCGCCTCTGCTTCCACCAGGGCAAAAATCTCCCCTCCATGTCCTCCTGCCTCGCCCTCTTCCCCTCCTCTCCCCCATTCCCCACAGACTCCTCTCCCCTCCGCCTCTTCCTGTCGTCGTTCCGCATCCCTCCCCTCTCTAACACATCCCCTTCCGCCCGCCCTTCCGCTGCTTCCCCACCGCGATGCTTTACATTCTCGCGTGCCCGGCCACTCGGGTCCCATTCTCCCCCGTCTCGCTCGCTCCGAACCCCCCTCGCCCCCCTTGCTCGAGCCGCCTTTGATGCCATCCACACTTGACCATGCCCTCCCTTCCTCTCTCGACACGTGTGAGGAGTTATCCGCACCTAACTTGCCCTCACCACCATCGCTTGAAACGCCTCTCACGCCGTCTACACCCAATCCCCCGCCACCCCCGGCGTTGTGCCTGGCCTCTCTCCTCCCGTACGACGTCACCGAGCGAATCTTCCTCGCCCTTTCCTTCGCTGACCTCATCAGCTGCGCCGCTGTCTGCAAGGCGTGGCGCTGCCACGTCAGCAGCAACCAGGTGAGTGCGGCGTGACTTATTAGGAAATTTTCCTCATCACTTATCGCTGCTTTCCGTGCATGCTTCTTATAACGAATCTCTGCTCTGCCGTCTGTTGCAGCACATCCTCCTGAATGTGACTATTACGAGGCCCAGAGTCACCTTCTCCAGTCCCGGTTCGTCCGCCAACAGGACAAGAGCAAACGGCCCCTCGGGAATACCGCCAGCAGCAGCAACAACGGCAACAGCAGCACAATCACGGTCACCGCCTGTTTCACCCGGAGCCATGACCATGCAAACCACGTCTCCACAGGATGCGTCCACTCAGGAGAATCACAACGGCCAGACAAACCACTATGAACCGAATGCCCAGCAATTTCAACCCATACTCACCCATGTGCGCTTACCCCCTCTGCCGGTTCGCCAGTCCCACCATCAAGAACCGTTCACCCTCTCCCCTCTCCGCTCACCACTCGCCTCTCCTACAGTCACCCCTCGTAACAGTCACCTCTCTGGAGTCTCTATTCGAGTCTCCCCCGCCCCCTGCCCACTCCCCCCGTTGCTTGTCGTCCGGGCAGCAGAAGCAGGGAACCTGGACGCGTGTGTGATTATGGGTAGCGTGATGGAAGCGAGGGGCGAGCAGCAGAGGGCGTTGGAATGGTACAGAAAAGCAGCGAGAATGGGGCACCAGGGGAGCCAGTACCGAATAGGCGAGGCGTACTATAGAGGGGATGGAGACTGGCCGAGAGACGAGGAGGAGGCGCTAGCGTGGCTGCTGCGTGCTGCTCGGAATGGCCAGGCGGATCCCAAACTCGGTGCTGCTGCTGCTGTGAGTTTCCAGATCTACTCTGAACGTGTACGCTAGTGCAGTGCTGTCGATTTGCTCTGCTCTGTGCTGCTGTTGCTGGGGTACGTGTACCTGGACGTGTACACGTACGTGTTGGGGTACGTGTACCTGGACGTGTACACGTACGTGTTGGGGTACGTGTACCTGAACGTGTACACGTACGTGTTGGGGTACGTGCACCTGGGCGTGTACACGTACATGCTGGGGTACGTGCACCTGGACGGGGAGGGCACTCCTCCGCGTTCTGTGGCTATCATCCGCTCTCTCTACCTTAGACTGAAACTGATTTGTTCACCTCCTTTTTCCCCAATGGCAGCTGCTGCTGGGGTACATGTATCTGGATGGGGAGGGCACGTGCACACTGTGGGTGTTCTATACCACCTGTCAAAACCGACCTGTACTCCTCTGTTGACCCCCCTGCAGCTGCTGCTGGGGTACATGTATCTGGATGGGGAGGGCACGGGGAAGCCAAGCATTGAAGAGGCCGTCCGATGGTATGCTTGCCATGGCATGTGTTAGTTGCATAAGTGCATGCACGCATGGATGTTGTGGCATGGGTGATGTGGAGTGTGCATGCATCCGTGCAGTGGATGTGTGCAGCATGTGTGCAGTGGCATGGGTGCAGTGGCATGTATGCATGGTGGATGGTGGATGGATGCAGTGGCATGCATGTGTGCAACTCATTTTGGCGTACCTGGACGTATCAGCATTGCAGGACGCCAACCATCTGGTGTGATGGGGGGGGGCTGCATGTCTGTTGCATGTCTTTTGCATGTCTGTTGCATGTCTGTTGCATGTCTGTTGCATGTCTGTTGCATGTCTGTTGCATGTCTCTGTTCTGAACGAAGTCCAGCTTGCCGACTAAACCACTTGTAGTCTCTTTATCACATGCTCGGGTTCCCTGTGTGTCAGGTTCAAGATGGCGCGAGACTTGGGGTGCAAGGAAGCAGAAGTCACACTTGGATGGATGTGGAACACAGGCCAGTACTGATGGGGCAGTGCTGATGGCAATCTTTTAGTCAATTTGAAAATGGGTTCAAGATGGCGCATAGCTTCAGGAGCACAAGTGCCTGTTGGATGGATGTGGAACACAGGGCAGTGCTGATGGGGAGGGGCTGATGGAGCAGTGCTGATGGATGGGGGTAGATTTGATGGGCCAGACCCGATGGCTAGGAGCTGAGTAGGAAGTACAATTATTGCATGTTTAACCGCCACTGTTTACACGAAAAGGGAGCGATCCAGCATCGAAGCTGGTTGTAACGAGTAGTGATAGTGTGTTCAATGGGCCTGTTATTCTCCATCACACAATCTGCAGGCAGTCTGTAAGTCAGCCAGGGTAAATCCACTCCGATAGGAAAAAAATTGCCTTGATCGGTACAGTACCGTACCTTCTTGACTTGAAAATCACAATATTCGTACCGGTATAAACTTTCTCTTTCAACTGGACAGAGGCCAAGCTGAAAGACAGCCGCCGACGGATGATGAAGATGCTGTTGGTACAGGCGAGCTGGACAGATCACACGCACATCAGTCCTCCATATTCGCCCATTGCGAAAAAAGGAAAGACACCTAGGTTGTCTCACGGGGGAAGCCTCCTGACTAGCCTTCCCCTTCCTCCCCTTCCAACAATCCCAATGGCCCATCCTCCATATCCTGCCACGTGTCACAATCAGCTGCTTCCTGCCTGCCTTGGCGCCGAGCTGCCAGCTCAGCAGGATCTTCCGGGCAGCGATTGCGAGGGCCTCTTCTCAGTGGCCGGGCAGCCACTGAAAACTTCGCACCTTCCCGCTCCCGCTCAGGGTACTGGGCCCACACTGAATTGGGGAGGGGATGCAAGAAGAAAACGTATGGTAGTCATACCATACGGTTTGATCGCAAATTTGTCGCACAGACATCGATGAAAGTTGCCTGGAGAAAGCAGGACGGGAAGTTGACACTATGAAAAGCTGAATCAGGGGGTGCATGGTGGGGTGCATAATGAACTGAACAACAGCGATCTTGTCACGAAGTATAACATGCAAGTTCTGAGGCATGCCAACACCCGCTTACCTGCAAAGTGGTGCAGGACGATGGAGGCTGCGACAATGACGTTGAGGGACGCAGTCCCGGGGCCGTGCTGTGGAATGTAGACAAACGAGTCACACACAGCTAGCTCCGAGGAGGAGAGTCCTGTGCCCTGGTGGAAGGAGGGTGAGGGACTTTTGAGTCGACTCAAAAGCAGTCTCGGGGCCGTGCTGTGGAATGTAGACACACGAGTCACACACTGCTAGCTCCGTGGGGGAGAGCCCCGTGCCCTGGTGGGAGGGGTGAGAAACAAGAAGACTTTTAAAGTGCCTTTTGAGTCCACCAAAAAATCGGCTCTGCTGCGGGACGTAGACAAACGAGTCACACACCGCTAGCTCTGAGGGGAGAGACCTGTGCCCTGGCGGGAGGGTTGACGGCCCAAGGAGATAATGGAAGACGAGGAGTCAAAAATAGACTTTTGAGTCGACTCAAAAGTCAACTCCCTGGTGGGAGGGTTGACGGCCCAAGGAGATAATGGAAGATGAGGAGTCAAAAATAGGAGCTGGGACAACAGAATGAGAGAAAATGTGTGGCCTGGATCACGAGGGGGAATTTGAGTCGCTTTTGAGAATTCTCAGAAGCGAATCACGAGGGGGAATCATGCAAGAGAGGTGGCGAATGTGCGCAGCTATGGGGGGGAAGAATTGATACCTCGTTTCCAAGGAGAAAAGCAGTGTTGCCAGTGAATGGGTGTGACTGTATGGGGCGCGCATTGTCCACTATCTCCACTCCGCATATGCTGCACTCCCTCTCCTACTGCCCACACACAATGTGCATGCATGGCGTGGTATGACATGGGATGGCATGGGATGCCATGGGATGGGTAGACATGGGTGTGACATGGCATGAGATGGGATGGGTAGTCGCACAGCATTACATGGCATGACATGGAATGGTATTTTTGAGAATTCTCAAAAATACCCTTCAGCAACATGGAATGTTATGTGTAAACATGGTGAACCAAAAGGTGATCTGTCAACACGTCGAAGTTAGTGTGGTATGTGCATGAATCTTCCATGATATGGCACGCCAACGGTACGACATTGCAGAGACAATGACATGCCGCTGATTCAACAACGGCATGGCATCACCATGGCAATGGCATGCATGTCAGGCATGCCGCGGACTAGAACTGTGGAATGAATACCAACATGGCATGACAAGACTATATACCAACATCAAAGTAAGCAGGCGTTACTGGGAATCCTAATGACAACCACTGCGCATGACAAGAAGGTACAGTAAAATCCAACATGCGCTATGACAAAAATGATTCAGTTGAACCAACCTGGAGGTAAGACTTGGCGTCTGTGAGAGTATTAAAATGCTTCAGCGAGACGTGATCTGCGGCTCCATGGCTTCCGAACGCGCTGAAATCCCTCCGACCCACCACCAGGATCTGATGCACGCTGAACGCCGTGGCACTATGGAATGTGATTATAGGAGAAGAGAGGAGGAGTGGAGAGAAAGAGAGGAGAGAAAGAGAGGATGTGGTAAAGAGAGAGGGGAGAGACGGGAGCGGAGATTTATATGCACATCTGGTGAAAAGATACTACGTCAGACACCGAAAGCTGGTACGGGAGAGATCACGACTTGATTGTATATCCCGTACCTGCGAAGGAGCATGCCAATGTTATGTCGCTTCGCCACGTTATGCACGATCACGTAACACTCTGGCAACTCGCTAGGCGAAGCGGAAGACCCGACTCTACGCCCGTCTGACAACGTGGCCTCGAACGTCCCTGACGTTTCTCTAGACTTGACGGAACCATCTTCACTCGCGATACAGGCTTGAGGGTCGCTCACGACGGGTTCTGAACTGGCCTCCATGGTTCCTAGATCCTAAGTGTCTGCATGCAAAGCTTACTAAAGTAAGTCTAACCTTTCAGGGGTTGACAGAACTAGACTGCATATCTCAGGCTAGAAACTGCTGCTGAAGGATCAGGAAATACGCGTTATCAACACTTCGTCTAAGACAAACAAGATCAAGAACGAACCGTAAATGCATTCAACAACCTTGCAAAGCTACACAGCAGGGAAAAATTTAGCAAAGAAGTTGAGAGCTTCCGGGAGGTGTGACAAGGTTTTCTAAACGGTTTCTTTAGAATCTTGAGTGGTTGAGTGGTGCTTAGCGAAAACAACCATCAGAATTTTTCTGTTCGAAGAAGGCTCATCAGAATTTTTTATCTCATAAGAATTGGTCCAATCCCACCATCAAGAGCACTCCAGTTCCCGCCAATTTTTCGACGCTGAGCGTCCCTCCTGTTGCCCTGCCGATCCGCATAACGTCCGTCGCGAGCTATTCATAACCACCGAATTTTGTTGATCTGCTCTCGTTTGTAGCCACATCGATATGGCGGATCACCCCGAGGACGAGGAGTTGGAATTAACATACGAAGTCGAAGATGACGGAGACGCGTTGAAAGTAGGAGAAGGAGAAGCTCATAACGAGGACGAAGAGGGGAAGCGTAGTGCTGGCGACGGAGCCGCCGGAAGCGGTGGTAACGGCGGTGGCGAATCCGGCAGCGGTGGCGGCAGCGGAGGTGATGGCGGAGAACGAGGAGGTCACGGGGGAGGAGATGGGGCGATCGCGCACAACGCGCAATCGGGAGGTAACGCGCAGGAGACGGCGGGGCAAGGGGGAAGCGGAGGCGGAAGTCTAGGCGCTGACGGCCAACCACAAGGAGGCGGAAATTCCGCCCAAGCGCATCGTCCCGCGCAGGGCATGGCGGGGCAAGGGGCAAGCGGAGGCGGAAATTCCGGCGCGCAGCTGCAACAGCACGGCGGAGGAATGGGCGGAAATGCTGGGCAGATGGCGCAAGGGGAAGGACAGGGAGGTGGAGGGTTTCAGGGCCAAGGGGCAATGGGGGGAATGGGGCAAGGCGGGATGGGGCAAGGCGGGATGGGGCAGGGCGGAATGGGGCCTGGCGGAGGGGGAATGGGGGCAATGGGCGGAGGAATGGGTGGGGGGGGGGTTGGACCAGGTGGAATGGGACCAGGCGGAATGGGGCAGGGGGGAGGCGGAATGGGGCAGGGGGGAATGGGACTGGGTCCTGGCGGGGGAGGAGGCGGCGGCGGAGGAGGCATGGGCGGAGGCGGAGGCGGAGGTGGAGGTGGAGGCGGAGGCGGAGGGGGAGGGGGAGGGGGGTTTGAGGGGTTGGCAGTGTTTGTGGGGGATCTGCACTGGTGGACGACAGACGCGGACATAGAGGCGGGGGCGTCAGAATTTGGCAAAGTGGTGGGAGTAAAGTTCTTTGAAGAAAAAGCTACCGGGCGATCTAAAGGGTATTGTCAGGTACGTGCCATGGAAAACTTTTGAGACGTCTCAAAAGGTACGTGCCATGGAAAAGGCATGAGGGGTTGGCAGTGTTTGTGGGGGACCTCCACTGGTGGACGACAGATGCGGATATAGAGGCGGGAGCGTCAGAAATTGGGAAAGTTGTGGGGATGAAGTACTTTGAAGAGAAGGCCACTGGGCGGTTCAAAGGATACTGTCAGGTACGTGCCGCGCTTTGAGCCGACTCAAACGTCAGAGTTTGGTAAGGTGGTGGGGGTGAAGCTCTTTGAAGAGAAGGCCACTGGGCGATCCAAAGGGTCCTGCCAGGTGTGTGCCATGGAGATTAAAGCCATGCAAAGTGTGTATCTATACATACATAGTGTATCGTACCTTGCATTCCCTTTCAGTTCTGATCTTTGCTCTCTCTTGTCTCTTCACTGGCCTCCTCCTTTCTGGTTTCTTTTGTGTGTTTCTTCCGCCGAACCCTGCTTGTCGCTCCTCCCTCTCAGGTTGATTTCGCCGATGCAGCAGCGGCGCGTGCTTGTAAAGAGAACATGGCAGGGCGGCTTTTTAATGGCCGTCCCTGTATAGTCACACCCGCCACCCCCCAAACCCTAAGGCACCTTGCTATGGCTTCCGCCCAACCTGGGCCCCACATGGGGCCCATGGGGGGAGGTCCGGGGGGAATGGGGGGAGGAATGGGCGGAATGGGGGGAGGCATGGGCGGAGGCATGGGGGGGATGGGCGGGCCGGGGGGGATGGGAGGAATGGGGCCTATGGGTGGGGGGAGAGGAGGTGGGGGTGGAGGCATGGGGAACTTTCCTGGAAGAGGTGGGGGTCCGATGGGGGGGCCGATGGGAATGGGGGGAATGGGGCCAGGTATGGGGGGTATGGGGGCAGGGATGGGTGGAGGAATGGGGGGAGGAATGGGGGGAGGAATGGGAGGGATGGGAGGGGGGATGGGAGGGGGGATGGGTGGAGGGATGGGGGGAGGTATGGGGGGAGGTATGGTGGGTTCTATGGGTGGTATGGGCATGGGAGGGGGCCCAATGGGTGGGGGAGGGCCAATGGGGGGAGGAATGGGAGGAGGCATGGCAGGAGGCATGGGGGGAGGCATGGGGGGAAGCATGGGGGGAGGCATGGGGGGAGGCATGGGCGGAGCGGGCCCTATGGGGGGAGGTTCTGGGCCAGGCAGAGGCTTTGGGCGCGGGGGGATGATGCCTGGGCGAGGCATGGGGATGGGGGGAAGAGGGGGAGTCGATGGGGGAAGGGGGGGAAGAGGAGGGGCAGGCGGGGACTGGGGTGGAGGGATGGGGGTAGGAGGGGGTATGGGAAGGGGGGGAGGGGGAAGGGGAGCTGGTACAGGGGGAATGCCCTTCCCCGGAGGACCCCCTATGGGGGGAGGTGGGGGGTTTGACCCCTCAATTGGCCCAGGGGGAATGGGGGCAGGAGGGGGGACTGTGGCAGGGGGAGGGGGTGGAGGGGGAAGGGGGTTTGCTGGTCCGCCAGGGGGAGGGGGAGGCTTCCCCAGGGGAGGCCCTGGGTTCAACCAAATGGGTCCAGGGGGAGGGATGGGGGGGAACATGGGGGGAAACATGGGAGGAAACATGGGGGGAGGGATGGGGGGAGGCATGGGGGGCGGGTTTCCAAACATGGGCAGTGGTTTGCCTGGTGTTGCTCCCCACATCAACCCAGCCTTCTTTGGAAGAGGAGGGGGAGGGGGAGGAGGGCAGATGGGAGGAGGCGGAGGGGGGATGGGCAGTGCAGATGGTAACATGGGTGGGTGGGAAGGGGGAGGAGGAATGGGAGGAGGGGGAGGAGGGTCATGGGGCGGTGGAGGAGGTGGGGGAGGAGGGGAGGCAGGCAAGGGTGGTGGTGGTGCCGCTGCTGGTGGTGGTCTGAACAGTGCTACAGGAAGTGGGGAGTATTTTGAAGGGGAGGGAGGAGGGAGCTCCCATAGAGGAGGGGGCGGGAAAAGAGGAGAGAATGCGGAGGAAGGGAATGAATGAACATGAGGCGGGATTAGAATGGGCATGCAGGTTGGTGTATGGGTGGGTTTATTGAACTGACATCATCAACCTGAAGAAATTTGTAATGGGCATTGCTTCTCGTAGGTTCTCAATTCATCTGTCTGTTTTAAGTGCTTAATTACAGGATAATCTATCTTCATTGACACTTGAATTATGAGCAAGCTAGTACATGACGTTGAGAGCTAGGCGGTCGGTAGGGGAGGCTAGTATAGCACTTGACAAAATGCGTGGCTAGAGCTGAGCCATATTAAGTGCACCTTGTGGGAGGCACTATGGGATCGCTTGTTAAAAACCAAGAAATTGCATAAATGGTTAAATGACAGGGAAAGTGACACGCCGGTCATCTAGCTCCCGCCTCCTGCCTTGCCGGTTTCCTGGTGGAGTCTTCTAGTTGGCTGCCGATGTGAAACGGGGACTGCGCGCTCAGTGCTGCTGTGCGAGCATACCGCCGAACATCGTCTCTCTGTGCACCGTTCACTCCTCCATTGGACCCCACTACCCTGCCAGGACGAGCTGCAGGCTGGCCTGCTCCAGCTGCAAGTTTGTGTGTGAAGGCGGGCATGAGGGAAGTGGGAGGGGTGGAGGAAAACAGGGGTTGAAGTGGGTGGTGGAGGTTGGAAAGGGTATGACAGAGATTGGTGGGTGAAATGGTGAAAAAGATTTAGTGGGATTGGTAGGGTTAAGTAGGGAGGGTGATGAACATCGAAGATTGGGGAGAGTGGTTAACATTGAAAAGTGGGGAGGGGGAATGACATGACTGGGGGGGAGGGGGAATGACGTAACTGGAGGGGAGGGGGAATGACATGACTGGAGGGGAGGGGGAATGACATGACTGGAGGGGAGGGGGAATGACATGACTGGAGGGAAGGGGGAATGACATGGCTGGGGAGGGGGAAACACATGACTGGGAAAGGGGGAATGACATAACTGGAGGAAGGGGATGACATGACTGGGGAAGGCGAATGACATGACTGGGGAAGGGGAATGACATGATTGGGGAAGGGGAATGACATGATTCGGGAAGGGGAATGACATGATTGGGGAAGGGGAATGACATGATTGGGGAAGGGGAATGACATGACTGGGGAAGGGGAATGACATGCGTGGCATTGCAGAGTGGGGATGGCATTGAAGTATGGGGAGCGGAATAGCATTGAAGAATGATGACGTGGAATGGCGTTGAAAAGTGGAGACGGGGAGTAATATTGAAGAGTGGGAACCGGGAAGGCATTGAAGAGTGAGGTGGAAAGACACTGATGAGCAGGGAGGGGGAAAGGTGCTGAATATAGGCAGGGTGGAAGACATTTGGAAAAGTGAAAGGGGGGATGCCTGGGAAATGGGGACATGGGGAGGGTGGACGAGATCGTGAAAATGAAAGTGGAGGTGGGTCCGTTGGATGGTTGGAATTGGGGCATGGGAAGGGAAGGTATGTGCATGATCACAGGCACAAGTCTTTTACTAATCGCTGGAAACAGGTGGTTGATGCGTACCCTTGTATCCTGATTGCGCCCATGCCCTTTGCTGCCTGGCAGCTCTTCGTCTTCTCTCCTCTTCCAACTGAGCCTCATCCCGTGGTTCATTCCTCTCACCAGCAACCCGTTCCCTGATCATACAATCAAGAACTTCCAAAAGTCAGCTCTGAAAAATAACCCTTGAAACTCAGCGCAATGTGAGCTATGATAAGATGTGTACCTTGGGAGGGAGGCATGCTGGCGCTCCAGCGATGGTGCGTCACCCGCCTTGCCATAATGCTCTTCTAGGGTGTGGAACTGACGGCGGAACTGGTCCACAGCACTGCAAGGCCCCACGCAACAATAACAGAGCAGCATTTTGAGTTCACACTCACCGGGAAATACATCATGGGCCACTCTAGCCCACATAAGTGCCATAGGTAGTCGTTCGAACCTCACGCTAACATTCTCTTCATGGAAATGAAGTCATATCTTTGTTCAAATTCTCCAGTGTCTACCCATTGAAGATTATCAAATTATCCCAGTGAAAACGCGTACCTTCAGTTCAGCATTCGGGTTGACAAATTCCCACACTAGCCCCTTCCCATGCAACACACCATAGCAATCATACCTTGGATACAAAAAGTTCCCAGGGTCCGTCCCGTTGAGGAAGTCCTTCAGCATCTGAGGATGATACTCCAGAATCTGCAATCAGGTATAAGGGATTATTAAATGAAGCCCTGTGTTACGGTAAGCACAGAAAGCTGGATTGGTTGGAATAATATTTCAAGCTTTACCTCGCGGTAGATGAGCTCTCTGACATCGTCCATGTTCAATCTTCGCCTCTCGAACTCAAATTCCACCTTGGTAATGGGTTGAGCCGCAGGTTCTCTTTCGACCTTAGCCAGGCCCTTGAAATAAGGGTCGGCAAGAGCCTGCAAGATGTGAGCTCTCGTTTAGTTGAATTCGCATGATTGAAAATGCTATAAATGCTTTTAACGGCCAACAAGAATGTACCTCCTCTGCCGTCGGCCTGTGTGCGGGGTCAAATGCGAGCATCTTCTCCATCAGCTTCACGGCAAGCGGGTCCGCGTTCGGGCACTTTGCCGACAATGGCATTGGTTGCTTTTTCCGCATGCTCCCAAGGTATCTCCGCGCCTTCTCGTTCCGAACCTGGCAGAGGAAAACGCGAGGTATTCAGACAATGCTACGAAATGTGCAGGAAAACGTTTCCAGAAACCAGCTTCATCTGTCACCTTGGCGATCGACTCTGGTGAAGGCGTTCCCAGAAGGTCGGTCATGAGCTCGAGTTGGTGGACCACATTTTTCCCGGGAAACAACGGTTTCCCAGTCAGAAGCTCGGCGAAGATGCACCCTATGCTCCAGATGTCGATAGCGGGAGTGTACTGTTATCAGACGCGAAAACACCGTCAGCGGATGTAAACTAGGATACGAAATAGGAATGAACCAGCGGAAAGACGGATACCTTGGAGAAGAAAGAGCCACACAGTTCAGGCGCTCTGTACCATCTCGTGGCCACGTAATCCTGAAAGGTGGACCGACACATGCACGAATTAGCCCAGCCTGAAGTAAACGGCTGATGTTGGAAACGAGCTGCTGAAATCCCCATGGGAACCCTCTAGAGAGCACATCGACAAGGAAACTAAAGAACGAGGGACACAGCAAGTGCCATACCGTCCAGAAAATGGCCGTTGGCGCATCGCTGAAAGCAACTCTAGCCAAGCCAAAGTCGCAAATCTTTAGTTTACAGTCAGCGTTCGCCAGGATGTTCTTCGGCTTCAAATCTCGGTGGAACACGTTGGCTGAAAAGGAAAGAAGACGCGAATTCAGAAGTCGAACCTTACTATAGCAACATTTGTGAAAGAGTCGTTTAGCATAAACGCGCAGTACCTGTGTGAATGTACTTCAGAGCTCTCAGCAGCTGATAGAGGAAGAACTGGAAGTGCTCAGGTGTAAGGTCATCGTTTGCCTTAATTACTTGATGAAGGTCAGATTCCATCAGCTCGAAAACGACATAGATGTCCTTGAAATCTCGCCGTGACGGAGGAAGCATGATGTGCTTGATCTCCACTATATCAGGGTGACGGAGCAACCTAAGGAGCTTGATTTCGCGAAGAATCCTCGTGGCGTCTGACACGTGCTCGAATATGTCATTAATCTTCTTAATCGCGACCTTTTCCCCTGTGTGTGTATCTATCGCTGAACAAACGATACCATAGCTGCCTCGGCCTATTACTTCTAAAAGGCGATACTTGCTAGCTTCTCCGTACTCGGTAAAAAACTCCCGCTCGTCCATTTTCTGAATGTGATTGGATTATTCGTGAAGTCTTCGAAGAGATTCGCGCTAACAAAACGAGGCGGTCAGTCGTCAGGCAAGTTGGACTAATCAACCATACGGCCTAAACTCCCACAACATAAGTCTTCAGAATTCACCGAAGGAATTCAGATCTCGCGAACCAGCAGGCAATCCCTACGTAACGAGCGGCGGTTTGCAGGGGATATCACCTCCCAGGAGGAACGTTTAGGCAGCAATAACTAAATCGTACTTGCTAAGGCCAAAGCGCTCACACTGAACGTTGGGAAGCTCCTCCCTGCTTCATCTGCCAGACGGCTAGAAATTCCTGTGCGGCAAGGAGGGGAGGGGATGAACTTGCCATCACCCTCTCCTCGTCCCCCTGCTGACCATACTTCTCGGCCCCAACAACAGAAGCTGGAGCCTGGGGAGGAAAAGCATACAAGCCCTGTGCGATATTGGGATTTCCCCCTCATCGCCCAACCTAGCCTTGACCCACCTTTTCGCTACGCTTCGCCGCACAACGTTCAAAAGAATCTACGCCGTCCAGGAAAATCGGGAAATTGATATTGTTCCTTGGATGCACTCTCTTCCCAACGGAAAGTTGGGTGTGGTGCGGGATGACCACCAGCGGCAAGCCCGTGGTTTGGAGGGCCGTGTTAAGTGAGTATGGCAACTGCCTCCTGAGGCCACGATGCCTATACGCGGCGGTGGGAGGTTTCCCGCGCAGGCAGGGTGAAGGCTCGGCTCCGAAAGGCGACGTACCTGCGGGCCGAACCTAAATTGTTGGTGACTTTTTTGGCTCGTGAACTCAAATCGGCCAGGTCGAGGGCCAAGCGCAACGGTTCGGCCAACTAGACGAAATCCGAACAAGGCAGACACGTGTCGACAAATGTCAGACAGCCACATAAAACTGGTCCTGCTTTAGCAAATCACTCGATATACGCAGCACACAAAAGTCATTAACTCGTTAGTATCTAGATTTCGGAACATACTAAAGAACAAAATGTTCTTTCTTCCTTTTTTTCTCTGGCATGTTATCGAGGCTCGCAATCACCGGGATAGGAGACTAAAAACCAGTCAGGTTGCATCATCAAGCCATTGTCGTCACTCCAATATTCGTACGAACTAGTACACACTGATTCTATGGCCTCCTTCTCTACGCCTTTAGCTACTGTGCAGCCTTGTTCTCACACCTCTCGCCTACATAGTTCTGGTTCGTATGCAACTCCCAGTCTAATCAGAACGTCGTTGTCATTGTGCCCTCGAAACCACCGTAGCTGCCGTTTAACAGATTCGATCGCGAGGGTACGAAAAAAACTCGCGACGACAGAATGCTTTCCATCATCCCGAAGTCATCATCTCGCCGTACACCCTTCTCGCTCGTCGACCATCTTATATCGTAAAACTTCTAGATCATTAGAATTATCTCCGAGCTGGAAATTCTTTAGCGTCACGTGTCACGACAACAGCAGAAGCAGAAGCAGCAGCAGCAGCAGCAGAAGCAGCAGCAGCAACAGCGGCAGCGAGAGTACAGTGGATCCAAAGGCCGTTCCACCTCAATCAAATCCGCTGATTCAGGCCAGACGAGCCAAACCAGGACCCTTTCCTGGTGAAGAGGTGCCATTCCTGAAAGGCTATGTAACTTCGTAGGCACAGACGATTTGATCCTTTAAAACGTTATCTGGCCTCCTTGTGTTAGCTATAGCGTGCTACAGTCCTACTCCGCCCCTCGTTCCCTTGCTCGCCTTTGACTCATCTTGTTGCTGCTTCTCAGGAGATCGGAGCAGAGAGAGGGGAGGGATTTGCCACTTTCCGGCCCAAAGGAGCTCTGCAATTGGACGTGGTGAGCTGTAATTGGAGCATGTTTAATATTTTTTTTCCAACCATTTCTAACCCACTGCTTCGAAATTCGTATCCATCCAGGTTACCACACTACCTGACTCTCAAACAAGTTTTTCTTCTTCTTTTTTGTCGACTCTGTCAGGATTTCCTCAACGATCGCATGAGGAAGAGGGGGGTGGACAGGATACGCCTTGCCATGCGACCAGACGAGGCATTTGGGCTCGTGTACTCCTGGGACAATGTCATTGTAAGTAATCAAGTTGACTCAAACATCGGCATTCGGACTTGTATACTCATGGGACAATGCCATTGTATGTTTCTGACTTGACTTGATATTGGCCTTGAAACTCGTGTTGACATTGTGGATGTGATTTCTGAGGCGCTTCAAGAATCGTCTGAGCTTTTGAACTCGTGTATCCCCCAAGTCACTGCATGTGAATTTGATGGTGCATTGAGATTTCTGACTACAAATTGCTCATGTCTGGGAGCAATTATACGGTCTCATATGTTGATAATCTCCCTCAGAATGTGTGTGTGTGTGTGTGTGTGTGTGTGTGTGTGTGTGTGTGTGTGTGTGTGTGTGATTTTTTTTTTTTTTTTTTGTCTATGTGTATGTATCACGTGTGGTCAGGCCAACACTCGTGATCTGAGATTTGAGGCTTGGAAGCAGCTGGCAGAGGAAGTAGGTGAGCCAACGGCTAAGGTCAAGACACAGAGGCATCACTGTGCCACTGCCTTTCCCACTGCCTTCCCACTGCCTTTCCCCACGACCTGTTCCCACTCCCTGTCATGCAATCTATTTCAATGCTACTGACCTGTTGTGTCTTTATTGCCTGATTCAGACATTCTCTTTCTTGCACTGACCGTTCACTTGTTGCACCCTCATCTCTCGCTCCCTCCCTCTCTCTCTCTCTCTCCTCCCATTCACTCACAGGGAAGCCTCTGCCCGACTCTCCCTCCGCACTTCGCCAGCTTTCAACCGCCTCCCCCGCCCACTGCATCAAATCCGTGCGCCCTTCCATCCAACTCTGCCGACCCCTCCCACCTACTCTCTCTCTCTCTTCTCACTCCTTCAACCCCTCCTGCTTTTCCTACCCATTCAAGATTCGTTCATAATCCTGACGAATCCAGCACCTCCCCTTCATTCATATTCCCCAGTTTTCCCCAACTTGCCCCACTTCTCCAATCTCATATCTCTGCACCCCTTCCTCCTCCTGATTAAACGCTGTACTTCTGTTCCGGCGCCGCCCATCCTCCTCCCCCTGTGACCGTCCTCTCCTCACAGGTGCTGTTCTGGGCATCAGACGAGCCCACCATTGTGTCCCTCAAGGACAGACTCTCTGAGCTCTACTGCCGCCAGCTCTCCAAGGTTAGCTCTGCCGCCTTGCTTCTCCCTCCCCATGAAAGTAGATCCGCTCACTCAAGACAAGGCCACCATTTTGCTGCGAGCCCCCCAAGGTTCACTCTTCCCCTCCCTCCGCTTCCCCCTCACACGCACACACATGCTTTTACAGCAAGCACAAGTGCGAGCGCCACTAGAAGGAGTTTAGGAGTGGCTGTATGCGCTGCAGAAGACAATTCTTGATTAGAAACCGCGACCGTATCATCCCTCTCTACCCTCCCCTCCTATACCAGGTGCGAGCGCCACTGGAGGGCGTGCAGGAGTGGCTGGACGCGTTGCAGAAGGCGGGAGTGCCGTGTGCTGTGGCCACATCCATCGACCGCCTCACTCTGCTCTCTGCCCTCGACCGCATGAAGCTTCTGCACCACTTCCAGGTTTCTATTAAACAACTTATTGAAGAAGGTTTTATTCGGGATTTTAGGCAGAAGCTCAGCCCAGCCTGCCTCGCTTTGCTATGTGCACTCGGCCGCATAAAGCTGCTGCACGTCGATTTCTTGGTCCTGCCACCGGGCGTTTATCAGAGCAGAGGATGCCGTGGAACCGAGGGTCCATTGAATTGCTTCCATACAGGACACATCCTTCTGATGATGTTTTTTCTGTCGCGCTCACTTCTCCCGTTCCCACCACCAGGCGTTTGTGACAGCAGAGGATGGTATGGAGAGTCGATGGCCTACGTCCCAACCAAACGCATGATCCTGGAAACCATTTTTACTTTATAAGTCACCTTCTCCTGTCCCGTTCCCGCCACCAGGCGTTTGTGACAGCAGAGGATGGCATGGAGTCGATGGCTCATCGGTTCCTCTCTGCTGCTGTCAAGGTCAGCCACCCTTCCTTACTGTTTTGAGACGTCTCAAAACACTGCTGCTGTCAAGGTCAGCCACCCTTCCTTAGTTGCACCCCCTCTCTCTCTTCCTCTCGCGCGTGCATTTTCTTAGGTGCCTCAAAAGTCATTCCCTTGCACTTGCGTATCCACTCCAGTTGCAAGATGTCCCATCCATCCTGTTCTCCTTCGTGAGTTCCTGTATTGGTCATCCGTGTCATGCTCCTTCCTGTTTCCTAGGTTTCATTGAACTTCTGATCCATGCTCTCCGCTCTGATCCATGCTCTCCGCTCTGATCCATGCTCTCCGCTCTGATCCATGCTCTCTGCTTGTTCCTTCCTTCCCTTGCCCTCCGCATTTCCACATCATGTTTGCATCCCCACCAGCTGGACCGAGCACCGGCCAAATGTGTGGTGTTCGAGGATGACCCGAGGGGAATCACAGCAGCGCACAACTGCAGCATGAAGGCAGTGGCTCTCATCGGCACACACCCCGCGTGAGCATGCTGCCGTGCTTCTACTGCTGGTTTTGATGCTGCTGCTGTCCTTTCACAAGCCCACTCTCCTCTTCTCCTCGTCCACACACCCTGTGCGAGCATGCATGATTCTGACCTCATTGTCACACATGACATGAGATTTGTAATGTGAAGGCGGTGGTGCTGCCACTTGTGACCCCTCCCACGTGTCTGCCAGACTGCCATTCCTGCTCACCTTCCACTCTCCCTCCCGTTCCTCCTCACACCCTCTCCACCTGTTTCACCTTACAACCAGCTATGAGTTGAAGCAGGCAGATTTGGCAGTGTCAAGCTACGCGGAGCTGTCAGTGATTAATTTACGGAGACTGTTTGCAAACAGAGGGCATGGAATAGAGCACATGGAGCTGAAGAAGCAGCGGGAGGAGCAAGGGCCAAAGAAACGCCGCTGGCACACGTACACCCTGTACTGAGGGATGGTGTGCCTGCACAGTGTGCTTGTACAGAATGCCTTCTTTAGTAGAGTGCTTGTGAACTAAATGACACTGGCACACCGGCACCCTGTACCGAGGGGTGATGCGCCTGCAGTGTGCTTGTACAGAGCGTTTTAGCCGAGAGTTCACGTCTTTATTGTGGAACAATATTGATTCGATAAATAGAAGCTGTACAAGGTACGATCCTGCACTCGGGTGAAACGGAACGGTGTAAGGTATTCCAGCTTGTAACGCAGCACCCATGTGTGACGCTGGGCCGTCTTTCCTCGCGCGGATCTCGAGGCTCAAGCAGCCATCCCGGACGTCCCGAAGAGGCGCAGAATGCCGTACGTAATTCCCATTGCAAGCCATCCCCCCGCCGTGGTTCGCGCCGCGGCTCGAAGCTTGTTCGCTCCGCCGAGCCACGCGCCGAGTATGCCGAAGCCGATAAACGTCAGGGTTGTTACCAGTAGAAGAACCACGAGTTGCGCGACGTGGTCGCGTATAAACGCGGCGGATAATAACGGGATAATTGCTCCGACGATGAACGCCGCAGCGGATGCTAGAGCAGCTTGTAACGGGTTTGAGAGGTCGTCCATATCGATTCCCAGCTCGTCGCGTGCGTGTGCGCGAACAGGGTCGACTCGCGAAAGCTCCTCTGCGACTTCGCGTGCGAGTCTGTACGACAATCCGCGAGAGACGTAAATCTGAGCCAACTCTTCCAGTTCCCGCTCGACTGCTTCCGGGCCTTTGAGAAATTCCTCTCTTTCCTTCTGCACGTCCGCTTCTTCTATATCGCGTTGGCCATAAACGGAGATGTACTCGCCGATCGCCATGCTGCATGCGCCGCCGACAAGCCCCGCCAATCCGGAGATGACAATCTGGCTGCTGTCGATGGCGCCGACGCCGACCATGAGCGACGCGACCGACACGAGGCCGTCGTTGGCGCCGAGAAGCGCGGCGCGAAGCCATGGCGCGCGGTGCGAGAGGTGCACGTGACCGCACTCATGGTCGGGGGTAGACTCGGAAACGCGAACAGTTACCGCCTCGTTCGTCAATAGAGCATTCTCTCTCGGAGGACTGGCGCTCTGGTCGCTAGGCCGTCGATTGTTGTCTTCTGTGGCGTTAGCCGAGTGATTCTCTCCCGTCATGTTGTCGGATAGGAGAGCCTCTACAAGGATGCAGCAGATTGGAGTTTAGAGTGTGTCAAGCACGAGGCCGAAGCAAGAGGCGAAGGACCAAAAGGCGAGAGGAGGATTGCTGGGAGGAGTCCTCGAAGAAAAGCGCTGGATAATGAGGTGAAATTATGAAAATCGGAAGAGAAATGAAAAGTGGTTTGTAGTGAGTGGTGATATGTGTGTAGGGTGGAGGAGGTAGGGCGCAACAACAGCACGGCCACCACGCATGGAGCACGTGCAGGTACGGGATGCCGAGCCTATCTTCTGAGCAATTCAACTGCCTTGTTACAGCGCGAACCTCAGGTCCAAGCTACGTGTGCTAGCACCATTTGTAGAGAACGAAATACCTGCCAGGTCACAGCGACAAGCACCTGGCTGCGATTTCATCCCCAGGCAGATGGTCGGTTAAACGCGTACGTGGCAGAAGAGATTTGCTTTGCGTGGCGCTGGTTGCACACGCAAGCTGTCCAGCTGTGACCAGCGCATGTTTGACGTGTGGTTCCTCGAGGGTTGCTTCGTGCAGTGGCTTCTAGTCGGTGAGTCGCTAATAGCGAGGATTTGGGTGACTCATTTGTGGAAGGTGCTCGCGAAACCATTATACGTCTTCTTCTTCACAAGCTCACCCGTAATAAGCAAGGGGTGTACAGCATTCAGAAGCATTAAACTCCCGAATCAGTCCTCATGATCAGTTCCATAATCAGCTGGCTTTCTTTCCCAGTAATGAAGAGGTCCGTATAGCGTATCCGAAGTCCAGCTTACATAGGTATTTGCTCAGGAGTTTCAAGGGCCAAATTCGTGCTCATTGTGGTACCCCGCGCCATGGCACCTCATCCTGTCAGGCTGGTGATAAGCGGCGTACGGCGCGCCTCGTCTCGTCGAGCCTTAGCCAAAAAGAGATCGGCCAATAGTAGCTCGTACACTCCAAGCGCTAGTCCTCCTTCCCAGAGGCATGTTGACGTTACCGTCAATCCTGACATCTCAGTTAACGTTAATCGGCTCCACGTATCCACGACCTCACCTGCTCTTCCGTCGAATATACCGCCGCAGCAGGAGCCGAGTTTCTTCAGGAGATGCTCGTCTCTCCTCGAGTCGGGAACTTCTTCGTCGTCGTACAGTCAGTCCGAACAGAGTCACACCCAGTTCAGTCACGGTCCGATCCCTCATCGGGCACAAGATCACCGTTTTTATGATCAGGCTATCGCTAGAATCTTGCCTTTCAGCGTGGATCTGAAATCAGGATCTGGCAGATCCTCGCTTTTCCGATTTCCAAGTACGAATTCGCCTTTCCCGTTTAGAGTCGCCTTCCCCGATGCTTTGTCACCCGTAGGTGCGTTCTCCACCTCTACCTCGCTACAGTCACGCTCGTTTGGCGAAGCAAGCGACCGATCCGACGCGTCGGGACCAGTCCCCGGTGGATCGAACCATAAACCTGAAGGCCTTCTCTCCGCTGACGTGTCTTCGCCGGATTCGTCGGGTTTCAGCCCGGAAGATAGCGTGCCAGTGGCTAAAAAGGGGAGACCGAGGAAGAGAGTAACTAGCAGCCCTAGTAGCAGTGCCAGCAGCAGTGCCAGCAGCAGTGCCAGCAGCAGTGCCAGCAGCAGTGCCAGCAGCAGTGCCGGCAGCAGTAGTGACAGTATGACTAGTGACAATATCAGTAGTGACTTTGTCGGTTTGGGCGGCACTTCGGACAGCAGCAGCGGCACCAACGGCAGCAGCAGCGGTGACAGCAGTAGCGTAACACGGGGTAGAAAGAAGCGTGCTGGCGGGAACAGCAGCAGGAGCAGCAGCGGCGGCAATGGCGGTGGTAGCACTGCGGCTGTTAGCGAAGCAATGGTATTCGCTGATAGTGACACAAACGGGAGCAATGATATGACTATAGAGGGGGCGAAGCTGGTCCTGGAAGAGCCGGTGCTGGCCAGCGATGTGAGTATAGCGGGGGAGAAGCAGGTGTGGCAAGGCGAGGACGAGGAGGACTCGTGGGAAATGGACGCGGAAGTGGAGGTGACTGTAATGAGGGCCGTGGACGAAGGGACGGCGCCCAAGCCACCCCCTCTGAGCAAGAACGACAGGGAGCGCGTCAACAACGCGCTGAAGCACTTTGCCACACGCGGGTATGGAGATTCGTTAGTAGATTGGGAGCGTATAATTCTGAATTCTCTAATCCATGCCACTTCGCTCCATGCCAGGAAGCATTGTTTTGGTGTCCTCATGTTCCCAACGTTCCCCGTCCCACCTCCCCAACCCCCCTCCGCACCCACCTCCCCAGCCCCCTCCCCTCCCCCCTCCCAGCCAGCCTAGACTAGACACTTCTTAAACACCCCTTCCACCCCTTTCACTTCACCCAATGCTCCATGCAGGTGGGCGGCAGACCAGGCTGTGGCAATCTACATCCCCTTGCGCTTCTTTCCCACCGTTGCCCCGTTGCTTTCCCCTCATCTCTCTCCCTCCGCCCCCCTCTTCCCCTTCCCCAATGCTCCATACACCTGGGCAGCGGATCAAGCACTGGCCATATACATCCCCTCACGCTTCTTCCCCACGGCGGCATCCAAGTTGCGCCGCTTCATGCTGCGCTGCTGCTGCCGTGCCCTCACCCCTTCGTGCTTGCCCTGCTTCGTTTTCTCACTTCCATTTCACGCAGGTGGCCAGCGGATCAGGCACTGGCAATCTACATCCCCTCGCGCTTCTTCCCCACAGCGGCCTCCAAGTTCCGCCGCTTTGTGCTGCACTGCTGTCGTCCCGCCCTCACCCATTTATGCCTGCCCTGCTTCTTCCCCCACGTTCTTGCAGGCAGCAGATCAGGCGTTGGCAATCTACATCCCATCGCGCTTCTTCCCCACCGTTCCCCCCCCTTTTCTCATCTTTTCTTCCCCCCTTCATCCACTGCGCAACTTGGCAGCGGACCAGGCATTAGCCATCTACATCCCATCGTGCTTCTTCCCCACAGCCGCCTCCAAGTTACGCCGCTTTGTGCTGCGCTGCTGTCGTCCCGCCCTCACCCATTTATGCTTGCCCTGCTTCTCCTCCCACGTTCTTGCAGCTGGGCAGCGGACCAGGCGTTGGCAATCTACATCCCCTCGCGCTTCTTCCCCACGGCGGCATCCAAGTTCCGCCGCTTCGTGCTGCGCTGCTGCCGCCCCGAACTCGCCTCTGCCCTCTCGCACATGGGCGCGGGGAGGGACGCGGACGAGTTTCTGTTTCCGCTCTTTGCAGAGTTCTGCTTCGGAGAGTTCCCGGAGGAGATAAGGAGTTATAGGGATTTGGTGAACTCCGCTGACATGACCAAGCCACATGTGTGGTATGTTGTGGTGGGGAGTGGTGCGGCGCGGTGTGTGTGGTTTGGTGTTTGCGGAGTTCTGCTTCGGGGAGTTCCCGGAGGAGATTCGGAGTTACCGGGATTTGGTGAACTCGGCTGATATGACCAAGCCACATGTGTGGTATGTTGTGGTGGGGTGGGGTGCGGTGTGGTGTGGTGTGGTGCGGTACGGTACGGTGCAGTGCTGTGTGGTGTGGCGTGGTGAGGTGTGGTATACCACGTGGGCCCCACCAATAGCAGCATGACAAACCCCACCCTGCCTTCCTGTCAGCTGCATATCCTGACCTGCCCCTCCCTCCCTCCTTCCGTCACCCTCCTCTCCTCCTGTATCTCTCCCTCCAGGTACCCCCAAGCACGGGCCATGCCGCGCAAGGTGGTATACCACATGGGCCCCACCAACAGCACTGCTACCCTACCCCCTCTGCCTCCCCCTTGCTTTTCTCCCTCCTTCCCTCCCACCCTCGTACCACCTATCAGGTACCCCCAGGCGCGGGCCATGCCGCGCAAGGTGGTATACCACATGGGCCCCACCAACAGCGGCAAGACACACCGGGCCCTGGTCAGGTTCAAGGAAGCTTCCTCCGGCACCTACTGCGGGCCGCTCAGGCTGCTGGCCATGGAGGTATGGCGGGGTTGAGGGAGGTGTGGAGGGGTGGAGGGAGGTGTGGAGGGGTGGATGGATGAATGGAGGTATGGTAGAGGGTGAGGGAGCGGATCTGGAAGCTTGAGTTTCAATGTGTATTAGCCCTGCTGAGCCGCCCCTCCGCCTCCCTTTCCCGTGTACTGCAATTTGGTGTCACAGCCAAACCTCCCTTCCCACTCCCCAATCCCCACTTCCCAATCCCCACTCCCCATTCCCTACCCTCAGGTGTTTGACCGGGTGAACGCCGACGGAGTGTATTGCAATCTGGTGACGGGGCAGGAGAGGAAGGAGATGCCCTTCGCTCACCACACCGCCTGCACCATCGAAATGGCCAACCTCTCCACGCCTGTGGACGTGGCAGTCATTGATGAGATCCAGGTACTAAGGGGTCTAACTGATCATGCAGTTATCAGGCAATGAGTGATGCGGAGTGTTCAGGTGCTGCTCTGTTCGCCCGCCACACGGGATGCACCTTCGAGATGGCTAATTTGAGCACGCCTGTACACATGACAGTGATTGATAAAGAGTTGACTTTTGAGTCGACTAAAAAGTCAACTCGCTAATTTGAGCACGCCTGTACACATGACAGTGATTGATAAAATTCAGGTACTAAGGGGTCTCATTGATTGGGCAGTTATCAGGCAGTGAGTGGTGAGTGGTGTGGTGTGTTCTGCTAGCCCACCACACGAAATGCTACCATTGAAATGGCCAACCTCTCCATACCTGTCATTGAAGTTGTTCTTTTCTGACCAAGTCCTCCTGATTCTACTTTTACCTGCTCCGAGTACCCCAACCATGCCTTTGTTGCGACTCTTGAGGCGCCTCAAAAATCGTCTCAGTTCTGACCAAGTCCTCCTGATTCTACTTTTATTTTACCTGCTCCGAGTACCCCAACCGCGCTTTTGTTGCAACTCCAGAGGAAACCACCCCGCTTGCTGCGGTTCGAATCCACGTTTTCTTTCGCCTGTCGACGAGGCAGTCATCGATGCGACCCTGGTGCGTTGTGTCAATGCTTTCAGTACATGAAATCCGGAATTTCATATTACAGGACTTCCAAGTTTGTAGCCCCGCTCCGTTGTTCCTCCCATCCCCCCCTCCCTCCCTGTCTCCTAGATGCGACGACTACAGAGGGTGGGCGTGGACGACAAGAGAGCACTCCTGGGAGTGCAAGCAGCGGAGGTGCACGTGTGTGGAGACCCCTCCGTGCTGCCCTGCCCTGAAGGGGGGAGTTCTCTCTCAGATGATTAGTGACGACTATAGAGGCTGGGCAAGGACAAGAGCACTCCTAGGAGTGCAAGCAGCGGAGGTGCACGTGTGTGGAGACCCCTCCGTGCTGCCCTGCCCTGAAGGGGGGAGTTCTCTCTCAGATGATTAGTGACGACTATAGAGGCTGGGCATGGACAAGAGCACTCCTAGGAGTGCAAGCAGCGGAGGTGCACGTGTGTGGTGACCCCTCCGTGCTGCCGCTGAGGAGGGGGGTAACGTACGCTTCCCCCTAAGACTCCATTCTCCCATGCTACTCCCGCCTTTCCTCTCCCGCCTTTCCTCTCCCGCCTTTCCTCTCCCGCCTTTCCTCTCCCGCCTTTCCTCTCTCGCCTTTCCTCTCTCGCCTCTCCTCTCCCGCCTTTCCTCTCTCGCCTTTCCTCTCTCGCCTTTCCTCTCCCGCCTTTCCTCTCTCGCCTTTCCTCTCTCGCCTTTCCTCTCTCGCCTATCCTCTCTCGCAGATGATAAGTGATGACTACAGAGGGTGGGCATGGACCAGGGCCCTCCTGGGAGTGCAAGCAGCGGAGGTGCATGTGTGTGGCGACCCCTCCGTGCTGCCGCTGCTGCGAGCCATCTGTGACGCCACTGGGGACGCCTTCGAGTGCCACCATTACCACCGCTTTGCACCGCTCACAGTGGACCAGGTAGATCTTTCTTCCTTTCTGTCTAGCTGATCAGTCATGTGTGTGGGTGGGCTGATGCGAGCTCCAGTCAGCGAGCTCTTGTCAGCGAGCTCCAGTCAGCGAGCTCCAGTCAGCGAGCTCCACTCAACGAGCGCCAGTCAGCGAGCTCCAATCAGCGAGCTCCAGTCAGCGAGCTCCAGTCAGCGAGCTCCAGTCATATCCGGGAGAGGATATCCGGTGGATGATATCCGGGAGATGGTATCCGAGAGAGGATATCCGGGAGAGGATATCCGGGAGAGGATATCCGGGAGAGGACATCCGGGAGAGGATTTCCGGGAGGTTTCCCGGTTTCCCGGTTTCCCGGTTTCCCAGTTTCCCGGTTTTCCGGTTTCCCGGTTTCCCGGTTTCCCGGTTTCCCGGTCCGGGCGCGCGCCTTGGTCCGGGCGTGCGCCTTGGTCCGGGCGCGCGCCTTGGTCCGGGCGCGCGACTTGGTCCGGGCGCGCGCCTTGGTCCGGGCGCGCGCCTTGGTCCGGGCGCGCGCCTTGGTCCGGGCGCGCGCCGTGGTCCGGGCGCGCGCCTTGGTCCGGGCGCGCGCCGTGGTCCGGGCGCGCGCCTTGGTCCGGGCGCGCGCCTTGGTCCGGGCGCGCGCCTTGGTCCGGGCGCGCCCCTTGGTCCGGGCGCGCGCCTTGGTCCGGGCGCGCGCCTTGGTCCGGGCGCGCGCCTTGGTCCGGGCGCGCGCCTTGGTCCGGGCGCGCGCCTTGGTCCGGGCGCGCGCCTTGGTCCGGGCGCGCGCCTTGGTCCGGGCGCGCGCCTTGGTCCGGGCGCGCGCCGTGGTCCGGGCGCGCGCCGTGGTCCGGGCGCGCGCCGTGGTCCGGGCGCGCGCCGTGGTCCGGGCGCGCGCCGTGGTCCGGGCGCGCGCCGTGGTCCGGGCGCGCGCCTTGGTCCGGGCGCGCGCCTTGGTCCGGGCGCGCGCCTTGGTCCGGGCGCGCGCCTTGGTCCGGGCGCGCGCCTTGGTCCGGGCGCGCGCCTTGGTCCGGGCGCGCGCCTTGGTCCGGGCGCGCGCCGTGGTCCGGGCGCGCGCCGTGGTCCGGGCGCGCGCCTTGGTCCGGGCGCGCGCCGTGGTCCGGGCGCGCGCCTTGGTCCGGGCGCGCGCCTTGGTCCGGGCCCGCGCCTTGGTCCGGGCGCGCCCCTTGGTCCGGGCGCGCGCCTTGGTCCGGGCGCGCGCCTTGGTCCGGGCGCGCGCCTTGGTCCGGGCGCGCGCCTTGGTCCGGGCGCGCGCCTTGGTCCGGGCGCGCGCCTTGGTCCGGGCGCGCGCCTTGGTCCGGGCGCGCGCCTTGGTCCGGGCGCGCGCCTTGGTCCGGGCGCGCGCCTTGGTCCGGGCGCGCGCCTTGGTCCGGGCGCGCGCCTTGGTCCGGGCGCGCGCCTTGGTCCGGGCGCGCGACCAAGTCGCGCGCCTTGGTCCGGTTTCCCGGTTTCCCGGTAGGGAGGGAGGGAGGGAGGGAGGGAGGGAGGGAGGGAGGGAGGGAGGGAGGGAGGGAGGGAGGGAGGGAGGGAGGGAGGGAGGGAGGGAGGGAGGGAGGGGTTAGCTCTCTGCCCTCTGCCCCCTGCCCTCTGCCCTCTTCCCTCTGCCGTATGGTGCCTTCATGTCCTCATTATTCGCGTGTGGGTTCATATTTCTGTGTCTCCCACTTCACCCCTGTCGTTTCCTTCTCTCTCCTTCATTTCGTGCATTCTTGCATTGGCATCTACCCTTTCTGCACCTGGGAATGTTTTGAGACGTCTCGAAACATTCTTGCATTGGCATCTACCCTTTCTGCACCTGGGAACTGAAGAATGATCCGCACCTGTGCTATATGCGGCAGTGAAAATGCGCGCTAGGAGTGTGACTGTCTTTGTCTCAATCTTCTGCAATCCTCACCTCACGTGTCTCAATCTGAAAGCCCTATCCTGCTCTCTCACTTGTTCTCCCGTTTCAAATCCTGTTTGTCAATCCTAACCCAACTCAGCAACTTCTTGTACAAAACCTCCTGATTTCCACTCCCACGTTGCCATGCCATGCCTACTCCCATGTCTGCCTCCCATCCCATGTCCCACTCTTGGGTGGCTGGGTGGGTGGGTGGGTGGGTGGGTGGGTCGGTGCTTGGTGGGTGGGTGGGCTGCTCCTCCCCACCCTTTATCAGACGAGCTTGCAGGGTGATCTGGGGCGGGTATCACCTGGTGTAGGTCCACCTGTTTCAAATGGACCTCTTTATCTTGTCTCTGCCTGCTGCCGTGTGCTCTCCTCCCCACGCTTTACCAGACGAGCTTGCAGGGTGATCTGGGGCGGGTATCACCTGGTGTAGGTCCACCTGTTTCAAATGGACCTCTTTATCTTGTCTCTGCCTGCTGCCGTGTGCTCTCCTCCCCACCCTTTACCAGACGAGCTTGCAGGGTGATCTGGGGCGGGTATCACCTGGTGACTGCATTGTGGCGTTCTCGCGGCGAGAGATATTCGAAATCAAGGTGTGTTGCGTTGCGTTCCATGCTGGGAATTTAATTTGGAAGCGCCTCAAAATACACCTCCATGCTGGGCCGTGCTCTGCTCTGGTGCGTTGCGTTCCATGTGGTCTGCTCTGAGTAGCAGACATGCTGGGCCTTGCTCTGCTCTGCTGTGATCTGCCCTTCCGTGTGCCTTGTGTACGATAATTCATTTGAGGCGCCTCATAAGCCTTGTGTACGACGGTTCTTTGTGCATCAGCTTTCGGGTGTTTCATCTCACTGTCTTGGCCCGTCTTAAAGCTCATATGACTTCCCGTACCCCACCCACACATGCCTTTCTTCCCTCACACATGTCTCCCCTCACACAGCGGGCTGGTGTACACATGACCACAAAGCACCAATGCTGTGTGGTGTGATGTACGGGGCACTGCCGCCAGAGACACTTTTCCCCACACGCATGCTCCCCTCCCCCAATGTCCCTGATTCTTTTCCCCCCGTGCATCAAGCAGTGGAGATGACAACGGAGCACCGCTGCTGTGTGGTGTAGGGGGCACTGCCGCCAGAGACTCCTGAGGGTGCACTCACTCCCGTGTTTGTTCCTTCCTACTTACTCCCTCCCTCGCAGCGAGCGGTGGAGATGACAACGAAGCACCGGTGCTGTGTGGTGTACGGGGCACTGCCGCCAGAGACCAGGCGGCAGCAGGCGAGGCTGTTCAACGAGGAGGAGAGTGACTTCCGTGTTCTCGTAGCTTCAGACGCCATCGGCATGGGACTCAACCTGTCCATTAGGAGAGTCATATTCAGTACGCTGCACAAGTTCAATGGGGAGGAGAAGATCCGCATCCCTTCACCCATGGTAAGCACGGGCGTTTACAGTGCTCATGTTATCAGATGCCACCGGCATGTTAGCAGGCGGCAGCAGGCGAGGCTGTTCTGTTCAACGAGGAGGAGAGTGACTTCCGTGTGCTCGTGGCGTCTCATGCCATCGGTGTGGGACTCAACCTGTCGATTTGGAGGGTTGTCTTCTCAACCTTGCTCAAGTATAATCGGGAACAGAAGAGAAGAGTTTAATGGGGGACAGAAGATTGTCATCCCTTCACCCATGGTAAGCACAGGGGTGTTCACCACATGCACAGAGGCACCGTTTCTCTCCCATCAGTTTCGCTCCCATCAGTTTCGCTCCCATCAGTTTCGCTCCCATCAGTTTCGCTCCCATCAGTTTCGCTCCCATCAGTTTCGCTCCCATCAGTTTCGCTCCCATCAGTTTCTCTCCCATCAGTTTCGCTCCCATCAGTTTCGCTCCCATCAGTTTCGCTCCCATCAGTTTCGCTCCCATCAGTTTCGCTCCCATCAGTTTCGCTCCTATCAGTTTCGCTCCCATCAGTTTCGCTCCCATCAGTTTCGCTCCCATCAGTTTCGCTCCCATCAGTTTCGCTCCCATCAGTTTCGCTCCCATCAGTTTCGCTCCCATCAGTTTCGCTCCCATCAGTTTCGCTCCCATCAGTTTCGCTCCCATCAGTTTCTCTCCCATCAGTTTCGCTCCCATCAGTTTCGCTCCCATCAGTTTCGCTCCCATCAGTTTCGCTCCCATCAGTTTCGCTCCCATCAGTTTCGCTCCCATCAGTTTCTCTCCCATCAGTTTCTCTCCCATCAGTTTCGCTCCCATCAGTTTCGCTCCCATCAGTTTCGCTCCCATCAGTTTCGCTCCCATCAGTTTCTCTCCCATCAGTTTCGCTCCCATCAGTTTCGCTCCCATCAGTTTCGCTCCCATCAGTTTCGCTCCCATCAGTTTCGCTCCCATCAGTTTCGCTCCCATCAGTTTCGCTCCCATCAGTTTCGCTCCCATCAGTTTCGCTCCCATCAGTTTTGCTCCCATCAGTTTCGCTCCCATCAGTTTCGCTCCCATCAGTTTCGCTCCCATCAGTTTCGCTCCCATCAGTTTCGCTCCCATCAGTTTCGCTCCCATCAGTTTCGCTCCCATCAGTTTCGCTCCCATCAGTTTCGCTCCCATCAGTTTCGCTCCCATCAGTTTCGCTCCCATCAGTTTCTCTCCCATCAGTTTCGCTCCCATCAGTTTCGCTCCCATCAGTTTCGCTCCCATCAGTTTCGCTCCCATCAGTTTCGCTCCCATCAGTTTCGCTCCCATCAGTTTCGCTCCCATCAGTTTCGCTCCCATCAGTTTCTCTCCCATCAGTTTCTCTCCCATCAGTTTCGCTCCCATCAGTTTCGCTCCCATCAGTTTCGCTCCCATCAGTTTCGCTCCCATCAGTTTCTCTCCCATCAGTTTCGCTCCCATCAGTTTCGCTCCCATCAGTTTCGCTCCCATCAGTTTCGCTCCCATCAGTTTCGCTCCCATCAGTTTCGCTCCCATCAGTTTCGCTCCCATCAGTTTCTCTCCCATCAGTTTCTCTCCCATCAGTTTCGCTCCCATCAGTTTCGCTCCCATCAGTTTCGCTCCCATCAGTTTCGCTCCCATCAGTTTCTCTCCCATCAGTTTCTCTCCCCTCAGTCTCTCTCCCCTCACTTTCTCTCCCCTCACTTTCTCTCCCCTCAGTTTTCCCCCCCTCCGTCTCTCCCTCCATCTCTTTCCCCACCGCTCCCATCCTTCGCCCTCAACTAACAGGTGAAGCAGATCGCAGGGAGGGCGGGCAGGAGGGGCAGCCGGTACGAGGAGGGAGTGGTGACGTGCCTGGACCCCACCGACATGCCGCTGCTCATCGCTGCTCTGCAAGACCCCGTTGAGCCCACCACGGCTGCAGGCCTCTTCCCCCTCTTCGAACAGGTACCCGTGTGTGCTTCGCTTGCTCCCTTGCCTGCAATCTCTCTCGTACCCCATCAATCTGTTCCATTGCCCCTCAGCAACCCGGCTCAACCCTCATGGCAACCCCTCGTTATCGCTCACCACCCCTGCGACAACCCTCATCACCCCTCATCACCCCTCATCATCCCTCATCACCATGTCAGGTGGAGGTGTTCGCTAGTCAGCTGCCTGACGTGTCCTTTGCCAGGCTGCTAGACAGGTGAGAGCTGAACCGTATGTGAGTGTGACTGTATTGAGATGTGACTCCGCAAAAAAAACATCTCCTCGTTTCTATTCCATTCCATGTTTCACGTTTTCACATGTCACACCATTCACCACTAAACAGCTGCCACCACACACACTCCTTGCACACTCTCTTCTTGCCTCCCTCCCTGCCCATTCGACTGCCTGCCTGCCTTGTGTGCCTCCCTTGTGTGCCTGCCGTGCCATGTGTCAGATTCGTGGAAACATCCAAGCTAGACGGCACCTACTTTCTCTGCCGCACCGACAACATCCGGGTAAGCACTGCTTTTATGGCGGTGTTGCTTTTTTGCGGCATTCTGGAAGACTTTGCTTATGTGATGAACACGCTCGAATCACTTTTGATCATTCTCAGAAGCTTCCTTTCTGGCATGAATTCGGTTTCGAGACGTCTCAAAACCCAACTTTTATGACGTAATATAATTCTCAAAAGCGTTCTTCCTGGCATGAACCTGGCTTCCCCACCCCCCACCGAGTGGCAACGACTTTGACTCGACAAGGTCAAAGTCGTTGCCACCCCCCACCCCCCACTGCCCACCGCCCACCGCCTGACGCTATCTATCCTCTCCCCACCTCCTCCCTTGCTCATTCCCACCTGCTCTCCCAACCCTCCCCCTCCCAACTCCCTCCTTCTCCTCTCCCCCAGCGAGTGGCAACGATGCTGGATAAAATCAAAGGGCTGACTCTCCGAGACCGCTTTGCCTTCTTCTCGGCCCCAGCCAATGCCAGAGACCCCACCGTCGTGGCAGCCCTCCTGAGAGTCGCTCCCTCTTGTTGTCCCCGTTCCCCACTTCTCCCTTTCATCCCTTCCTCCCCCCCAGCGTGTGGCAACGATGCTGGACAAGATCAAGGGCCTGACCCTTCGCGATCGCTTTGCCTTCTGCTCGGCCCCGGCCAATGCCAGAGACCCCACCGTCATGGCCGCCCTCTTGCGATTCGCCCGCGAGTATGCCGAGGGGAATCCGGTCCCGCTGCTGGCGGGTGGTTCCGTGGGAGAGGAGGAGGGAGGTTGGGATGGGGAGAGGAGTGGAGGATGGGAGGGGGGGAAGGGGAGGCCGGGGGGGGAGCCGGCGGGCGAATGGGTGCGCGGCACGTGGCGCAAAACGGCTGCTTCTGATCTTATGGCTCTGGAGACAAAGCATCAGGTGTGTGGTTGATGATTAGCCAGCTGTGCGTTCTCAGATGGCTGTTTCTTTCTTTCTGAGGCACCTTGTATGTCACTTTCGCCATCTCACACATTCTCGGGCCCCTCCCACCCCCTTCAACCCCTCTACACCAGGTGGCATCACTCTACCTCTGGCTCTCCTATCAGTTCCCCAAAGGCGCCTTCCCGGACGCTTCCCTTGCGACAGACAAGGCTCAGAACGCGGCCAAGCAGCTCTCCACGGCTCTCCTCGAGGCTCGGACGCCGAACCTGTCCAGCAGCTTCGGCAAGCCAGGTTCGGTAAGGGACAGGTACGGACCCGGGTTGACGGACCTCCAGCAGCAGCAGCTTTGGTACGTAGAGCAGCAGAAGAGGAGGGAAGAGGAGAGGAGGAGGAGGAGGACAGAGGGGGTGGGAGAGGGAGGAGGAGAGGAGGAGGAAGAAGGGGGGGTGGATGCTGAAATGCGGCAACTGATTGCAAGTGCTCGGCTGAAGAAGAGTGCAGGGAGGAGGAAATTGGGCGCTGGGGCATCTCAAAGGTAGTGTGCCTACGAATGGGCTGAAGCAAGAAGGCAGTTGAAGGACAACAGTGAGAAAGCTCCGTCAGTGCAAGGTGCAGTGTGAGACTGCATGTGCTCCATGCGATGTGATTGTTAAGATCGTAGTGGTTTAATTTGTCAGAGGTATCTGCTTATAGCTTGTAAGAATGAATGCAATACAATGCTGGAACGTGGGAACATGCAAGGTGCATGCATGCAAGGCGAGTTATTATATCACATTACCGTAGCATGCAAGGCAGGTTATTATATCGCATTAGCATGCAAGGCGGGTTATTATATCACATTAGCATGCAAGGCGGGTCATTATATCACATTAGCATGTGCCTGCTTCGCAACTTTGATAAACACGTCTTCTAGCGTGGAGTTGGTTAGTCCCCACGCTTGTATGGGCATGGATGCCTTGGCTGCTTGCACCGCTGCAAAGACGTCAGATATCCTCACCTGCAGCAGAGGGAAAAGGATCATACAGGCAGGGAAAGGGAGGGAGGAGAGGGGTGGAGTTGGTTAGTCCCCATGCTTGGCTGTATGGGCATGAATGGCTCGGCTGTTTGCACTGATGCAAAAACGTCAGATATTTTCACCTGCAGCAGTGGGAATGCGTGGGGTGGGGTACTGTACTTCTGAAGAATGGGTATAGCAAACGGCAGGGAAGTGGCCAGGAATGGAATGGCAAGCAGATAGCAACAAAGCAGTCGCTGATGAGAATAGCAATACCTGTTCCTGAATTGAACCACAACGAGGAACACATGCGCAAGGAACAAAAGCTCGGCCAAAACTCTCGAAAACCTCTTCGTAGCAAAGACACTAACTATGCAACCGGCTCTCGAAAACCTCTTGGTGGCAAAGATGATACAAAAGTATGCAACCGGACCTGCAGAGATGCAGACGGCTCTCAATAATTGCTTGGAACAAGAGGAATGCATGTAAACTGACAAAGAAAGAAAGCCCACACTAACATAGGCATAACAATTACTATGCAAGCAGGACTGCCAACCAAACACACTTACATCTTCCACGGGTAGCTCAAACTTTTGGGTGCCCGAGAGGTTGTAGATTCTCCTAGCGTTCACAGAAAGGGACAGCGCCAGCCGGGCAGCTGCAGCCTCGTAGTCCACAGGAGTGGTGAGGGTGAAGATGAAGCGGCCTCCGTACCGTGCTGTGAGCTCCTGTGCGCTGCCTATGCAGGCAAACCTCCCCTTCACGAATATGCCCATTCGATCACACAGGGCGTCTGCCTCCTCCATGCTGTGAGCTGAGAGGATTGGGAGAGCGAGTGAGAGAGAGGGAGTGACGAGGGGAGGGGGGGGGGTTTTGAAGGGAATGATGAGGGGAAGGTCAGTTGGGCAGCGGCCGCCTCATGGACCCTGTGAGAGGCTGGTGGTCCGCAGGAGTGGTGAGGGTGACAGTGTAGCTCTTTCCATGTAGAACAACACTACACACGCACTCCCCCATTCACAGACCCACCGTCCCAACCATGCAGAGAGACAAGCTAGCACCACACACTCACTTGTGAGAACAATCGCGCAATTCTTCTTGGCTCGCTTCACCACGTTCCACAGGTGCATCCTGGGTAAAGGGTCCAGCCCCGTGCTGGGCTCGTCCATGTAGACCATAAGAGGGTCTCCCATGCACCCGCCCACCCACAGACCCACCCAACACTCCCCTTTCACAGACTTCCTGGCAGGCGCCGCCACTCACTTGTGAGCACGATCGCACAGTGCTTCTTTGCCTTCTTCACCACGTTCCACAGGTGCATCCTGGATGATGGGTCTAATCCCGTGCTGGGCTCGTCCATGTACACCACAAGAGGGTCTCCGATAAGCGATATGGCGACTGAGAGGCGCCGCTTCATGCCGCCGCTGTACTGCTGCACTGGCTTGTCTGCCTCCTTGAGTAGGTGCACCCTGGATAAGGACGCCTCCACTGCTGCTGAGAGTGAAGAGCCTCGAAGATTCTTCAGGCGCCCATAGAACAGAAGGTGCTCCCGACCTGTCAGCTGCTCCCATAGGAGGCTGTAAGAGGGGGGAGAGGATAGAGAAAGAGGGAGGGGCGAGAGGGAAGGGAAGGGGAGAACAAGGATGAACCTATGTGGCAGTGTAGGGCGGAAGGGAGGAGTGCGGGAAAGACTGAGACAGGAAAAGGGATCGGGGGGATTTTTCTTTTGAGAATTCTCAAAAGAAAAATCCACATAGAGAGAGCACCTCCCCTTGATGGAGGGCAAACACTCTCTTGGCCCCAGCACGCCCAAGCTCCCCCTTCCACCACACCAAAGCCCCTCCAAACCACGCTCAACCGCACTATACTCACTCATGCTGTGGGCAAACACCCATGATGGAGTAAATCCCGTCCATCTCCTCGGCAATCCCCATGCCCTCTATGACCGCCGTGCCCTCACTAGGCTGCAGGAATCCCATCATCATGCGCAGCGCTGTCGTTTTGCCCGCCCCATTCGGCCCGAGCATGCCCAAGCACTCCCCCCGAGCCACCCCCAGCCACATGCCGGCTACTGCCTCCTTGGGCGCCCCGCCGTCCCTGCTGGGGTACACCTTGGAGAGGCCCGCGCACAGGATGCTGTGGTGTGCGGTGCGGTCAGGTGCGGTGCTGGTGTGCAGGAGGTGCTGCACCTTGCGCTTCTGACGGGTGGAGGGGCAGGTGGCGGGTGGGAGAAAGGGGAGGGGGTCTGGATCATTTGGGGTAAGAATGGTCAATACCATGTTCCCTTATCGCTCTCTTTCGTCCCGCTTCACCCACACACCTCATTACATCAATCACCACTGAATCGGCTTTTGATATGTATATACATATATATGTATATATATATTTATATAAATAAATAAACAAATAAATGTATATACATACACACACATATATATATATATATATTTAGATTCTCTCGTCCCCGCTTTTCACACCTGTCACTCCACCACTCACCTCTAGCTCCACATCAAGTCGGTCCAAACACCCTTTCGCCTTCTCCTTTTCCCCCCCCACGTCTGTCCCTTGCCCCGCGCCCACAACACCTCTTCCCAACTCCCCTCCCCCCCACTCCGCCTTCCCACTCCCCGCCGCCCTTGCTTTCCACTCCTCCCCCTCTTCCTTTCTCCAGGAACCTTCCTGGAAGGCCGCATGCACCCGGGCATCCCCCCCAAGCCTGCAGCGTTGGAAAACATTCCGAAGCGACCCAAGAAGCTTCTGGCAGCTGCTCTTGCAGCCGCGGAGGAAGAAGAGAGGATGCTTCCTCACGCCACTACCCGCGGAAACCACCTGATCCAGGTAGATCGCGAGCAGCAGGAAAACCAGCCATTCGACGGCCAGGATCGCGACAGCTGTCAGGTAGCCATTGGTGGCGGCGGTGGCCCAGGTGAGCGTGCCCTGGGAGGCCTGGTAGGAGCCTATCAGGGACGACTGGGTTAACTCGTATACCCCGTGATAGAGGGCGAACGCTGGGAAGAGCTGTAGGGCAGTCATGACTGTGGCTGGGGGGGGGAGGAAGGAGGTGGAGAGGAAGAAGAGAGGGAGAGAGGAAAAGGAAACGAGAGGGATAGAGTTAACTCGTAGACTCCATGGTAAAGTGCGAACGCTGGGAAGAGCTGCAGCGCAGTCATGAATGTGGCAGGAGGGAGGGGTGAGAGGGAGGGGAGAGGGGAGGAAGGAGGGAAGGGGTGAGGGGGGAAAAGGAGTAAATTAGACTCCTGAGCTGGTTTTTGAGAATTCTCAAAAACCAAGGAGGGAAGGGGTGAGGGGGGAAAGGGAAAGGGAGTAAATCAGGCTCCTGAGCTCTGGTTTTTGAGAATTCTCAAAATAGGAGAGAGGGAGGGGTCCAACTCGAAAGGGAGGGGTCCAACTCGAAAGGGAGGGGTCCAACTCGAAAGGGAGTAAATTAGGCTCCTGAGCTCTGTGATAGAATAGAGGGCGAACGATGGGAAGCGGCGAAGACGTAGAGGTAGGCGATGACGGTGGTGATGACAGTAGGCGTAGGGGCTTATCAAGGCCCCAAAGAGAATCAAGGAAGGCCATTGCACCCACTTGAGAAAGAATTGGACTCGAGCAGGTTGCGGTAGAAGCCGAAAGAGGTAGGTGGCGACGGTGGCGACGGTGGCGGCGGGAGAAGCAAGGCCCTAAAGAGGAAGAAGGAATGGCGGCCCTGGTACTCACTCGAGAAGGAAGTGGACTCGAGCAGGTTGCGGTAGAAGAACTGGCCAAGCAGCGCGGAGGCGAAGACGTAGAGGTAGGTGGCGATGGTGGCGGGACGCGTGTGGGCGAAGGCGGTGGATGCGAGCATGGCCAGTGCGATCTGTGCGTTGGCGTTCACGATATACAGGAGGAGCTGCAGGCCGTAGGGGTTGAGCGTGAAGGATTTGAGCTCTGACGGAATGGGCAAGGGGAATTGGGGAAGGGGGGGAACGTGGGAAAAGGGGACGGGGAAGCAGGGAAGGCGGTGGATGCGAGCACGGCGAGTGCGATCTGCGTGTTGGAGTTCACGATGTAGAGGAGGAGCTGCAGGCCGTAGGGGTTGAGCGTGAAGGATTTGAGCTCTGCGCATGGGGGAGGGTGGGAAGGGAAGGGGGAACGGGGTAGGGTGGGGAGGGGAGGGGGGATGGGGAGAAGGGGAAGGGTGGGGTGGAATGGGGAATGGGGAAGGGAATGTAGAGAGTGTTGGCTGGCAGTGCACGGTGAGCATAGGGGGAGGTTGAGAGACTTACGGATGAGAGAGCCGAAGGCGACGAGGAAGAAGATGTACGCAAGGGAGAGCAGGAGAAAGTAGAGGTACGAGACGAGCCAGTAGGGCCCGTCCTTGAGCCCGTGCATGCGCATCATCATCCTCAGCTGCTGCTCCTTCTCGTACACCAGCGCCACTGTCACAACCGGCAGCAGCAGCTGCTGCTGCTCCCCATACACCAGGCCAGAGCCACCGTCATGACTGGCAGCAAAATACCAGAACTTCCCTCCCAGTGACTTACGGATTAGAGACCCAAAGGCGACGAGGAAGAAGATATAGGCGAGGGAGAGCAGGAGAAAGTAGAGGTACGAGACGAGCCAGTACGGCCCGTCCTTCAATCCGTGCATGCGCATCATCATCCTCAGCTGCTGCTCCTTCTCGTACACCAGCGCTACGGTCATCACTGGGAGAAGAAGCTGCAGCAGCCACATGTAGAAGAGCGGTCCGAGGAGCGATGCGAAGTCTACTCCCAACGTGGTTTCCACTTTTGGAAAGTCTTTCACAAATAGCAAAGGAATTTCCGCCGCCGCTGCTGCTGCTGATCCTGCTGCTGATCCTGCTGCTGGTGCTGCTGCCACAGCAGTACCCGCGCTGTTTAGCTCATCCCCGCTATGGAAGGTCTTGATAAACGCGTTGGACGCGAGGTTAAGGAGGCGGGCGAAGCGGAGGAGCGTGGCTGGGGTGCCGCCAATACTTGCGTTGTTGTACGACGAGTTATACTGAATCACGGGGCTATAACGAGTCGGGCCCGTGTCCTGGAAGTCAAAGGCTGCTGTGTACGCGTTAGTGGCTTGCTCGGGATTCGCCTGGTAGTAGCCTGAGTACAGTTCCGAGTCGATATCCGTTTGCGTGTCCCGCCAGACCGTGTCTACGTCTACACATTCCACTCCTGTTGGGATGAGAAGAGGTGAGGAGGGAGAGAAGGGAGACAAGAGGAGGAGAGGATATCCTTGAGTCGCCTAGGAGACATATCCGCTCAGCTGACTTTTGAGTCGACTCAAAAGAGGGTATCCTTGACTTGTTTTGAGAGTGTACCCTTGAGTCTCAAAACAACTCTTTTATCCTTGAGACAAGAGGAGGAGAGGATATCCTTGAGGCGCCTGGGAAATATATCCGCTTGAGTGTCACGCCACACCGTGTCTACGTTTACACACTCCACTCCTGTTGTGATGAGCGGAGATCAGGAGGAAGGGGGAAGAAGGGAGAGGAGAGGAAGGGAGGAGAGACGCGGGGATGGGAGGGGAGGGTGAAGCGCGGGTGAGGGGCAGGAGAGGAGAGCACGGGAACTTCAAGTCATATTGACCGCAAACGAGGTGACTTTTGAGTCGACTCAAAAGTCGCGGGTGAGGGGCAGGAGAGAGGAGAGCACGGGAAGTCATATTGACCGCAAAATTCGGCACGTCCCCCCAGCACTACCCACGAAACGCCGTAAACATCATTGCATCACTTACGGACGGGGAGCTTGATAGCATCCGCGACCGTCGCGTTGACTGTGAATCCGCGCATGTTCCCGTGGCACTGCGGCAGCAGCAGCAGCAGCGACGAGTTGGCCTGCCACCCCACGGGCGATACCGCCTCCTCCAACAGCAGGCTCCATCCGGGGTAGGTTGCCGTTCCAGGCGTTACCTGGGACAGGTCGTATACATACGACGGCACCCAGTACCCCGCTGTCGTGTTGCGCTGCTGTTTCTGTTTGGTGTGCCTGCGCGGTTTCCGCTCCCGAATTAATCTTCGCGGTCCCAGCTCCTGGCGGTTTTGTTTCCCCTTGGGTGAATCGCTAAACCTGCTGCTGCTGCTGCTGCTCCTGCTGTTGCCCCTGATTATGCTGATCTGTTGCAGATTTCGTGCGTCTGTTCTTTGCTGTCTCTTCTGCATCCGCGATACTGCGTTCTCCACTCCCGCTATTGTAACGATTTCGTTCAGGCGTTTTCGCACGTCGTGCTTCCCCACCTGCCTCCTTCCCCTTCCCATCCCCCTGCTCCCCCGCCCCTTCCCCCCAACGGCTCCCGCCTCCCCCGCAACAGACCCGCTTCCTCCCGTGGGTTGCGCCTCCCCCAACCCCGGCGCGGAGAGAGTCTCCGCCAATCCTCCAGATTGCCCGCGGAGCAGCGGCTTTGTTCCCCCCACAGGGACGGACAGGGGGGGAGCGGAGACCGAGGTGGTACTAGGCGGAAGAGGGTTAGCGTGAGAAGCGGCGGCAGCCACGGTGTCATTCGTGGAGAGGAAAGTGTTTGGATGTTTCCGGACGGACCTAAGTGACGTGTAGAGCACGTCAGGCACGAGGAATGACGCCATTGCTGACGTGGATTGCGGGTCGGGAGATGCGGCGGGAAGGGGCAGGGAGGGGGAGAAAGGGGCGAATTGGAACCGGAACAAGGATTCAAGGGGATAGAAGGTGACGGCGTGAAAATCTTCCAAACTAACTTCCAAACTAATGATAATGAACATTATGATAGAAGGGGACAACGCACGAAACACGACAGGGACGAAATCCCGAGGCATTCGGAGAACGTTACCCTCAGCGGCGGTTCGATTTTGTCCTGTGAATAGAATCACCGTCGGACAGCTCTGGCCAGTCTCAGACCGACACGTGGCAGGCGGAAGCCCCAACGAAGCGCCCACCCCGGACGGCGAGGCTGCTCTGGCCGCATTCGGCGGCACCTGCGCAAACGCCGGCCACATGGGCGGCCTGGGGACGGCGCAGAAGGGCATCTGCGACGCGGTGGAGTACTCCGGACCGCAGGTGATTTTCTCAGGTGGGCAGGTGGAATCAGGTAGCCTAAACTCCTTGGGACAACCGCATCCGCATTTGTAGGTTGACATCATAACGTTATCAAGCAGGATTTGGAGGGCTTGTAGGAAGATGCATAGAAGGGCGGGGAGGCTGACGATGCATGCATTCGTGCCCCAGTTGCGACGCTGGTATGCGACGTTCTTGCGAAACAGGGCGTCCGCCTGCGTGACGAACGACGTGCGAAGCCTGCGACGTCGCCGCTCCGCGGACGGAGGTGAGAGCGACTGGTCGCACGGCCCGTCGCTCGAGGTTGCAGAATACTTGCTCGCGACGTCATTTTTTTCTGACGAAGTGGGTCTAGATCCGCTATTTACGGGGCCACTAGCGCCAAACGAGGATTCTGGAGGGGTTGAGGAGGCGGAGGAGGTGTAACGGGAGGTTGGGGGGCTAATGGATGGGTCGCTATAAGCATCCTCGGTACCCGATTCGCTATTGACGCACGAAGCCGCTGGACTGAGACTTTGACATTCCATTCGAGAAATCACCGTTTTGACATGCAGCTGAAATGATATCTGCGGAAACCTTTAGGTGGCTGGTCTATTCGAACCTTGAAGTAGATTCAGGCCTGAATGGATTTCGCTACAGAGGAGGATGGTGGACGGAGGTAAGTCGACTAAAAAATCGCTATGGTGAAATGGGAGCTGGGAGTAGAGCTATTGGAAAGCTGAATCGCGACATGATGGCGCTGCAACGGGACGGAAAAGACTGGCTGGAAAGGTCCGCAAGAGACGTGCTTGTTGTTTGTGCTTGTGCCTAGGTGGCGTGTGTATGTCACCTCTGTTTGGGACCTGGTGAAACAGCATTGTGAAGGGATGTGCCAATGCCGCACTGGAAGGGAGGGCAATCAGTGGCTATTCTTCCTCGTCACTCTCTCTCTCTCTCTCTCCCCCCCTCCAGCAATTTCACAAATGTGCGCCATTCGTCAATGTAGGAGGGAAGCCAAATGTGGAGCTTGGCGGATCGCAAGATGCGCCCCGGAAATTTTAGGAAATGGGGCTTGGCTCTGTAACAGAAACTGCTCCCCGCAATTGGCGGTAGTGGAACCTCGCCAGGTTCGCCCTTCCAATTTCGAAGTTTTGCGAGAAGTTGGAGATGTGGGTGGCCTTCGCCCCGAACCGAATCTCCCAGCCCAGTCGTTTTCCCCGTCTCTGTTGATGAATATCTCCCCGTAGAGCCGGGCAGCAACGCAAACGACACAACTTGGGCATTGGCGAAGCAACTGTATGCAAAAGTCGCCAAAAAATCAAGTGTTTAGTTGGGTTCATGTTCTGGTTCGGTAGAACAAGCTGACCGCACACGATGCGACTGGGAAGAAATGTCGGTGCAACGGTCTCCAAAATTCCCGAACAATGCTGATGGAACATACATTTCGCTCATAAACAGGATTGCCATTTATAGCTGGCACATTATTCATTTATTGCCTAAACATGTAAGCTTGGCTATAACAGCACTAAAAAACAAAGCAGGGTATTGCAAGCTACCAGGTGATCCATAATGCACTGAATTTTCCCAGGCATCACATGCTAGGCATCTTTTGTGCACAACACACGTCACAGAGTGAATATGCCCACATAGCCCTTCAACTCATGACAGCAATTGCCCTCTTCTCCTCCTGTACTCTCTTCATAGGCTTCTCAAACAAAACATTCAGCAACCAACCCCCCCGATCACCACCCCACTCTCCACTCCTCCCCACTCCACTCCCCCCACCACCCGCCACCTTCGCCCACTTCAGCTTCTTCCACTGCGCCACCTCAGCAACGGCCAGGATCTTCCGAATCAACGGCCGGGAGAACGGCACCATTTCCAGCCACACTAGTCCCCCAGGGCGAAGCACTCTGTCCCAATCATACAAGACAGACTCCAAGGCAGGCGGATGCGCGAGCATTGCCGGCCAAAACGCACAGTGGATTAAATCTAATGACGAGTCCGATAAGGGCAAGCGGGCGGTGGGAGGAAGGTGGAGGGCTGGGAGGGCTCTGTGTGCTAGCACTTCCATTACAGGCGCGCCGTGGTTGGACGCGGTGGTAACCACCGTAACGCCTCGGTCCGCCATGAGTGCAGCGAAATTCCCCGTGCCCCCTCCAATGTCCACCCCAACTCGAATGCCTCCTGGTGGTTTCACTGCCAACACTGCATCCATTCCCCACGCCCCTGCTGCTGCTGCTGCCCCTGCTGCTGCTGTTGCTGCTGCTGCCGCTGCTGCTGCTTCTGCTGCTATTGCTGCCCCTTCTGGTGCTGCTGGCACTGCCTGAGTATACAACCCTGAACCCTTTGAATCTCCATCAAAGCCCGCATATGCCCCACGAGCGCCTCTCTCTCTGGCCTTAGACAAGTTAAAGCATGACACCAAACACCCGCGCACTGCAGCAGGCAATCCCAGCCGTCCGATTTCCAAACCCTCTGACTCCGCGCCTTCCGTCCCGGCTACCATCCCCTCCCCTTTTGCATCCCCCCTGCCCACAACCCCGCCACCGCCACCGCCTCCACCACTGGAACCCGCATCCCCATCCCCGCGCCACGCGCGTTCGGCCTGGTCTTCCTGCTCCATAAGGCATTCCCAGTCGCGGCACGGGCCGTAAAGCTCCCACGCGATGCTCTTCGCCTCGGGATTCGTCCACCTCGCCGCTTCCCGCGACGGCGGCTCGGCAGATTCACCGGTTGCGACGCCGCCCGCGTCGCCTCCCGAAACCGTGTCCGCGGCGGTAGTTGCGGCGGTGGAGGGCGAGAGAGGAGAGGAATCGGAGAAGCAGGCGCGGCGGGGGAGGTCGAGGCATCGCGCGTCAAAAAGCAGAGCCTCGTCTAGTCTAGAGCTCGGCGGCAAATCCCATTGCTCACGTGCTACATCTGACTGCCCTGACTGCTCTGAGCGCTGCTGCTGTTGCTGCTGCTGCTGCTTCTGCTGCTGTTCCTGAGATTCTCCCTGAAGTTGCTGCTGCGGCGGCTGCGCCATACCACCTTCAAACGCGCGGGAGCCGCCACTAGCTCCGCTGGTAACCGAAACTGTTACGGGCGGGCACGTGCTGCCGGGGGTGTAGTTGTAATATGCGGACATCTGCGCGGGACTGGCGCCGCAGTGCTGCCACGCGGACCACGCGCGGCCGCGGTACGCGTTATTGAGCTGCTTCTTTAGGTCGAAACTCTCCGCTCTACAGCGAAACAGCTGCTTTCGCAAAAACTCGAGGTCGTCAACGAAAACGTCGCACCCGCGATGGTCCTGCTCGTGAACGTACACCAGTAGCAGCATCAACAGCAGCAGCAGCACCAAATCCACGGCGCTAAGTGAAAAGCTTAAAATTCCTCCCCGCCCGCTCTTAGCGCCGGACCCGTGCCCGCCGCTTGCCCAGGGGTTCCGTCTGCGCTTATTGAAACGCGTCGCGTACCAAGCCGACGTGGGCGTGCCATATTTCCATCTCGACAGCACCTCCGGGTCGGCAGGGCTATCATCGTCGTCTTCTAGTGTATCGTCCACCACTCGAGGTTTCTCCCGGCCCGCATCTCTCGCCGCGCCACCCGCCGTGCCTCCCGCCGCACCTCCCGCTGCCCTGTCCCCGCCTGCGGAGGAGCTTGCAGGCGGTCGCCCCCACTCTCGCTCTTTATTCCAATCGCGGCCCATGTCTCTCCCAACCTCTCGCGTCCACTCCGCTGCTCGGCTCTTCCCATGGTGCGAACGAGACGAATCCTCTCTATCCGAATCCTTTTCGTCCTTCTCTCCGCTTCTTACGCTAAGCTCTATGGCGCCGGACGCTGTGACTCTTCCTCCGCCGCCACCGCCACCGCCGGATGCGGCGGCGGCGCTCCCGGCAGCGCCTGCTCCCCCGGCTGCCCTGCTGTGGTCGAGGTCGTCTTCTGCGTTCGCAAACTGCTGCACGAAAGTGGCGCCGAAAGTCTGCGAAGTTTCGCGGTTTCGCAGCATTGCTTCGGTCTGGGCTGGTGCACCTACAGCCTACGCTGCTTCAGAACGCCAGATTTTACTCTGAGTGGAGGGAATACGCGAGAAAAACGTAGAATGTATACTCATCTGCCGTCGATTCCGAGAGAGAGAAAAAACTCAGAACTACCTGTTTAGCCACTTTAATACCTACCTAAGAAACGGCTGGGGAGAAAATAAGACATCGGCTGAAAGACATACGTTGGAGCTAGAAAGTGCTTAATGCAAGAGTCAATAAGCTCCCAGCTGTCAATGCCACACCACCATGAAACAAGGCGATGATAGGAGAACAATTATTGCGGTGGAATGGGCAGAAACGTATGGCAGAGAGAACAGGTGTGGGCAAGGTGAAATGAATGGATAGATAGGGCAACGCCACCTGATATGCGTGTCCAAGACGAAAGAACTGTGAGACGGGGGGAAAATAGGCGGAAGAGGGGAAAGAGAGAGGGGAAAGGGAGGCATATGTACGGGATGATGTAGCGGAAAGAAATGGAAGGGAGAGGGGAGAGAAAGGGGAAAGAGAGCGGAAAGAGGGGGGGGGGAAAGCGGGGATGGCTCGGAAGTAGCCGCGAAGAACATTGCTGTTGCAGAAGAACCGGGCAACAGAACGTAAGCACGGGAGTTTCTGATTGGGCTTTCGCTGCTGCATGAATATTCACGGGTAGCTGAAAATCTCGTCAAGGACGGAACTGGGGGAGTTCTGGCGGGAGATGTTTCCAGGCCTTCAGATGACAACCAATTGATGACCAGCCGGCGCCAATTCCCAAGATGGCGGCTGACTAGCACGCGCACTTCCTTGCTGGCGCGCGGGGTTTGGCGGACTGCTGACGTGAGAACGTGCAAGGGGAACTTGCGATTGGCGGATGTGACAGCAGCGAAAGAAGCTGCCTGATGAGTTCCCCGTGTGTGGGAGAAATCGTAACTTCTGACAGCTGGGATTGGACGAGGAATAGTCAACACGGAATAAACTATGTGTAACACTCAGATTAACGCATGCGTAGTTTTATCAATTGGACATACCAGTACATATAATTAGCTGTGAACTCGAAGCAATCAGGTCTGATTACTGACAATCCTTATGACCCAACCGGCTGTCCTAGCAAAAACAAGCAGATGGCTTATGAACAACACCCGCACATCCTAGCCCAAAAGCTCTTCTCCTTTCCACTCTTCCCCCATTTTGCAGGCACCGCATCCGCCGCAGCCTCAGAAGTCGCCGCCATCTGCTCCGAAAACTTTGAAATTCTCAGCGTCCCAGTGTCATCCTGCTGCCAGCTCACATCAATCAAGCTCCCCTGGGGAAACTCCTCTGTGGGCGGCAGCGAGACAAGCTCAGCACCCACAGGTACCTCAACTGACAACCCATTCGCAAGCACAATGTTTTCAAACCGGCCTTCGGCCTGCGCAGTTTCGAGTTCGGCTTGGCGGGCGATGTTGAGGAAGACCTCTTCGAGGGTGGAGAGGGAGAGCTGTGTGTCGGTGATCCCCAGCTCCTTGCTGCAGTCGTTCAGCTCCTTGAAAAAGGCCTGGGGTGCAAAGTGGTTGCAAGAGATGCAGAGCAAGGGATGCAACATCAGAAATTCAAGGTTGGCAGTGCATGGCAGAGTGAAGCACAGGGCGGCTACAATGGATGGGTATAATACTTGCTTCACGGGAACTAGTTTGCACAGTGTGGTCCACGCATGTCACACATAACATGAGCACACATGAGCGCACACATAGGTTCACACGAGCACATGAATGCGGGACGAGGAACCCTGTGTGCAGTGTGGTATAAGCTTCAGCTTACTGTAAGTTGAGGCTCCCTGTCTCGTGGCACGAGGAACTTGACGTATCCCTTGGACTCATCCGATGCCTCCACATCCAGCTTCTGTGCACGGGAGAGGGAGGGGAGAGAGGAGAGAAAACGGAGCAGCCGTCAAGTCAGTGAGTTGAGGCTCCCTGTCTCGTGGCACGAGGAGCTTGACGTATCCCTTGGACTCATCTGATGCCTCCATGTCCAGCTTCTGCCAGAGGTGGTAAAGCAGGAGGGGGTGGGGCGGGAAGGGGGGAAAAGAAGAGAGGAGGAGAAAAGGGAGCAGCCTTTTACGGAAGACCCACCTCTTCGAAACATACCTTCACACAACAGCAGCCTACTCTGCGGCAGCCGCCTTAGCAGCAGTCTCCCCCTGGGAATTCATTGCCGAAACCATCCCTCCCGTCGACCCAATTCCCACAGTCACCAATAAACCCGGCGCCAAAGCGGTTCTTGAGGTGAATAGACGTGCCACCAATGCTCTTTCTGGTTCGTCGAGCCCCTCTTCTCCACTCACCTCTTTGAAGTACGCCTTCACAGCAAAGTGACTTTTGAGTCGACTCAAAAGTCACCTCGCAGTTCTTGAGGTGAATACACGTGCCACCAATCCTCTCTCTGGTTCGAACCCCTCTTCTCCACTCACCTCTTTGAAGTACGCCTTCACAGCTGCAGCCTTCTCTGCCACTGCCGCCTTGGTAGCAGCGTCTGCCTGCAAATCCACTGCCGAAGCCATCCCTCCCTTGGCGCCAATCCCCACGGTGACAATAAACCCGGCACCAAAGCGGTTCTTGAGATGGATGGAGGTGCCGACGCAGCGCAGGCGGCCACGAGCCATGATGGCAATGCGGTCGCCCAGAATGTCTGCTTCTTCCATGGAGTGTGTGGTGAGGATGATGGCCCGCCCTTTCTTGGCTCGCTCCACTATGTCCCACACGTGACGGCGTGACACCGGGTCCATGCCTGTGGTCTGTTCCAGGGGTAGGAGAGGGAGTGGGGAGAAAAGGAGTGTTGGTTTGCCCGGGATGTCCGCCTCCTCCATGGGGTGGGTGGTCAGCACAATGGCTCGGCCTCGCTTGGCCCTGCTGGAAGGGGCAGCAGGGAGAAGATGGGTCGCGAAGGATGTCCGCTTCTTCCATGGAGTGTGTGTGAATGATGGCCCGCCCTTTCTTGGCTCGCTCCACTATGTCCCACACGTGACGGCAGGATACAGGGTCCATGCCCGTGGTCTGATGGGGAAAAATGGAGAGACAGGGGTAGAACGGAAAGGGAAGGGGCAATCAGAATGTCAATCAAGAGGAGGTGAGTCGAGTATGGAGGTGCTGATGCAGCACAGGCGACCGCGGGCCATGATGGCAACGAGGTCGCTCGGGAAGGGGGAAGGGGGGCAGGGTAAATGAGGGAAAAGGGAGTGTTGAGACTCCAACTCACCGGCTCGTCCAGATACACGACCTTGGGGTCTCCAATGACCGCGCTGCACAACAGCTACAGATAACCGTCTCTTCGTCCGCATCTTGCCGCACCTCATCGAGCAGACTTGCAACCTCTTGGCGCATGTGCGCAGGGGGCAGAGCAGAACAGAGCCGACTCTCCGTTGGACCCAACCCAAGCCTCCCACCTAAGCAAGGGCCCAACTCACCGGCTCATCCAGGTAGACAACCTTGGGGTCTCCAATGAGCGCCACAGCCACGGACAGTCTCCTCTTCATGCCGCCGCTGTACGCACGCGTGCGCATCTTCTGGGCTTCAGTCAGCCGCACCTCCTCCAGCAGGCTCGCCACCTCCTTGCATGTGTGCGCGGGGGGCAGCCCCTTGATGCGCGCGAAGAGGTAGAGGTGCTCCGCGCCTGAGAGACGGTCCCACAGGATGTCAAACTGCGGACACACGCCCATGATGCCCCTAATGCGCGCCATGCTGCCTGGGTCGCGGATGGAGGAACCCAGGACAAGAGCTGAGGAGGGGTGCGTGCAGGGGAGAAGGGGGGTGTTGGGGAATGAGGGGGGGAAGGAGGGGTTTGATAAGGGAAGGAAGGTCCCACAGGATGTCAAACTGCGAACACACGCCCATGATGCCGCGGATGGCCGCCATGCTGCCCGGGTCGCGGATGGACGACCCGAGGGCGAGAGCTGCGGGTACGAGTGGGGGAAGGGGAATGAGGGGGAGAATTGCACCGTTACTGATGGCCTGGGCAAAGCCATTGTACCACTAGTGAGGCGCCTCAGAAGACATTGTACCACTAGTGAGGCGCCTCAAAAGACATTGTACCATTGCAGGTTACACGTCTTACCACAACAATCCATTCAAGGAGTGGAGTTATGGCCCTTACTGTCAGTTTGACAAACCAGAAAAGCTTGTCCTTCGCCACGCAAAACCACAACAATCCATCTTGATTATTGAGTAAAAGTAGGGCCCTTACCGTCGCCGGCAGTGGTGGGGATGATGCCCGTGAGGCAGTGAATGGTGGTGCTCTTCCCCGCGCCATTGGGGCCCAGCAGGCAGAACAGCTTGTCCTTCTCCACGCCAAACCACGACCCCTTCACCGCATGAAACGCCGGTGACCTCTTAATCACGCAGCACCGTTTCATCTCCGTACGCCCCGGGAACGTCTTCACCAGGCCCCGAACGGACACTGACACGTTGGCAGCCTCCTCCCCTCCCGCTGCTGCCGCTGCCTTCACCTTCTCCTCCTCTTCGATGACGTCAGCGTCGTCAGCACGGTCGTTCGGATCCAGCTCAGGGACCTTCCTGCGGAAACACGAGAAGATTCCTCCGTGCTCCGAGCCTGCTGAGGCTCGGCCGGTCCAGAAGGAAGGGTAGAGGAAGAAGAAGCAGGGCTTACGGATGCCGTTCACGTCCGGGAGAATGTTGTCCAAATAGACGGCCAGGATGAAGTAGATGATCGTGAGGACGAGCAGCCAGACGTAGATCCCTGACATAGTCATTACACAGTCCGGATTTCGCGGAGAGCACTGGCCAATCGCGGACAACTTAATCCCGGGATCCTCGGGAGTGGCTGTGGCGTCTCCTAAGTACTTCAGCCCTATTGCCAGGAGATTGGGCGGGAAGAGATTAAAGACCACCCGGAGGCCGTCGCTGTACTCCTTAGAATACGGCACGCCGAATAGCACGATCAGCTGCAGCACGAAACCTATAATGAAGATGAAAAACCCGACGGTGTTGGCTGTGGAGGCCTTGCGGAGAAAGGTGGAGACGAAGAAAGCGAGGGAGGTCATGGAGAGCCAGAAGAGGAAGAACATTAGGAAGAGGACGAGGAAGGCGTTGTGCAGGAAAAAGTCGAATTGAAACATCATGCCGAAGCACACGAGAAAGATGCAGGAGATGATCGCGAGGAGGACCTCCCAGAGGAACCAGGTGAGCCAGAAGACTGAGTCCATGAGTCCCATTGTGGACATGGCCTGGCGGAGTTTTAGCTCGCGCTCCGTTACAAGGTTGCTCGCTTGCGTGACGAAGCTGAACATGGCCGCGGCGAAGAGGAACGTCGCGCCGGCGGATCCGACGGCGGAGAACGCGCTGATGGCCGGGTGCGCGAACTCCGCGTACGACGGCGTCCACGTCAGCGTCCAGTCCTGCGCGATGTAACGCGCGATCTCGCGCTCCGCCGCCGCCTGAAGCGGCACCTGGTAGTCGAACGTCGCGTCCTCGAACTGCCCGCGCTGGCTCTTAACGGTGGCGTTCGTTTGAATGCCGTAGCCTAACGCGCCGGACGGGGTGAAGGCGAAGTGCAGCGCGCCGGTGGTCGTGTACGGGTTCGCCAGCAGCCATGCGTCCACGTCATCTGGAGTTGCAAAGCCCTTGACCTGATAAGCGGATGGGTTGGAAAAGGTATGCAGGGGAATGGGTTAGTAGAAGGACATTGGTGAAATAGAGAATGCCGGAAAAGGACATTAGGAACACCGAGAATGGGGAATTGAAGCTGCGGTTCGCAACCGTCAAGTACACAAGTACACAACCGTCAAGTATGAAACGCACACAACGTTCCACTGTAGAGCTCGTCCCGGTAATTTACCTGGGTGTCGAAATTGATTGGACGGCCCGGATTGTTCAGGGTGATGTTTTTCACGATCGATGTGACGACCGCGCTGTTATTCCCGCTCCATACAAAATCGTAGCACGGAGGCTTGATGTAGAATGCGTTCTCGCAAGACCGAATGCCAGGGATGGCTTTCGGGACAGGAGTGTAGATGTTTCGGTACTCGGTGCGGTCACTTATGGCGGCTTTCAGGGCCTCGTTTACTGCGAAGATAAGGAAGATGAAAAAGAACGAAGCGAAGAGCTGAAGGAAAGTAGCCGTTCTATTTCGCCATGCTACCAAGGCGTTCTTGATCATGAGTGCCTTGAACTGAAGATTCCAGAGAGCGTAGCCACGCAAACGCTTCGTGGAATGATCAGCCTCTCCATCTTTCTCTGAATGTCCCATGCCGGACTACCAGAACAAGGACCTCTAACTCCGGTTCAAGTTTAGCAACAATGGCATTCAGAGCTCTCCCGCCGAAATGGGGCCTCAGATAAGTATCGCTAGCAGGCCGATCCTCTGAAAGCCGCTTGTTTGCACGAACTATCTGAGACGGGGAGGAGAAATAAAGCGGAGTAAATGAGGGGTGAGAGAAGGAGGCGAGGTGAGGGAGAGGAAACTGGACAAACGGGATATGGACGGGAAGAGAAAATAGACTAGCGGATAGGAGAGACGCTACTGTACTGGATAATGACTTTGCAGTTCATGAGAGTGTACGAGGCGGGGAGATGAAACGGACTCTGATGGCTGAAACCGTTCTCCACGATGTGCTGTTGGGGGCGGTCTGACCTGGTCTGGTGCGAAAAAAACTGCACCACACATTGCTCCAGTCTACCGCGACGCGGTACGAGGCGCGGGAAATGGTTTCACTTCTGAGGTTCAGGTCAGGTCCACCCAAAACTAGAGGAAATGACGAACCGCCGTCTTTTCTTGTTTTCGATTCCAATGAGCAGTGGTTTTGACCACGCATCGATCCAAAACTCTGTTACACAAACGGTGGGAAGGAATCGTTCCGCCAGTGGGAATCTTTTTCGTTTAGATCCTGCTAGGTTACGGGAACAATGCCAGTTCAAAGCAACAGAAGTGAGTGTTTCTTTCTCGATCGGGTTCAGGAAGTGAGTTCCTCGAAGTTACACAAATGCGTGTGCGATATGTGAGACTCGAAAAAAGATTTGCTGTGTGCTGAAATTGCTTTCAGCCCGTTGGCTCTACGGTCAACATCCTACAGGCATAGCTGAAAGTGAACGGACTTCCCCGTTGCTTCGGATCATACGTCAGTCACTACTGACGAGATGCCACCTCAGCAGAAAAACTGTCGCTCTCCCTTTGCTGACATCATAATTCTGTCACTTTCGGTCCGGACTCCGAAGTCACCTCACAAAAAAGGTTCAACCCCACCATACCCACACAACCAAACGGTCAAACCAGAACCACCCAAACCAATCCACCCCAACCCGAGTTCCGTGAAGGGGCACTTTCAGTTCAGACCTTCCCTACACGGTACACCACCACCACACACTTGCCTGGCTGGCTTGTTGATCCATTCAACCCTCTCTCAGCAAAAACGAAACTTCAGCCACACACAGCAAGCACGCACCTCAGTCATCCAGTTCACGTCCATGGAACTACTGTACAGCGAATCAAAACAGCCCGTGAACTTGGACGGCCTTTGCAGGACATCTCCCTTAACGGAAAGTGTACGACCGTACGTTCGCTTTCTCAAAACTTTCTCGAAACTGCATACAGAAGAGTGATTCGCGCATGCCATCACATCTTCCTTTCCCTCTCTTCATTCCTGTTCCAAGGGAAGTGTTTCAGTGTTTAGTTAGCTAACGTGGAACCTCATTGCTGCACTCCTTTGCGAGGAACTTGAACAGCAGGGAGGACTGAACTTGCTATTTAGCTGTTTCCGCTTCTTGCTCTCCTTAGTTCTACAATTTTGTTTACGATCAGCAAATAAGGAGTGCTTGTCGAAATGGCTGATCAGGAGAACGGCGGGGGCAAAAGAGACGTCGAAGATAGTGTTCCTGTGACTGAGCAGGAGCTTCAGGCTGAGAAAGAACAAGAGCAGCGCCGAGTGCGACTTCGTACTACTTTTAACACTCAAGCGAATGCGCTTTTGCGGAAGAATGTCACGTTTCAGGTATTTCTTCGCTACACGCGGGTGTGACTAAGGCTGACATCGTGAACTAATTGAACCTTTAGTAGAATACTTTAGGCAATGGAAACAGTGCTCTATAAGAATATATCGGGTTCCATTTCCAATCCTTGACTCCAAAGCCTTCCTTGACTGCAAGTTTCTTTTATTCGCCTCAAGGTTCATGCCTTCGTCTCTCCCATTTGTCTGCCTCTGGACCTGTCACCCCTCTCAGTAACCCTAGCCCTCCATGGCCGCCGGTTGGCTCCCAATGGTGTCAGCACTTCATAATTTCGTCTCATCAACAACCTCCTAATCCCATCCCCTCGCTCGCTCTTATCGCGACCTGCTCTCTCCCTTATTCCTCCAGAAACGCAACTGGGGAACCAACGTCTGCCTGGTCTCCATGCCAATCCTCATGTGCGTGCTGCTCAAGACCCTCGACATCGCCGTTAGAGCCTTCTCAAATTCCTTTCTCCGACTTATTTTCCCCCGCGCCTCCAGAAACGCAACTGGGGAACCAACGTCTGCCTGGTCTCCATGCCCATCCTCATGTGCGTGCTGCTCAAGACCCTCGACATCGCCGTTTCAGCCTTCTCAGATTTCCTTTTCTGACTTATTCCCCCCCATTCCCCCAGAAACGCAACTGGGGTACCAACATCTGCCTGGTGTCCATGCCCATCCTCATGTGCGTGCTGCTCAAGATCATCGAAATCGCCATCAACGCCATCCTCAGCGGCCCGGACTACCGCTGCGGCTGCGTCTGCACGGCCACGGGGCAGAACAACACAGGCTCGTGCCCCGATCCTAGTCAGCAGACGTGCGGCCCGCAGTACTCCAACAACAAGCAGACCGCCTTCTGCGCCGTGCCGAGCCCGTACATGTATCCAGCCATGGTCCAGGTGAGCGGCCTTCAGGTCCCGTTAACGGCTAGTTGTCGCGTCGCACTTGCCTTAAAAGGCGAGTCAGCAGACGTGCGGCGAGCAGCAGACCGCCTTCTGCGCCGTGCCGAGCCCGTACATGTATCCAGCCATGGTCCAGGTGAGCAAGTCTTCGGGGGTGCCTCAGCAGGCTCGTCGCACTTGCATCAAAATGCGAGGGAGAAGACATGCGGCCCGCAGTACTCCAACAACAAGCAGACCGCCTTCTGTGCCATGCCGAGCCTGTACATGTACCCCGCCATGGTCCAGGTGAGCTGGTCTTGGGGGGCGCCTCAACATGGCTCTTGTGCATGGCTGTATCCCTTAATGTGCATGGCTGTATCCCTTAATGTGCATGGCTCTTGTACGCACGTGTGTTGCTCTTTAATGTGCGTGGCTGTATCCCTCTCGCCTCCTCTCCTAATTGTCCCACTCTCTCCTCCTCTCCCACTTCCTCCTTGTCATCCTCTCCTCGCAATCCCTTGTTACTTTTCAGGTGCCCACCCAGTACTATCGGGCAGTTCAAACGCAGCAAAATAATTATCCGGGCCTGCCCGACCCCTCCTGCCGCTCAGCAGCGAACATCAACCAGTCCTGCCCGGCCATTTTCCTCTATACGGGCCAGAACCAGACCCTTGCCAATGGTGAGTGCGTGTGTGTGTGAGGCGCCTTCAGGACATCAACCGATCATACCCGGCCATTTTCCTCTATACGGGCCGGAACCAGACCCTTGCCGACGGTGAGTGCGTGTGTGGGTGCGTGCGTGAGTCGCCCCAACCCAAGAATATCAACCGATCATGCCCGGCCATTTTCCTCTACACGGGCCAGGACCAGACCCTCGCCCTCACACACGCAACAGCCCGACACTGTCTACTGTGCCTTCAGCTCAACACTGTGCCCGTCTCTCTCCCCCCTTCCCCCCCCCTCCCCCTCCCCCTGCAGCCATGGGCGCGTATCTGACAAGCCCCTTCAACGTCACCACGTGGCAGAGCATGCCCGGAGTCAACATCACAACGGGTAGCTCTTGAACCCCCTTCCCTCCCTCCTCCCCATCCCCATGACGTCCCCTCCCCCTGCAGCCATGGGCGCGTATCTAACAAGCCCCTTCGACCTCGCCGCGTGGCAGAGCATGCCAGGAGTCAACATCACAACGGGTAACCCCGCATCTGCGCCCACTCCGCCGCCCGCCGCGCCTGCTGCGCCCGCTGCCACTCCCCCGGCTCCTCCCGGGAGCACTGGCGGAATGGGCGGAAGCGGCAACGCCACCATGTACAATGGCACTGTGGGACTCGCGCCCTACCTCTACAACTTTGCTGCGCTCGAGCTGGTGGGTTTTTTTTTTTTTTTTTGGTTTTTAGGCGCCTCAAATTGCGGGTATAGAGACGAATTATGAGGCCTTCACGCGCCGCCCATCACAGACCACCTCAGCAAGCTCTACCTGTTGCAGCTGCAGCGGCCCAATTGCTCGGTCTCTAAGGGTCATCATACACTCTACTGTCCCTCTCAACCACCCCATTCCCACGGCAGGCAGTGCACGAATGCATCCTTAACGCTGACGCTGATAGTGGATTCGGCCTTCACGCCCGTCACAGACGACCCTAGCAAGTGCTGCTCCCCGTTGCCCTGAAACTGTTCATCCCCTGAGGCCCCTCGAACATGTATCTCCCCCTCTTCCCCCCCCCTCCCCCCCAACAACCCCATTCACACGGCAGGGCACGAACGCGTCCCTAACGCTGACGCTGATGGTGGATCTGGCCTTCACGCCCGTCACAGACGACCCTAGCAAGCTCTACCTGCTGCAGCCCAATTGGTCAGGCCTCAGCCTCTGAGGGTAATCATACATTCTATTCTACTGTCCCGCACCCCACCTCATGCACACGGCAGGGCACGAACGCATCCTTAACGCTGACGCTGATCATCGAGCTGGCCTTCATGCCCGTCACAGACGACCTCAGCAAGCTCTACCTGCTGCAGCCCAATTGGTCAGGCCTCAGCCTCTGAGGGTAATCATACATTCTATTCTACTGTCCCGCACCCCGCCTCATGCACACGGCAGGGCACGAACGCATCCTTAACGCTGACGCTGATCATCGAGCTGGCCTTCATGCCCGTCACAGACGACCCCAGCAAGCTGTACCTGCTGCAGCCCAACTGGTCAGGCCTCAGTCTCTGAGGGTAATCATACATTCTATTCTACTGTCCCGCATCCCACCTCATGCACACGGCAGGGCACGAACGCATCCTTAACGCTGACGCTGATCATCGAGCCGGCCTTCATGCCCGTCACAGACGACCCCAGCAAGCTGTACCTGCTGCAGCCCAACTGCTCGTCGCCCGCCATGCTGCAGAACCCCATCAGCTTCTCCTTCGACGGCTTCACGAGAGAACCCCTGCGTGAGTCGCCCCTCTGTGTGATGTGTGCATTGTCTCATCTCATGTGCCCTGTGGCATGTGTGCAATGCGCCCTGTGGCATGTGTGCAATGCGCCCTGTGGCATGTGTGCAATGCGCCCTGTGGCATGTGTGCAATGCGCCCTGTGGCATGTGTGCAATGCGCCCTGTGGCATGTGGGCAATGCGCCCTGTGTATTGACCGCTTCTCCCTGCCTGTCTTACGCTCCCTCACCCTTCTACCACAGAGCTGTCCTGTGTGCCCACGTCGCCGCTGTGGCGAGCAAGCATAGCAGCGATCGACAACAAGCTGTACAATGGCTTACTTCCCCAACACAAATGGCCCTGTTTAACACGCTATTGCCTCTTTCATCCCCATTCTACCCTCGCCCTCCCCCCTCCCCTCTCCCGCCACTGCAGAGCTGTCCTGTGTGCCCACGTCGCCGCTGTGGCGACCAAGCACAGCAGCAATCGACAACGAGCTTTACAACGGCTTCTACCAGGCTCAGACAGCGCTCTATGGCGGGGATGCCTCCAGCAACCAGTATGCCGGAGGTACGGGGGGGGGTTGGGGGTGGGTGGTTGGTGGGTGGTTGGTGGGAGATGGGGGGCTGATGACATCATATGCAGGTGACTTTTGAGTCGACTCAAAAGTCATCCAGCAACCAGTTTGCCGGAGGTACGGGGGGGGTGGATGGTAGGTGGTTGGTGGGAGATGGGGGGCTGATGGCATCATATGACCCCCATCTTTTCGTGCGCCCTTTTTGTGCCACCATCTTCAAGTCGATGGCATCTCACCATTTTTGGTTCTTCCCCCTTTCCCATTTTCTCCTCGCCTTTGCCCCCCTTTCCCATTTTCTCCTCGCCTTTGCCCCCTTGACCACTGCTCACTCCTTCCCCTTCTCCCTCCCCTGCCCTTTGCGCTTTCGTTCCCCTTCTCCTCTGTTTTCCCCTTTCCTATCACCCCCTCAGCTTTTGAATTCATCTACTACATCTCCTCCTGTCCTCTCTGCTCCACCCCTCCCCTTTTCTCTCGCCTTCCCCCACTCCTCTCTTCTCCTGTTCCCACGCCCGCCTGACTTTTGAGTCGACTCAAAACGAGGTGACTTTTGAGTCGACTCAAAATTCTTGTCCCTTTTTCATGCTTGGCTGCCCTGCAGCGTTTGATTTCACCACTACTGCAAGCACGCGCTTTTGAGGACCATTGCAAGCACGCGCTTTTGAGGCGCCTTAAAAACCATTGCAAGCACGCGCTTTTGAGGCGCCTTAAAAACCATTGCAAGCACGCGCTTTTGAGGCGCCTTAAAAACCATTGCAAGCACGCGCTTTTGAGGCGCCTTAAAAACCATTGCAAGCACGCGCTTTTGAGGCGCCTTAAAAACCATTGCAAGCACGCGCTTTTGAGGCGCCTTAAAAACCATTGCAAGCACGCGCTTTTGAGGCGCCTTAAAAACCATTGCAAGCACGCGCTTTTGAGGCGCCTTAAAAACCATTGCAAGCACGCGCTTTTGAGGCGCCTTAAAAACCATTGCAAGCACGCGCTTTTGAGGCGCCTTAAAAACCATTGCAAGCACGCGCTTTTGAGGCGCCTTAAAAACCATTGCAAGCACGCGCTTTTGAGGCGCCTTAAAAACCATTGCAAGCACGCGCTTTTGAGGCGCCTTAAAAACCATTGCAAGCACGCGCTTTTGAGGCGCCTTAAAAACCATTGCAAGCACGCGCTTTTGAGGCGCCTTAAAAACCATTGCAAGCACGCGCTTTTGAGGCGCCTTAAAAACCATTGCAAGCACGCGCTTTTGAGGCGCCTTAAAAACCATTGCAAGCACGCGCTTTTGAGGCGCCTTAAAAACCATTGCAAGCACGCGCTTTTGAGGCGCCTTAAAAACCATTGCAAGCACGCGCTTTTGAGGCGCCTTAAAAACCATTGCAAGCACGCGCTTTTGAGGCGCCTTAAAAACCATTGCAAGCACGCGCTTTTGAGGCGCCTTAAAAACCATTGCAAGCACGCGCTTTTGAGGCGCCTTAAAAACCATTGCAAGCACGCGCTTTTGAGGCGCCTTAAAAACCATTGCAAGCACGCGCTTTTGAGGCGCCTTAAAAACCATTGCAAGCACGCGCTTTTGAGGCGCCTTAAAAACCATTGCAAGCACGCGCTTTTGAGGCGCCTTAAAAACCATTGCAAGCACGCGCTTTTGAGGCGCCTTAAAAACCATTGCAAGCACGCGCTTTTGAGGCGCCTTAAAAACCATTGCAAGCACGCGCTTTTGAGGCGCCTTAAAAACCATTGCAAGCACGCGCTTTTGAGGCGCCTTAAAAACCATTGCAAGCACGCGCTTTTGAGGCGCCTTAAAAACCATTGCAAGCACGCGCTTTTGAGGCGCCTTAAAAACCATTGCAAGCACGCGCTTTTGAGGCGCCTTAAAAACCATTGCAAGCACGCGCTTTTGAGGCGCCTTAAAAACCATTGCAAGCACGCGCTTTTGAGGCGCCTTAAAAACCATTGCAAGCACGCGCTTTTGAGGCGCCTTAAAAACCATTGCAAGCACGCGCTTTTGAGGCGCCTTAAAAACCATTGCAAGCACGCGCTTTTGAGGCGCCTTAAAAACCATTGCAAGCACGCGCTTTTGAGGCGCCTTAAAAACCATTGCAAGCACGCGCTTTTGAGGCGCCTTAAAAACCATTGCAAGCACGCGCTTTTGAGGCGCCTTAAAAACCATTGCAAGCACGCGCTTTTGAGGCGCCTTAAAAACCATTGCAAGCACGCGCTTTTGAGGCGCCTTAAAAACCATTGCAAGCACGCGCTTTTGAGGCGCCTTAAAAACCATTGCAAGCACGCGCTTTTGAGGCGCCTTAAAAACCATTGCAAGCACGCGCTTTTGAGGCGCCTTAAAAACCATTGCAAGCACGCGCTTTTGAGGCGCCTTAAAAACCATTGCAAGCACGCGCTTTTGAGGCGCCTTAAAAACCATTGCAAGCACGCGCTTTTGAGGCGCCTTAAAAACCATTGCAAGCACGCGCTTTTGAGGCGCCTTAAAAACCATTGCAAGCACGCGCTTTTGAGGCGCCTTAAAAACCATTGCAAGCACGCGCTTTTGAGGCGCCTTAAAAACCATTGCAAGCACGCGCTTTTGAGGCGCCTTAAAAACCATTGCAAGCACGCGCTTTTGAGGCGCCTTAAAAACCATTGCAAGCACGCGCTTTTGAGGCGCCTTAAAAACCATTGCAAGCACGCGCTTTTGAGGCGCCTTAAAAACCATTGCAAGCACGCGCTTTTGAGGCGCCTTAAAAACCATTGCAAGCACGCGCTTTTGAGGCGCCTTAAAAACCATTGCAAGCACGCGCTTTTGAGGCGCCTTAAAAACCATTGCAAGCACGCGCTTTTGAGGCGCCTTAAAAACCATTGCAAGCACGCGCTTTTGAGGCGCCTTAAAAACCATTGCAAGCACGCGCTTTTGAGGCGCCTTAAAAACCATTGCAAGCACGCGCTTTTGAGGCGCCTTAAAAACCATTGCAAGCACGCGCTTTTGAGGCGCCTTAAAAACCATTGCAAGCACGCGCTTTTGAGGCGCCTTAAAAACCATTGCAAGCACGCGCTTTTGAGGCGCCTTAAAAACCATTGCAAGCACGCGCTTTTGAGGCGCCTTAAAAACCATTGCAAGCACGCGCTTTTGAGGCGCCTTAAAAACCATTGCAAGCACGCGCTTTTGAGGCGCCTTAAAAACCATTGCAAGCACGCGCTTTTGAGGCGCCTTAAAAACCATTGCAAGCACGCGCTTTTGAGGCGCCTTAAAAACCATTGCAAGCACGCGCTTTTGAGGCGCCTTAAAAACCATTGCAAGCACGCGCTTTTGAGGCGCCTTAAAAACCATTGCAAGCACGCGCTTTTGAGGCGCCTTAAAAACCATTGCAAGCACGCGCTTTTGAGGCGCCTTAAAAACCATTGCAAGCACGCGCTTTTGAGGCGCCTTAAAAACCATTGCAAGCACGCGCTTTTGAGGCGCCTTAAAAACCATTGCAAGCACGCGCTTTTGAGGCGCCTTAAAAACCATTGCAAGCACGCGCTTTTGAGGCGCCTTAAAAACCATTGCAAGCACGCGCTTTTGAGGCGCCTTAAAAACCATTGCAAGCACGCGCTTTTGAGGCGCCTTAAAAACCATTGCAAGCACGCGCTTTTGAGGCGCCTTAAAAACCATTGCAAGCACGCGCTTTTGAGGCGCCTTAAAAACCATTGCAAGCACGCGCTTTTGAGGCGCCTTAAAAACCATTGCAAGCACGCGCTTTTGAGGCGCCTTAAAAACCATTGCAAGCACGCGCTTTTGAGGCGCCTTAAAAACCATTGCAAGCACGCGCTTTTGAGGCGCCTTAAAAACCATTGCAAGCACGCGCTTTTGAGGCGCCTTAAAAACCATTGCAAGCACGCGCTTTTGAGGCGCCTTAAAAACCATTGCAAGCACGCGCTTTTGAGGCGCCTTAAAAACCATTGCAAGCACGCGCTTTTGAGGCGCCTTAAAAACCATTGCAAGCACGCGCTTTTGAGGCGCCTTAAAAACCATTGCAAGCACGCGCTTTTGAGGCGCCTTAAAAACCATTGCAAGCACGCGCTTTTGAGGCGCCTTAAAAACCATTGCAAGCACGCGCTTTTGAGGCGCCTTAAAAACCATTGCAAGCACGCGCTTTTGAGGCGCCTTAAAAACCATTGCAAGCACGCGCTTTTGAGGCGCCTTAAAAACCATTGCAAGCACGCGCTTTTGAGGCGCCTTAAAAACCATTGCAAGCACGCGCTTTTGAGGCGCCTTAAAAACCATTGCAAGCACGCGCTTTTGAGGCGCCTTAAAAACCATTGCAAGCACGCGCTTTTGAGGCGCCTTAAAAACCATTGCAAGCACGCGCTTTTGAGGCGCCTTAAAAACCATTGCAAGCACGCGCTTTTGAGGCGCCTTAAAAACCATTGCAAGCACGCGCTTTTGAGGCGCCTTAAAAACCATTGCAAGCACGCGCTTTTGAGGCGCCTTAAAAACCATTGCAAGCACGCGCTTTTGAGGCGCCTTAAAAACCATTGCAAGCACGCGCTTTTGAGGCGCCTTAAAAACCATTGCAAGCACGCGCTTTTGAGGCGCCTTAAAAACCATTGCAAGCACGCGCTTTTGAGGCGCCTTAAAAACCATTGCAAGCACGCGCTTTTGAGGCGCCTTAAAAACCATTGCAAGCACGCGCTTTTGAGGCGCCTTAAAAACCATTGCAAGCACGCGCTTTTGAGGCGCCTTAAAAACCATTGCAAGCACGCGCTTTTGAGGCGCCTTAAAAACCATTGCAAGCACGCGCTTTTGAGGCGCCTTAAAAACCATTGCAAGCACGCGCTTTTGAGGCGCCTTAAAAACCATTGCAAGCACGCGCTTTTGAGGCGCCTTAAAAACCATTGCAAGCACGCGCTTTTGAGGCGCCTTAAAAACCATTGCAAGCACGCGCTTTTGAGGCGCCTTAAAAACCATTGCAAGCACGCGCTTTTGAGGCGCCTTAAAAACCATTGCAAGCACGCGCTTTTGAGGCGCCTTAAAAACCATTGCAAGCACGCGCTTTTGAGGCGCCTTAAAAACCATTGCAAGCACGCGCTTTTGAGGCGCCTTAAAAACCATTGCAAGCACGCGCTTTTGAGGCGCCTTAAAAACCATTGCAAGCACGCGCTTTTGAGGCGCCTTAAAAACCATTGCAAGCACGCGCTTTTGAGGCGCCTTAAAAACCATTGCAAGCACGCGCTTTTGAGGCGCCTTAAAAACCATTGCAAGCACGCGCTTTTGAGGCGCCTTAAAAACCATTGCAAGCACGCGCTTTTGAGGCGCCTTAAAAACCATTGCAAGCACGCGCTTTTGAGGCGCCTTAAAAACCATTGCAAGCACGCGCTTTTGAGGCGCCTTAAAAACCATTGCAAGCACGCGCTTTTGAGGCGCCTTAAAAACCATTGCAAGCACGCGCTTTTGAGGCGCCTTAAAAACCATTGCAAGCACGTGCCTCAACACCACTGTTCAAGTTCATTCTTGTTCGCTCTTTCCTCCCCCCCCCCCCCCCCCCCCTTCACTTCCTCCCTTATCCCCTCGCCCTCCCGCCCTGCAACACCACCACCGTCACGCGATTCAACACCGCCGTCTATTTCAACTCCTCCTATGTTTTCTCGTTCCGCCACCCCCCCTTCCTCCCTTAACCCCTCGCCCACCCGCCCTGCAGCGTTTGACTTTAACACCACCACCGCCACGCGATTCAACACCACAGTCTATTTCAACTCCTCCTACGCGGGATCCGGAGGCCAGGGGCCCCAGTCCGCAGTGCGCTTCCCCAAGGCCATGAACATGGTGCGTTCCTGCATCGACCTGGCGCTGACATGGCGCTGAGCTGGCGCTGACCTGGCGCTTTAGTGGTGATGGCGGTGGTGGTACTGGTGTGCGTGTTGTGGGAATGGAAATACCCTGCGTGCATGTGCCCTCTCTCCCTCCCTCCCCCTTTTCCTCCTGTTCTGCCGCCGCCTCTCCCTCCGGTCCGCGCGTGCAGCGTTTGATTTCAACAGCACCACGCGTGCCCGCTTCAACCCCACCATCTACTACAACTCGTCCTTTGCTAAGGGCCCGCGCCGCTTCAGACCCTCCCTGCGGTTTCTTAGACTCCTGAACATGGTGGGCCTATTTTCGAGGCGCCTCAAACGTTTGATTTCAACAGCACCACGCGTGCCTGCTTCAACCTCACCATCTACTACAACTCGTTTCTTGCTAAGGGCCCGCGCCGCTTCAGGCCCTCCCTGCAGTTTCCCAGACTCATGAACATGATGGGCTGGCCTTCGTGTGGCTGTGCCCGGGGTGGGATTTTGAGGTGCCTCATTTGATGTGTGTGTTGCTTCAGGCCTTCCCTTGCACTATCCCAAAGTCTTGAACTGGTGGGCTGGCCTGTGGCTCTGCCTGTACCTGTGGTAGCGTTGAGGTGCCTCATATATTGTGTTTCCCCAGGGTCGCGGCGCGCTTCCCTGTGCCTCCCAAAAGTTATGAACATAGCGGGCAGGGGCTTCTGTGATGGCCCTTCCCCCTCCTCCCCTCCCTCCTCCCCTTCCAGCTTATTCAGACCACCAGCGCGCACATCCAAGCAGTGTACAGCGCAGCAGCAGGGCTCCTTCTGCTCCAGATTGTTTTTGAGAATTCTCAAGAACCAACTCCTTCTGCTCCAGATTGTTTTTGAGAACCCCTGTAGCAGTGTGCAGCGCAGCAGCAGGGTTCTCAAAACAATCTGTATATCCTTTTCTCCCTACATTGAACCCCCCTCCTTCCCCAAACCCCCTTCCCTCCCCTCCTCCGCGGCTTCGCCAGGCGTCCAACGCACTTATCCAAGCAGTGTTTAGCGCAGCAGCACTGCTCCCTCTACTCTTCATCAATCCTTCTCTCCTCTTCCTCCCCTTATCCCCTTATCCCCTTCCCCTGCCTCTTCCTCCCCGTATCCGTCTATCCAGGCCACCAACGCGTACATCCAGGCATTCTTCAGCGCAGCAGCGGAGCTCCCTCTGCTCTTTGTGAAGGGCTTCCCCAAGGGCTCCACGTCGCTCACCCTCAAGCCAACAGCTCCTTGTTTCCCTTCCCGTTCGGGTTTTTGCAGGCCACCAACACATACGTCCAAGCGGTGTTCAGCGCAGCAGCGGAGCTCCCTCTGCTCTTTGTGAAGGGCTTCCCCAAGGGCTCCACGTCGCTCATCCTCAAGCCAACAGCTCCTTGTTTCCCTTCCCGTTCGGGTTTTTGCAGGCCACCAACACATACGTCCAAGCGGTGTTCAGCGCAGCAGCGGAGCTCCCTCTGCTCTTTGTGAAGGGCTTCCCCAAGGGCTCCACGTCGCTCACCCTCAAGCCAACAGCTCCTTGTTTCCCTTCCCGTTCGGGTTTTTGCAGGCCACCAACACATACGTCCAAGCGGTGTTCAGCGCAGCAGCGGAGCTCCCTCTGCTCTTTGTGAAGGGCTTCCCCAAGGGCTCCACGTCGCTCATCCTCAAGCCAACAGCTCCTTGTTTCCCTTCCCGTTCGGGTTTTTGCAGGCCACCAACACATACGTCCAAGCGGTGTTCAGCGCAGCAGCGGAGCTCCCTCTGCTCTTTGTGAAGGGCTTCCCCAAGGGCTCCACGTCGCTCACCCTCAAGCCAACAGCTCCTTGTTTCCCTTCCCGTTCGGGTTTTTGCAGGCCACCAACACATACGTCCAAGCGGTGTTCAGCGCAGCAGCGGAGCTCCCTCTGCTCTTTGTGAAGGGCTTCCCCAAGGGCTCCACGTCGCTCACCCTCAAGCCAACAGCTCCTTGTTTCCCTTCCCGTTCGGGTTTTTGCAGGCCACCAACGCATACGTCCAAGCGGTGTTCAGCGCAGCAGCGGAGCTCCCTCTGCTCTTTGTGAAGGGCTTCCCCAAGGGCTCCACGTCGCTCACCCTCAAGCCAACAGCTCCTTGTTTCCCTTCCCGTTCGGGTTTTTGCAGGCCACCAACACATACGTCCAAGCGGTGTTCAGCGCAGCAGCGGAGCTCCCTCTGCTCTTTGTGAAGGGCTTCCCCAAGGGCTCCACGTCGCTCACCCTCAAGCCAACAGCTCCTTGTTTCCCTTCCCGTTCGGGTTTTTGCAGGCCACCAACGCATACGTCCAAGCGGTGTTCAGCGCAGCAGCGGAGCTCCCTCTGCTCTTTGTGAAGGGCTTCCCCAAGGGCTCCACGTCGCTCATCCTCAAGCCAACAGCTCCTTGTTTCCCTTCCCGTTCGGGTTTTTGCAGGCCACCAACACATACGTCCAAGCGGTGTTCAGCGCAGCAGCGGAGCTCCCTCTGCTCTTTGTGAAGGGCTTCCCCAAGGGCTCCACGTCGCTCACCCTCAAGCCAACAGCTCCTTGTTTCCCTTCCCGTTCGGGTTTTTGCAGGCCACCAACACATACGTCCAAGCGGTGTTCAGCGCAGCAGCGGAGCTCCCTCTGCTCTTTGTGAAGGGCTTCCCCAAGGGCTCCACGTCGCTCATCCTCAAGCCAACAGCTCCTTGTTTCCCTTCCCGTTCGGGTTTTTGCAGGCCACCAACACATACGTCCAAGCGGTGTTCAGCGCAGCAGCGGAGCTCCCTCTGCTCTTTGTGAAGGGCTTCCCCAAGGGCTCCACGTCGCTCACCCTCAAGCCAACAGCTCCTTGTTTCCCTTCCCGTTCGGGTTTTTGCAGGCCACCAACACATACGTCCAAGCGGTGTTCAGCGCAGCAGCGGAGCTCCCTCTGCTCTTTGTGAAGGGCTTCCCCAAGGGCTCCACGTCGCTCACCCTCAAGCCAACAGCTCCTTGTTTCCCTTCCCGTTCGGGTTTTTGCAGGCCACCAACGCATACGTCCAAGCGGTGTTCAGCGCAGCAGCGGAGCTCCCTCTGCTCTTTGTGAAGGGCTTCCCCAAGGGCTCCACGTCGCTCACCCTCAAGCCAACAGCTCCTTGTTTCCCTTCCCGTTCGGGTTTTTGCAGGCCACCAACACATACGTCCAAGCGGTGTTCAGCGCAGCAGCGGAGCTCCCTCTGCTCTTTGTGAAGGGCTTCCCCAAGGGCTCCACGTCGCTCACCCTCAAGCCAACAGCTCCTTGTTTCCCTTCCCGTTCGGGTTTTTGCAGGCCACCAACGCATACGTCCAAGCGGTGTTCAGCGCAGCAGCGGAGCTCCCTCTGCTCTTTGTGAAGGGCTTCCCCAAGGGCTCCACGTCGCTCACCCTCAAGCCAACAGCTCCTTGTTTCCCTTCCCGTTCGGGTTTTTGCAGGCCACCAACGCATACGTCCAAGCGGTGTTCAGCGCAGCAGCGGAGCTCCCTCTGCTCTTTGTGAAGGGCTTCCCCAAGGGCTCCACGTCGCTCACCCTCAAGCCAACAGCTCCTTGTTTCCCTTCCCGTTCGGGTTTTTGCAGGCCACCAACACATACGTCCAAGCGGTGTTCAGCACAGCAGCGGAGCTCCCTCTGCTCTTTGTGAAGGGCTTCCCCAAGGGCTCCACGTCGCTCACCCTCAAGCCAACAGCTCCTTGTTTCCCTTCCCGTTCGGGTTTTTGCAGGCCACCAACGCTTACGTCCAAGCGGTGTTCAGCGCAGCAGCGGAGCTCCCTCTGCTCTTTGTGAAGGGCTTCCCCAAGGGCTCCACGTCGCTCACCCTCAAGCCAACAGCTCCTTGTTTCCCTTCCCGTTCGGGTTTTTGCAGGCCACCAACACATACGTCCAAGCGGTGTTCAGCGCAGCAGCGGAGCTCCCTCTGCTCTTTGTGAAGGGCTTCCCCAAGGGCTCCACGTCGCTCACCCTCAAGCCAACAGCTCCTTGTTTCCCTTCCCGTTCGGGTTTTTGCAGGCCACCAACGCATACGTCCAAGCGGTGTTCAGCGCAGCAGCGGAGCTCCCTCTGCTCTTTGTGAAGGGCTTCCCCAAGGGCTCCACGTCGCTCACCCTCAAGCCAACAGCTCCTTGTTTCCCTTCCCGTTCGGGTTTTTGCAGGCCACCAACACATACGTCCAAGCGGTGTTCAGCGCAGCAGCGGAGCTGCCACTGCTCTTTGTGAAGGTCTTCCCCAATGGCTCCATGTCGCTCACGCTCGAGTCAGTGTTCCCAATCCTCCCCTCCCCTCTCCTTGGCGCTTGACAGGCCACCAACGCGTATCTCCAAGCGGTGTTCAGCGCAGCAGCGGAGCTCCCGTTGCTCTTCGTGAAGGACTTCCCCAAGGGCTCCACGGCGCTCACCCTTGACTTTGCCTCGCTCATCGGCCCGCTCTTCTTCATGTGGATCCTGCTGCTGCTCTTCCCGGTACGTCCCTCCATGGGTTCTGCTGCCCTCGCCCCTCGCCCCTCGCCCCTCGCCCCTCGCCCCTCGCCCCTCGCCCCTCGCCCGTCGCTCTTTCCTGCCCTGAAAATGATGATAAATATGCTGTTGCCCCGTTTTTGCCATACGTGTGCCGCATGTGCCGTACACCTTGCTTGTACTGTATACTCCCCCTCCCACCATCTCGCCATAGGTGTGTGTGGGGTACCTGGTGTATGAGAAGGAGCAGAATCTGCGAATGATGATGAAGATGCATGGTGCTATGTGTTCTGCCTTGCGTCCTGACCTGCCTTACATGCGTACCTTGCTTGCTATCATTCTTACATGCAGGTGTGTGTGGGGTACCTGGTGTATGAGAAGGAGCAGAATCTGCAAATGATGATGAAGATGCATGGTGCTATGTGTTCTGCCTTGCGTCCTGACCTGCCTTACATGCGTACCTTGCTTGCTATCATTCTTACATGCAGGTGTGTGTGGGGTACCTGGTGTATGAGAAGGAGCGGAATCTGCGAATGATGATGAAGATGCATGGTGCTATGTGTTCTGCCTTGCGTCCTGACCTGCCTTACATGCGTACCTTGCTTGCTATCATTCTTACATGCAGGTGTGTGTGGGGTACCTGGTGTATGAGAAGGAGCAGAACCTGCGAATGATGATGAAGATGCATGGTGCTATGTGTTCTGCCTTGCGTCCTCACCTGCCTTACATGCGTACCTTGCTTGCTATCATGCTTACATGCAGGTGTGTGTGGGGTACCTGGTGTATGAGAAGGAGAAGAACCTGCGAATGATGATGAAGATGCACGGGCTCGGAGACAGCGCCTACTGGCTCATCTCCTATGCCTACTTCTTCCTCCTCTCCTTCGTCTACATCCTCTTTTTCGTCCTCTTCGGCTCCCTCGTCGGTACGCCCCACCACACACGCGTGCACGAACATGACTACCCAGGCCTCCCCATCCCACGTCTCCCCATCCCATGCCGCCCCATCCCATGCCGCCCCATCCCATGTCTTCCCGTACATCCTACACCTACTTCTTCCTCCTCTCCTTCATCTACATCCTCTTCTTCCTCCTCTCCATCTACATCCTCTTCTTCCTCCTCTCCTTCATCTACATCCTCTTCTTCCTCCTCTCCTTCATCTACATCCTCTTCTTCCTCCTCTTTGGCTCCCTTGCTGGTACATCCCACGCCGTGCCACTTCCTGCTATCTCTCGTCATCGGTACGGTCCCATCCTGTTCCTCCATGCACAGTCGTTTGTTTGCTGTAATCCAAACGTCTTTCACTCCCTTCGTTTTGCTCGTTCCCTCATCATTCTACTTCGTCTCTCTAACCGTCTCTTTGCCATCCCCTTCCTTCTCGTTTTCCATCCACTCCCATCTTCCCCCCTCCGCATCCCCACAAAGTCTTGAGTTCTTTCACATGATGAACGACTACTAAGTGCAGTTCACCTGTTGGGTCAACACACTGCAGTTCACCTGTTGAGTCAACACACTGCAGTTCACCTTCTACTTTCTCTCTCTAACCATCTTCACTCCTTCCGCTTCCCTCCTCACTTCCCTTCCATTTCACCCCCTCGCCCACTCCCCTCCCAACAGCTCACACGCTTTTCCGCATCAACAGCTACAAGCTGCAGTTTATCTTCTACCTCTTCTTCTCTCTAACCTCTTCTTCTCTCTAACCTCTTCTTCTCTCTAACCTCTTCTTCTCTCTAACCTCTTCTTCTCTCTAACCTCTTCTTCTCTCTAACCTCTTCTTCTCTCTAACCTCTTCTTCTCTCTAACCTCTTCTTCTCTCTAACCTCTTCTTCTCTCTAACCTCTTCTTCTCTCTAACCTCTTCTTCTCTCTAACCTCTTCTTTGCTCTAACCTCTTCTTCGCTCTAACCTCTTCTTCGCTCTAACCTCTTCTTCTCTCTAACCTCTTCTTCTCTCTAACCTCTTCTTCTCTCTAACCTCTTCTTCTCTCTAACCTCTTCTTCTCTCTAACCTCTTCTTCTCTCTAACCTCTTCTTCTCTCTAACCTCTTCTTCTCTCTAACCTCTTCTTCTCTCTAACCTCTTCTTCTCTCTAACCTCTTCTTCTCTCTAACCTCTTCTTCTCTCTAACCTCTTCTTCTCTCTAACCTCTTCTTCTCTCTAACCTCTTCTTCTCTCTAACCTCTTCTTCTCTCTAACCTCTTCTTCTCTCTAACCTCTTGAACCCCTTTCTTCACCACTTGTCCACTCCCTTTCCAACTCAACCAGGTCTCAAGTTCCTTCGAATGAACAGCTACACACTGCAGTGAGGGTGTTTTTGAGACGTCTCAAAAACACCCTCACTACAAGTTGCTTCGAATGAACAGCTACACACTGCAGTTCTTCTTCCTACTTCGTCTTTCTAAACTTCTTCTCTCCATTCCCTTCCCTCCTCGCTGCCCTTCCTTGTCCGGCCACTCTCCCTCTTACCCTCCCGTCCCCCCTCCCCCAGGACTCAAGTTCTTCCGAACCAGCAGCTACGGGCTGCAGTTCATCGTCTACCATTTAGCCTCTCTAACCCCCTTCTTTTGTACCTTGTTTGTTCACACCCCCCCTCCCCCCCACCTCCCTCAGGGCTCAAGTTCTTTCGAATCAACAACTATGGGCTGCAGTTCATCTTCTACTTCGTCTTTGGCAACTGGCAGATCGCCTTTGCCATTCTTGTCGCCACCTTCTTCAAGTTCACCAAGACTGCTTCAGGTGGGTTACCGTGCTGCACCGCATTGCACCGTGCGTGCCGCACCGTGTCGCACCGTGCTGAAAAATCCTTCACTTTCGCCATTCTCATGGCTAAAAATCCTGATTATTTGTCTCTGCTATCTCAAGACCTCGCATCTCATAGCCTTCATCCTGCTGCTTCTCTCTCCCCCCTCCCCCCGTTCCTCCCCTCACTTGTGCAGTGGTGGCGTACCTCTATGTGTTTGGGGGCGGCCTCTTGGGCCAGTTCCTCTTTGGCTACTTCATTTTCTGGGCCAGGTCTATGTGTTCTTTTCTGCAGTTTAACTCAAGCCACTCATTCAACCCCTCGACTTTCTTCCCCTCGCTCTGCAGTGGTGGCGTACCTCTATGTGTTTGGGGGAGGCCTCTTGGGCCAGTTCCTCTTTGGCTACTTCATTGAAGACCCAGACTTCCCAGGTCAGGCACGAGCCCTTTATAATGTATATATATGTGTATAACTTCAAATATAATGACAGAAGTAGATCACTGGCTGTGCCCATCACCCACCCCACCCCACACTGCATTATCACACCTCATGCCGAGGCATGTATGTTCGCACGGACGGACACACATCTCTCTTTCTCACACCCACCAACCAACACGCACATTCCCCACTCTCCCCCTCGCCCCCCAATCCCCCAATGTCAATGCCCCCCCCCCACCCCCTTTTGGAACACACACCCATTTCAGCCGGAGCCGTGTTTTGAGTCGACTCAAAACACGACTCCTCCACCCCCTTTGAACCACACACCCATACAGCCTTACTGTCTTTGCGCTGCAGCTCATCCCGCCCTTTGCCTGCTACCGCGCGCTCAATGAGTTCTCCCAGTCAGCCTTCATAGGCGCCTACCAGAACAGGACACCCCCACCACACTCACCTTCACACGCATTCCCCATCTCCTTATCCCCCCCCCATGCCCGTGACCCGCCTCTACCCCAGCCGGAGCCATCTTTGCGCTGCAGCTCATCCCCCCCTTCGCCTGCTACCGCAGGCTGTACGAGTTCTCCCAGTCAGCCTTTATCGGGGCGTACCCCACCAACACACGCATTTCCCACCCAACCCCGCACCCCCCTTCCCCCAAACTCTCCCAGCCGGAGCCATCTTTGCGCTGCAGCTCATCCCGCCCTTCGCCTGCTACCGCGGGCTCTACGAGTTTTCCCAGTCAGCCTTCATCGGCGCCTACCAGGCCACGTCCGGCACGCTCACCTTCAGCAACGCGGGCGAGTACGGCTTCTGGGGCGCCGTGGGCATCATGGCCGTTGAATGGGTCATCTTTGTACTGCTCGGCCTATACCTGGATCAGGTAGGTGGATGTGTGTGTCTTGGACAGGGGACGCACGCAGGGGAGGGGCGGGGGAGAGTGTTGAGAGAGATCGCCTACCAGGCCACGTCCGGCACGCTCACCTTCAGCAACGCGGTCGAGTATGGCTTCTGGGGGGCTGTGGGCATCATGGCCGTTGAATGGGTTATCTTCCCGCTTTTTAGCCTCCACCTGGAATAGATTGATGGGATGTGTGAACAGGAGGGAAGGGTCATGCTCGGGGAATAGCCATCGCAAGCAGTCTAATCAAAAGGCAAGTAAAATATTATGCCCGTCCTCATCTTCCACCTATCAACCCGCTGCGTCTCACCCCTTTTCCTCCCGTCCAATCAGGTGGTGCCAACTGGCGGAGGGTCGGGGAAGCATCCGCTCTTCTTCCTGGACGGCATCAGGGGGCGCCACAAGCACGGCAACACGCTCTCCAGGGCCTCCCGATCGCACCGCGCATCGGCCAAAGGCGCAGTGGAGGCGGAGAAGGAGCGAGAAGACGTCATGGCAGAGGTGAGGCAATGGAATGGCTTTGTCAAATTGGGGTGTTGTAGGCAACACGCTCTCCAGGGCCTCCCACTCGCACCGCGCATCGGCCAAAGGCGCAGTGGAGGCGGAGAAGGAGCGAGAAGACGTCATGGCAGAGGTGAGGCAATGGAATGGCTTTGTCAAATTGGGGTGTTGTAGGCAACACGCTCTCCAGGGCCTCCCACTCGCACCGCGCATCGGCCAAAGGCGCAGTGGAGGCGGAGAAGGAGCGAGAAGACGTTATGGCAGAGGTGAGTGGATGGGATGGGTTTCTTGAGTCGTAGAGATTCATGTTTTGCGCCCCACCCTACCCCCCCCGCCCTTGGTCCTTGATCAATGTCAACCCCCCTCCCTCCCCTAGTTTTGAGGCGCCTCAAAACTACCCCCCCCCCCCCCCCCCCCCGCGCCCTTGGTCCTTGAGCAATATCAACCCCCCTCCCTCCCCTACCCCCTCCTCCCTCCCCTTTGCCTGTTCCCTATCCCCCAACAGCGCGAGTTGGACCACGGCTAATCGATTGTCTGTGACAACACGAAAAAGGCCTACCGCAGGAGGGACTCTCATCCTTCCCTCTCCGACTCCACACTTCTCAAATCCGCCTTCCTCCCCTTTTCTCCCTTCTCGTTGCCTGTTAGCCTATCCTTCCAACAGCGCGAGTTGGTGCAGCAGTTGTTGCAGAGGGACCAGCTAGACCACGGCTACTCGATCGCCTGCGACGACATGAAGAGAGGGACGACAACCCCTTCATCCCCACCTTCCTCCGTCCTCCCCTTCCTGCCTTCCTCCCTCCCCTCCCCATCCTTCATCTTTCTTTCTCCAACAGCGCGAGTTGGTGCAGCAGTTGTTGCAGAGGGACCAGCTGGACCACGGCTACTCGATCGTCTGTGACAACATGAGGAAGGTCTACCCTGGGAGGGACGGCAACCCCCCAAAGCTGGCGGTTCGGGCCATGTCTCTGGCGCTGGCTCGGGGCGAGTGCTTCGGAATGCTGGGGCCGAACGGGGCGGGCAAGACGACGTGCATCCACATGATGATTGGGCTGGTCAAGCCAAGCTCCGGGACAGCGTTCATAGAGGGGAAGGACATTCTAGAGGAGATGGACGATGTTTACACCATCATGGGGGTGTGCCCCCAGCACGAGTGAGTTGTTCTGCTCCTGCGAAGGGTGCTTTTGAATGCCTGGATCAATTCAGATTGGATCGGACCCGACTGTTAAGCATTAGATGGTTTTTGCTTCAATTCCCCCTTCTCTCCCCTTGTCCTGGTTTCTCCTTCACCCTCCCTTCTCTTTCTCCTCCACCTTCCTCTCCCCCCACACCAGCCTCCTATGGGAGCAGCTGACAGGCAGGGAGCACCTCTATTTCTACGGGCGGCTCAAGAACCTGCACGGGCAGGCACTGCAGCAGGCGGTTCTGGACTCTCTCAAGAGTGTCAACCTGCTGGCGGGGGGTGCTGCGGACAAGAAGGCCGGCAAGTACAGTGGAGGCATGAAGCGGCGGCTGTCAGTCGCCATCTCCCTCATCGGCAAGCCCCCTGTGAGTGCTCCTGATATCTTGCCTGCAGCTTTGGTAGGGTTAGCTGACAAGAAGGCCTGCAACTTATCTCTTAGTAAGCCTGTCAGGCATTGCAGCAGAGGCATGAAGAGGCGGCTGTCTGTCACCATCTCCCTCATCGGCAAGCCCCCTGTGAGTGCTCCTGATATCTTGCCTGCAGCTTTGGTAGGGTTAGCTGACAAGAAGGCCTGCAACTTATCTCTTAGTAAGCCTGTCAGGCATTGCAGCAGAGGCATGAAGAGGCGGCTGTCTGTCGCCATGTGTAGAGAGGGTATTTTTGAGAGGCGTCTCAAAAATACCCTCTCTACACATGAAGCGGCGGCTGTCTGTGGCCATCTCCCTCATCGGCAAGCCCCCCTTGAGTGCTTTGTTTTGGTTCTTGCCTCCTTCTACTCCTGTGAGTGGTTGTTGAACTCTCGAGCAAAGTCTCAGAAGTTTAACCCTCTGTCTCCCCTGTTCTCCCCCCCCCCTTCTTCCTCTCTTCCTTACCTCGCATTCTCTCTCTTCCTCCCGCTCTTCCCTCCTCTTCCCTCCTTTTCGCCCCTCCGCCTTTCTGCAGGTGGTCTACATGGACGAGCCCAGCACGGGGCTGGACCCAGCATCGCGCTACAACCTGTGGGCCGTGGTCAAGGAGGCTAAGAAGGACTCTGCTATTGTGCTCACTAGTGAGTGGTGCTGTGCGGCTGTAAAAGGTGGTGTTTGGTTCAACGCGGTAGCATAGGCGGGTGGCAGAGAGTGCACGGGGCTGGACCCAGCATCGTGCTACAACCTTTAGGCCGTGGTCAAGGAGGCTAAGAGGGACTCAGCCATCGTGCTCACCAGTGAGTGCTGCTGTGTGGTTTCAGAGTGATGCTGTGTGGTTCCAGGCAGTGGTGTTCGGTTTCTGGCGTTCTCACAAGTGAGTGGTCGCCGTGGAGTAGATAGGGTATGGCAGAGGCCTTGTGTGACAACCTGGGCAAACGTGTTGAACAGCTACTCCGAATGCCTTTTACCGCTGTTGTTCCTTTGCTTTAAGCCTACTGCACGCACGCTGCTCACTGAGAATTGTCTGAACCTCGCCGACAACCTGGGCAAACGTGTTGCACAGCTACTCCGAATGCCTTTTGCACCTGCAGCAGCTAACCCCCTGCTCTTTCCCCCCCCCCATCCCTCCTTTTCCCTTTTATCCCTACCCAAGCTCACAGCATGGAAGAAGCAGAGGCTCTCTGTGACCGTCTGGGCATATTCGTGGACGGTCAGTTTGAGTGCATTGGGAACCCGAGGCAGCTGACCTCCTCATCCGTCCCATTTTCCCTTCCCTCTCCCCTCAGCTCACTCTATGGAGGAGGCAGAGGCTCTCTGTGACCGTCTGGGCATATTCGTGGACGGCCAGTTTTGAGTGCATCGGGAACCCGAGGCAGCTGACGTCGCGGTATGGCGGGTCGTTTGTCTTTACTGTCACCACGCCGGCCGAAGAGGAGGAGGCGGCTGCTGAGCTGGCAAAATCGCTCTCGCCCAATGCCAAGAAGGTCTACAGCCTCGCGGGCACGCAAAAGTTTGAGCTGCCCACTGCCGATGTGAGTTTCGGGGATAGACTGCCGGGTTCCTCTATCCGTCTCTCTACCTCTGCTTTCTTCTGCCATTGCAATGCCTTGCTGCAATCACCCTCTCCCCTCTCCTCCCCCTCCTCCCCCTTCCTCCCCTCTCCTCCCCCTTCCTTCCCTCTCCTCCCCCTTCCTTCTCTCTCCTCCCCCTTCCTTCCCTCTCCTCCCCCTTCCTCCCTCTCCTCCCCTTCCTCCCTTCCTCCCCCTCCTCCCCTCTCCTCCCCCTTCCTCCGTCTCCTCCCCCTTCCTCCCCTCTCCTCCCTTCCTCCCTCTCCTCCCCCTTCCTCCCCTCTCCTCCCCTTCCTCCCCTCTCCTCCCCCTTCCTCCCCTCTCCTCCCCCTTCCTCCCCTCTCCTCCCCCTTCCTCCCCTCCCCTCCCCTTCCTCCCCTCTCCTCCCCCTTCCCCCCCTCTCCCCCTTCCTCCCCACTCCTCCCCTCCCCTCCTTCCACTCCCCCCCCTCCTCCCCTCTCTACTGCAACATGCAAGAGTGGCCCCCCTCCTCCCCTCCTTCCACTGGCCCCCCCTCCCCTCCTTGCACTGGCCCCCTCCTCCCCTACCTGTCGCACTTCTCTGTGCTACCAACCCCCTCCACTCCCCACTGTTCCTTCCCCTTTCCTTCCTTTGCCAGGTGAAGCATGGCGGATGTGTGTGCAACAGTAGCAGAGGCTATTGCCCTTATGCCACTGCCCCAACCTTTCTCATTCCTCACTCCTCTCCGCTACCCAACGCGTTCCCCCCTCCCTCCCCTTCTCTCTCCTCTCTCTCCCTGCCAGGTGACCATGGCAGATGTGTTTGCAACGGTAGCAGAGGCCAAGGCACGGATATCGATACGCGCGTGGGGCATCGCGCAACACCACCCTGGAGGATGTGTTTATCAGCATTGCCAAAGAGGCGCAGGGCGCTCATGCTGCTCTGTCTTAGCCCGGCTGATTTTCTTCGTACGACTGCTAAGGACCCTCCGCTGCTGCTCCTCCTAAACCAAACACCCGTGCTGCTCACTCCTAGCCCATCTCAGCTCATGTTCAAGTTGTGTTTTTAGGACCACAAGATTCCTGGGTAATAAGTCTTCTATATTTTCATGCCTGATCGGATAATGATGTACCATGTAGTCATCTCGAGACTTTTTATTGTAATGATGTGCTGTGCTTGAAGTGTTGAATAACATGACATACGGTATCAACAATGAGCATACAGACCAACACAGCTCCAGGGCAGGCCTAGCTTGCAACATGGCATAACCTATGCTTTTGAGACAATGAAATGCCAAACCTTTGGTATGGCGCGGATAACAGATAACAGGTAGATTAAGGCACAGTAAGCACAAAGCACCAGAGACACAATCTGGGATTGTTGGATCCAAGCTTCAATAAAGAAGTCAGCAAAACCATCCAAATGCCAGCTTGGCTGTGCATCAGCCAGAGTACGGTAGCTTCCAAATGAATCAGGTTTCCTTCTTCCTTCCACCAAGC